ATACACCTATCACTCAGTTCATACCTTCGACTACAAATATTAATCGTACATCTTCCAGTTATAATATTTTTGACATTGCACATTACACAAATAAATTATTAAAGCAAAGTGAAATAGAAGAAATTTTGAGCAAAATTTGGGTCCCTGAAATTAATTACAATTTTCCTATCAAAATACCATCTATTAATATTTATACGTGTAATGTGTTTGATTGTTAGGAAAATGGGTAGTTTTAAAGAGAAGGTTTTAATGTTGGTTATTTTTATTCAACCCCCCCCCCCAGATCAAATTTGAATGTACGCCACTGTTTCTGACTAAAAAGTTAAGAAATTTCTACTAAAAAAATAGACAGCCATTTTGATGCTAATAATAGATTCAAGGGGCGGGATATATCTCCCAAATTCCCCCTTCCCCCCGCCATAAATTCGTCTCTGAACTCAATGTTAACTAAATTGCATGCAAATAGCCTTGTCGTGCAATTATCGTTACTAAAGCCCACGGGACAACCTATACAGAAATGCAAAATACGTATAAATATAATATAAACATTAAATACATATTATGCCCCACGAGGGCATATATTGAGCAATTTAGTTTCTGTAGGCACTATTATATTATTATTTTTAAATATAGGTACTCGTAATTCCTAAGATATTATCGGCGGACTATATCCTAACAAAAATGTCAAAACATACGTGACAACGTCTACAATAAAACTAACGTAGCTTACTTAGAATCATTAAATCTTAAATCAGTCGAATCTACGTCCGATATCGTTTAGTACAAATGTTGTCGTATTTACCATGTGTATTTATTTAATTTCAACAATGCTAAAAGTCTTTTTTAATAAATTTAAAGTCTTTTTATAATTATTTTTGATTTTTTAAGTAATTTTCGCATTTTTTTATGGGCAATTTGAGATTATTTAGAGCATTCAAATCCCAGCCCTAATCATAACTATACAATTGTTTATAAAATAACCAAAAATAGTTAGGTAGTTTAATTTAATTAAAATTAAACAACGAATAAAGACACTGCGTATGCTGATATTTTATTTTATTGTTTTCGTCCTTAACAAACTGTCGATCAATGACTAATGCCTGATAGTAATGAGTCACTTTTGGCTAACAATGCAAATTCCAGATTAAATATCCAATATCGGACAGCGTAATAGATTAATAATAATATAATATACTTATGTGTGTAGATAATAAATAATATCTAATCGTACACTCCTATAGATTTTACCATCATAGATTTTAATTGAATATTTATAAATCAATAATTCTACTAATTCGTAACTGAATTAATCGCCTATATTATTTTAATTTTCAATAAGTCGTCAACAACCAATGGGACACTACTATTGAAAATAATCTTACCATATAATATAATATATGATTATTAATTTTTCATTTATTCAATGTCTTTAATATAAATTATAATATTTTATGTATAAATGTATAACAGACACGGAAAAGTCAGGGGGAAATGTCCCTTCTTTGCTCCCTCCCCCCCCCCAATGGACGTCAATGATAGGAATCCCATACGTCCGGTATTTGCAGCCAGTGCCGGCCTTAGAGAATGGGGCCACACCGGGCCCCATGCTTGGGCGGGGCCACGCAAATTATGTATTCCAAATATCACTTTATATATAAATATTTATAATAATACGGACGTAATGACGTCAATACGTCATGTGACGTGTCACGGACGGGTCTTGTTTCCTGACACGGAATGTTATAGACGAAAATCAAAATGGTACCAATTATACTTAGCTGAACACATTGTTATTGAATTGAAAACGCTCAAACATATTTTATTAGCATCAAAAATAGTATTGATGATTCTTTGAGATACAATAAAACAATGGACCTCTCTCTTTGCTTCAAAAAAATAAAAAATAAAATTTGTAAGAAATATACAATTTAAATTCATTTTGTGTCTAATATTTATTTTTTTTCATTTAACAAATACGTTATAAAATAAAATTACAAAGTATTAAAGAAATAATAAAAACTACCTACACCTTTAAGCAAAACTTGTTGTGGGGTAGGGAGTTATAGTATACAATATACATGATTAAATTACATATCGTAACAAATAAACAATTAGTTTATACAATGTAAATAAATAAAATATTATGAACAATTTAATTATAAAACATGAAAAACGTAAAATATTTATATAATATATAGAGTACCTATTTATTACTAATGTACACATTACAAATTGTATTACTACATATAAAAATGCAACAGTTAGTTATCATTTCCAATTACAGTACTGAAAATAGCCGAATCAGAATTCAAAAAACAATTCTTCCTAATTTAACCTTGAAGCCTTTTGTTTTTTTTTTTGCAGTGTACCACTCCTCTCGCCCAATAATTGTAATCATACCCATCATTTGGCCACGGTCAGAAATACTGTCTGCTAAGACAACGCGCTTGTACGTGTACGTGTTTTTCTCAAAAACATCATTATAATTCTATAAAAAATACTTTTCCAACTATACGCTCATTATAATTATGCTTTCTTTTTCTTATGGATTCATAAGCGCGAGAGAAGTATACTACTCGCGAGGCCTCTAAAAACACTAGGCTCTGGACGTAAGCTCCGCTCGCCCTACCATAACGACGATACTGATTATCGGACTAAAACGAGACCGACGACGATGGCGCCAAATTACTTTTTTTGTACAATCACGTTTCGATGACGGCAACGGCATGTGCATATAATAAACAAAAAACGAGAAAATAAAAAACCGGTACGCGTTCTTGGCATCGAGGGTCGGTTCTAACGTAAACTACCTGTTCTGCGGTTTAATCGGACTTAATATTAACAATGCCTATACCTTTTCATTAATATAGTACAATAAATCTCACAACCCGCAGGGTATGCTCTTCAAAGACTTAAACGCATTCCATTACATTTACCCCACGGCAGTTGATTAACAAAAATCAAAAGAAACGGCGTTGGTGGTCAGTCGAGTAGACCAAAAAAGGGACAAAATGACATATGTGGTATACCAAGAAACGATCACAATACGTATACATATAGACAATGTATACAATTTTATCTCCTGAAACCGAAAATAAATACGTTTTGTCCTTCGGACAGTCGAAATTTCGATATTGTAAATCCGCGTACAGTTTACATTGTGTTGTATTCGGAGGAGGAACTCTCGCATCATCGACAGTACTCTTATTATCGTGCAGTGCGTCATTGATAACAGACGGTTTTATAGCAAAAGACATCGGAAACCGCAGAACTCCGTCGCCGTAATATATTTCTTCTTCGTCACACATCTGGTTCTCGGTAAGATATTTTAAATATTATTCGTATATTATTTCAACAGTTATCACATATGCCTAAAAATTCTTCAAATTTGAACGCTAGAAGTTTTTTTGAATGATTAGCATATACTATAATGTCAAAATATATAGTACGGTAAAAAAATTCCTTCTAACCCCTAACCTCCTGGCTTTTCATTCAAAATGCATGTAACGATTATTTAAAATTCCGAAAATCTCTACCGTCACGAAAATCGGTATAGAAATGATGAGAGAGTGTGATGGGTTGATAGTCGAAAACGGTCAAAAATACATTTTGATGATCAATCTATAAAATTACGCCATGTATAACAATATTTGTATATCTGATTCAGATATACGATAAAGAGTAGTATTCTGTATTTAGGGGAAAAAATTGACAATAACGAATTTTATTGTCGTAAGCTTCCGTTTTCGGTACATTTTTTCCAAAATTCTTAGAAAAACTATACGGAAAATAAAAAAAAAAAAAAAATAGAAATCTTAATTACTCACCAACTAGACGACATTTTATTTCAAAAAAGAATATAAGATACTCTCTTAAAAACCGGAGTAAGATTGCCGGTATTCCTTTTTTTATATTAATTGTGTAAACTTTTCCGATTGACGAAAATCGAAATGGTACCAATTATACTCAGCTAAACACATTGTTATTGGCTTGAAAACGCTCAAACATATTTTATCAGACATAGTATTGATCATTCTTTGAACTACAATGAAACAATTGACCTCTTTGCTTCAAAAAAATCATAAAAAATTTTTTTTTAAGAAATACACTGTTTAAACACATTTTGTGTCTAATATATATTTTTTTTTATTTAACTTATACATTATAAAATGCAATTACAAAGTATTAAAGAAATATTAAAAAATACCTACATCTTTAAGCAAAACTTGTGGTGGTGTAGGGAGTTATAGTATACCATTTACATGATTAAATTACATATCGTAATAAATAATTATAAAAAAAACAATTAATTTATACAATATAAATAAATAAAGTATTATGAACAATTTAATTATAAAACTTGAAAAACATAAAATATTTATATAATGTATAGAGTACCTATTTATTAATAATATACAATATTTTTACTAATGTATACATTACAAATTGTATTACTGCATATGAAAATGCATCAGTTAAATATCATTTCTTATTACAGTACGGAAAATAGCCGAATCAGAATTTTCTTTTAGATTCTGAGCGTAGTGAGGGGGCTATTGGTTTTACTAAGATGTTCATTTCTTTCTTTTCTTTGTTCTAGTCTGTGGACACGTTTTTTCTCAGTAAACTTGCTCCGATTTTTACGTGTTGCAACTAAGTAGGTAATAATAATAATAAATGCCATAATTAATTGCAGCTAATTGAATTCCTATTTACTTTATATAGATCACGTCTTAATTTAAAGAGTCTGTTTTTTTTAAAAATTATTAATAAAACTTGTCTCAACTAATATAATAATCATTGATTTAAATAATTACTTACGTTATATGTAGTTTTAATGACAAATATGATTTTATTTTTATCTTCTATACCAATATACCTTTAGTTCACCACTTAATTTTTTTCATATACACTTATTATTTGTTATATTAATTTTCTGTTTTATTATAATTATTAATTACTAACTATTTGTATTTTATGTTTTTGATTTTAGTTTCAAAATGGATTTGAACATACAACCTGATACGGACTTGCGAGACAAAATTGAAAACTGTTTGAATGCAAATACTGCAGAAATTTTAAGACTGTTCAATCAACATAATTCAAACTATTTGAAAACCAAAGAAAAAATTATAAGGCCTAATAATGTATCATATATCAGTAAATTTGATTCGATAGTTATTCAATTAATTTCGGTGATAAGCCCGAAATTTAATTTATCCAATAATGATGTAATTAATTTAAAATTATGTAATAATTTAAGAAATTATAATAATTATATTGTTCGTATGGATAATATATTTGTGGTAGATTGTACACAGAGTTCTAATATAAATAATTCTGAAGGTGACAAATTATTATCTTGTCATCTTCAAAATGATTACCAAACTACTACATCTACCATAGCAATATTAGATGACCAAATAGTACTCTTCAATAATGATATGGAACTTTCTGTAATTGCGTCAAAACAACTGCAGGCCAATACACTAAAAGTGATTTCCGAATTTAAAGCACCTATTTTATATAAATTAAAATTTAGTTATAATGAACATAATACAATTGAAAATATCACAGTCCACATAGAAGATGACATTTGGCTTTCTTACCAAGTTCAAAATACTTTAGTGAGAACATTTGTTAGTATGGATTATCGTGAAATTAACGAGGTTCAAAAAATTTTCCCCGGATACTGCTGGAATTTATTCATCTCTCTAAAAATTATTTTGGGCAAAGAATTGGATGAGAAAATAGGCTTGACCAATGTGAGTGATCTCACCAGGATTTTCATACCGCATATATGGCTGTCCGATATTGGGATAAATGATTATTTTAAATTAATAGAAGCTAGATCGCCTGATGATGTTCAAGTATTTGATACCTATTTATACCAATGTCATAGTACCAGAATACTCTCAAATTTGTTTAGACTAAGTCATAGATATAATTCCGTTTTTTTATATAAAAAGTTATTATTTCCAATTAATTTGAAAGAAAGCCATTGGATATTCTATTTTATAAATTTAGAAACTAAGGAGATAATTTTATTTGATAGTTTTAACATCCAGACACACCCAGAATATGAGTTATCTATAATTTTACAATATTTAGATATTCAATGTCTTTTATGGAACGGTATAAGATTAGATATTAAAGAATATACTTTCAGATGTGGCCAATCACCCATACAGAGTCAAAATAATACAACAGATTGTGGGGTGTTTGTATGTGCGACTGCAGAGGCTCTCACACGAGATGCACCCCTCGACTATACCGAAAATGATATCTTATTATTAAGGCAAAGAATAGCATACGAGTTAATTATAGGAAAACTCTTATTTTAGGTTAGTTTCATGTCAGTTATTTTAGTTCAATATAATAATTACTTAGTCATCATGTTCATTCCTATTTGTTGTTAGATATTTAAGTGAAGGCTTTAATAATTGATAATTCTCAATCCTACTCGTATGTTACAAACTATATTCTAAATATAAATAAATATTAATTAATCATGAATTTTACAATCTCTTAAAGCCTACTACTATTTTAATAGTGTAAATATTATTTTTATTGTTTTTAAAATTATTATATTTTGAGCATTAGTTATTATTGATATCAGGTCATTTTTATGTTTAACCTATAATTTTTTTTGTAGCTTATTGTGTTGTTTGTATTATATTTGTTTTTATTTTATTGTAATTATAATAATGTTTATAAAACAAATTAATAAATGGATAAGTCAGACTTAGGCTTGGGTCACACTATGGCGGTTTGACCAAGTGGATTTAAACTTATTATTTTATTCATATTATATTATTTTATTATTACAAAATTAACAATGTACCCATTGCTATGTACAAATAAATTGACTTTGTTATTTTCTCCATTATTATTACTATCATGTTTTTATATAATTGTACCTGTTTAAATCTTCCCGATAAAAGTACTGCAAGGTTAGTAAACAATTGCGACTAATCTAAAACCAGACTTAAAAAAATGTACAGGTTGTAAAAAAATTAACTTTGGTAATAATATTATGTTGATAATAGATACGAATATCTATCTTATATATTTAGTATGACACATTATATTGCACCTATATTTTTTCATTAAATGCTTACTTTTGTCTCTAATTTTACATAAAACTTCTCTGTTGTGAACTCTAACGGACTGATCCTCATCTCTGAAGATTCTCGTATTCAATAAAATAAAATTCCATTATTAATTTGTAATAACTACCTATAATTTTATATGTTTTTTTATTTAATAAATTCACAAAAATAACGTGTGCCATAATAGTCATGTTTATCAAAGGTCAATTTTTAGTAACCGAACATTAGTAAACACTCTTACCAACTCAGAATAGACGGTTACAAGTTTCACTAAACAGTATACTAGAAATAGCAATCAGGTTACAGTAATTAACTCGCGAAAATGTTATCAGTAAATAGTTTACTCGCGGTTCCAACAACAAAACATGTCTGATTGGTCTATGATACTTACTTTTTCCTTTTTTTTTCATCTTCCATTATACACTTGCCAATCATCATGTATTAATGACTCTACCGTATTCCAAAAATGTTCTTTTTCATCCCTCTTTGAATACATAGGTAAATCATTACACCATATCCATTCGAAAGATTCTATTTTAGAAATAAATTTCTCAGTATCAATTATTGCACACGTTGTATATTTGTAAAATACCTATTGTGCCTAAGCGTACGGTTTTATGGCTATAGTGTGGCACTATTAATAGAAAACAACGTGTTTTGGATTTTATTATACGCGCGGTCGCGTATTAGTATATATTATAATATAAGTAGATATCCTGCCTTCTCAACGTTTCCACTACAACATTAGCCCATCCGTCGCGTGCTTTAAAGTATGTCCGTTTTTTTTAAAATGATTTTTACTATTTTTTCTTTTATGAAAAACATATATTCTCTTTGTGATTACATTAGCCACTGAAGAAAAATCACATTTTTCCTATGAAATAATAGTCATTCAAATAATTTTGACTTTTATACGTATTATTTGTTTGCTTTTAATACAAGTATGTCATCTATATTTAGCCTGTCGGTTGACGCTGGACATGAGATGATAAAAACCTATGTTTGTAGTTTTAAACAATTCAAGAGTCAGTAAGTTATATTATAACATAACTTACTTATGTTAAAATATAGAACATTTTAAAATGATTTATTTTGGTACTTCCATAGTTTAAAAAGTAATAATACAAATTTAGTTATTATTTTTTAAAAGTGTTTATTTTAGGGAGGGCTTATAATGATGTGTTTTAATGTTACATTGTTGATAAGTGATACAATTTCCACATCTTGTTCTCTGATTTATCAATTAAACAGCGTGTCGTTAGCACAATATTTTCCACATTATTTGATACAAAATTTAAATCTTATCTATTCACTAATTATTCGGTGTATATCAGGGGCATGCGGCTCACGATAGATTTTAATACAGCCCTCACTTCAATTTAAAATCATCGATTAATTATGTATAATATTATGAGAAAAAAACATGTATTTTAAGAATATAAAACTACAAAATATTAAAAATTTAATTATTTTAACATTGTTTTTTTATTATAAATAAATATATTTTTTCTTATAATTATAAATAAAATGTAATAGTTCATCAAAGTATCTCTATTTAATATTCACTATGGTAAAAATTATAAATAAAATGTATTATTATTAAAATGTATGTGGCCCACAATAACTTCTGCTTACATGGTGTAGCCTAGTCTTTACAAAAGGTTAGACACCCCTGGTGTATATCATATACACGTTAAATTTTAGTTAATATAGTTGACTTTGTATTTTATTGGTTAAAATGTACAAAACAAAATAGATCACCCAAAAGGTAAGGTCGTCATTTCAGTTTTTTTTTCCGGATGTACGAGGTTTTAAACAGATTTTAAAGTCCACTAAATACATCTACAGCTTTTTCTAAATCGATATTATTTACTTTTTCTATTTCAATATTTAACACCATAAGATTATTATGGAAGGAGAACAAAGAAGTGTGTAAATATGTTTTTAAAATTTAAAATTGTGAAAAAACTTATCATTTGATGCCATTGTAATTGATTAAGTTGTGTAATTGGTGAAACAATTGTCAATGTTTCCATAAAAGTGACCGTTCACCGTTAAAAAGCGAAGTTATCCAACTTTTTACCATGTGATTCCTTAATTATATTTGTATTCAATAGGTATCAGGTATGTCTGGTAGATTATAAAATATACGATCTATTTATTTTTACTAAATTACTTGGTAGCACTATATTTGTTTATTGATAGTAAAACACCAATATTGTTAATGTAGAATTATAATTTAATTATAATTAAATACAAAATGGCATATTATTTCATTAGGCCAATTGGGATTATTTTAAAAGTAAGGGGTGCAACCGCACACCCTCCCAAATGATGCCCTTAACAAAAGGTCCAAAAATAAATATTAAATGCATTGTAGTATAAATTGTATATTGAGTTTGATATTCATAATACTAATTATTTTAATAGTTTTTAATATTTAGTATAAATGAAGGTATTATATATATTATGTTAGTATTGTTAGTAAAATGTGTCAACGTTTCCGCTGAAATTAATAAAGAAGGTTATTTAAATAATTCGGGAAAAATCAATTTTTAAATCAATAAAACCCGTATAAGCTAACTAACTATATTAAATAATATTATAAAGATAAAATTTCAAAGATTTTTATCAAAGATAAAAAAAAAAAAATTATTGTGAATATTATAATATTATCTAGTATAATACACGGTGCACGTGGCTGGTTATTTTTGATTTGGTCAGACGAATAATCTACAAAATGTTCAGCTAAAAAATAAAAAATGATAACTCATATTTTTATATGGAAATAATGAATTCAAAACCCAAAATAAAAATAGGTCTTGTTCATCTTGCCTCTTATATTTCACAGATATCTTCTCGCCACCACATCTTTAGGTTAATTTGGTGGACTAAATTGTATTAAACCTTATCTCCCTCCCCCCCCAAAGAAAAAAGTCTTAAATACACCACACTCATAATGATAGTAATTTGTTGTCACACATATTGTATATCTTCCTCAGCCATGGTCTTTTATTATATATTTTCGTAAAATATACGTTTGGAAAATAGAGGGTAACATAAAAGAAGAAATAAGTAAATTGACATATAAGTTTCAATAAAAGGGGTCTCACAGCGAAAAGTTGTTGGCAAATTGCTGACGGTGATATGACTGGTGGCGAAAGGATAGCGTTCGATAATAATTAATAAAATAGAGTGTTAATTTTACCTCCTTGGCTTGGGTGTTAATGCACGCCATCACTTCGTAAGCATAATCGCACGTTGCGGCTTTGGCTAGTGGTACTCGTTTGGCTGAAATTATACAAAAAAAAAAAAATACACTAGCTATTTATTTTATATACTTATGCTGTTAAAATAGCTAATTACTTGACGGACGAAAATATTTTTATTATATATTAGATTTCCTGTTTTCCCTAAGTGTTTCCCAGCCATAAACAACAAGAAAAATCGAAAAATAATCTCCACTAGTACCAATAAGATTCAGAATACTACAAAAAAGTCGACTTCTCCGTTTTTAAATGAAGCAAGATTTCGGATGGAAAAGTTGTTCAGGAGAAAAAATAAAAAGATATAATGATTATTGATTAAAAAAAAAATACAAAATTGCACACATAAAACTAATAGGAATGCCTCGCAGCGGTCAAAATCTAAATAAAAATATAATAATAATTGAAAAATAATGAGATCGACTTACATTCATCAAAGCATTTGCTGTTGATTAATAGAATCTTATCTAAAGGCCATTCAGGCCAGTACTGTTTTAAGGCCAATTCTACGCCTTTCTTGTTGTACGTGCCATCGATGTTCAACTAAAATGATAAAATCAAACCATTTAATTTATACGCGTCGATAGTGAACTTAAATTATAATTAGGTAAATGATTTCGAAAAGAAATTTACCAGTTTTAATTTGTTGATCATGCATTTCATTAAGCACTGAAAAGAAGTAATAAAAAATCAGATATTATACATTTAATATTATATTTTAGTGAATTAGTTTTCATAAGAGAAGATAGTTGCATAAACTGCAGCAAAGCTGTCTTGATCAATATTACATAAGTCTTATTTTTTTGATTTTCCGAGGAGTTTTCGAAATAATAGGGATAAAGTGATAAACCGAAAGAATATTATAGGTAAAACGGCAAATATTTACAGTTCGCCGCGGCGTTTTCGTTTTAATTTTTTTAAATTTTTGTTTACAAAGTTTTCTGCCAGAAATATTACTCCAATAGAAAAACGACAAGAAAATTATTTTGTTCCTTTTAACACATAGCCACTGACAGGTAAAGTCATTTTTTGATTTCTTAAGTATTTTTATAATTATTAGTAAATACCAAAAAAGACGAAATATATGATTTTTTTCCAAATTGACATTACGATTTGCACTCAACTTATACATTTTTTACCACTAAGTATAATTTAAAATGATCTTTATATTAATTGTTTAAGTATTTCCGTTCAGCCAAATAATTTTAGTTATATTCAACCAAATAAGAACTAAAAAAAATCTTAAATGCCTGTACAGTGTACATAGTTATTCAAACATTGGTAGAATATGTTGGTGTAAAACAAAACAACGAAATTATAATAAGGAAACCGTCTATGCCGTAAACCTTCCCATGACCAAAAAAATTATTTTGTCGGGTTTTGATTGGAGAAAGATTTCTAGTAGATAAATAAGATAAGTTGTTTATAGACATAATAAATGAAAAATCGCACTTATAGTAAAACCAATACATTTATCGCTTTGCTCAGAATAAAAAATTTAAGATTTTATTTTTAAGTAAATGATAATCTTGTATTGCTCGTATTTGTATTTTATTAGGCATTCATAATACATTTTATTATAATGTTTCAGAAACGAATCTGAAACGATTTTAAAGGATATATAAAACATATTTTTATTACAAATTAAAACTATAATATTTGACTCAGTTATTTTGCGCCGTGGCAATAGAAAAATAAAATATATATTGTAATATAATTATATAAGTACAAATCACCTTTCCAGATTGTGTGGTAGGAACTTGATAAGCTTTCGCCACAGCGAGGTCAGCTGAAAAAAAATATAATATTTTCGATTTATTCCAAACTGTAATCGGTATATCTATCAGTAATCTATAGAGATAAATAGCAGTTTTTTTTTTTAAATTTAAATTTTACTAATTTTTTTTCTATGGCACGTATTTTATGGATTAGCTAATACACGCGATATTATTATAAAATATGAAGGATAGTGGGTAAAATCCAGAAAAGCCACTTTTTATAAAATATAGACAATTTTCTGTGATATTTCAATTCAATTGTTATTATGCGTTTCAACCATAATTTAATTCCGTTAACTATGTTTCAAAGTTTGACATTTAACCTAATCCAAAATTTTTAATTTTAAAAAAGGAATTTGTACGTTTTGTGATTATAAACGTGTTTTCTAGATTTTTCTTTGTGCCATTTATATATACTCGTATTATTAACTCGAGAACTTTTAAAATACATTTAATTACAATAATATACATATAAAATTATATTGTTGTATTTTGGACGAACAATTTACTGAATAAAAACTGAAACATAATTTTTATTTTACCTACATTTACAATAAGTTGAATCAAGTAGAAGGAACAAAATAATACTTTGCAGTACTACGTAATGATAATACAGTGGAACCTTGATAAGTCGATATTCAAGGGAAATGAAATTTGTTCGACTTACTAAGGTGTCGTGTTCGTATTATAGTTTTTAATTATTTTATAGTATATGATGTACATTGTACGTATAATTACAATGTGTATTGTTATTATTATTATTTTAAAATTGTGTTACTAAAAATGTATGATGAAAATGTGAGTAAATACCAAATTAATATAAACAAAACAAATTACTAAAAATAAAAAACATATATATTATAGTGTTGCAACATTACAATGCAACTTTACATTTGCTATCTTACTTTGATTTAGAATTTGAGAGTACATGCTATTATCAATAGTATTTTCTACTATATTTAGAGCAGAGTATAGTTTATGGTCCACATTAGTTGATTACTATGTATATAAACGCATATATATACAAGATTAGGTTAAAATATGGGACACACAAGCCAATTAGAAAAATTAAATTAAAAAATTATCTGATTATCCATATATATTCGGAATATAGAATATTCGAGTTATCTATAGTTTTTCTTTCTGGTAATCAAGGTTTAAGCAAGAGAATGGCATTTATTGCCACTTACTAAGGTTTTCGGCTTATTAAGGTTCCACTATATGTTATTTTTCGAAAGAGATATATTATAGCGTTTGCAGCTGTTTTAAACTTTTTTCAGACCAGTTTGTACTATTTTCTGTTCAATAGAGAAACAAGAATTAAAGAAAAAGTGTATAATAATTATTATTTCGTTTCGAAAATCCCTTTACGTAGTTAGAAAGAAAATTTGACCAGGCGTTTGAGAACGAAAAAAAAATGGTAAAATACGATGGATTGCTAATAGTTGTCCATCTACATCGACGCTAGTAGATGATATTAAACACAATATAAAAAATTACACAGAATGATCAATCTATTGTAGGACATTCATCATTTCAGAAAGTATTAACATTTTTCGGGATTTGATGTATAGAAAATTTTAAAAAAAGCAGCTCTACAATTTTAAATTTATGTCATTTTTTTGACACCCTTATTTTTAGGGGTGAAACCACTACCTACATACTTTTGATATTTAAATGGCAACTTATATTAAAATTTTCATTCCGTTTTATTAATGCACCACTACTTTCCTTTGACCCAAATTTAAAAGTGGAATATCTCGTTCATGGATTGATGGAAATCAAAATTATCAACACTAAAATTTATTTTAAACTTATACTCCATCTATTAATGGAATTTTTAACTTGGATTACCCTTTGAAAATCTAAAGTAGATAGTGGTTTTATTACGAAAATTAGGATGACAAAAAATAAAATAAATGTAAAATTGTAGATCTTATTTTTTTTTAAATGTTCTATAAAACAAATTCCGAAAAACGTTAATACTTTTCGAGATAGCGAGTGTCTTACGATAGATTGTTTCATTCTGTATATTACGATCGTTGCAATATATGTATATTTTTAAAAATTTTTACCTGCGGACGCATGACAGGCTCTTCCGAGTGCTTCAATTTGGACTGTTGTAAAACGAGCCTAAAAACATAAAAAAAAAAAAAAATTATGAGTATAAGTCGCACTTTGTAGTAAAAAAAAAAAATAATAATAAATTGAGTTTATTACAGTATTTTTTTTTACTTTTCATAACAATGTATCAATACCTATCAAATTTTAACGAAAATTGTAAATATTACGGCCTTTCAAAAAATGTATAACCGAACTTTTCCCCGAATCGTTTTCGTTAGCAATATTTTATCGTTACTTAAGAATATAAATTAAATAACTTAATGTTTTCTATTTGTGCAACTTCACACCTACGAGAGTGGAACACCCGTTATTAGTACGAGTACTTTTTTGTATAGCTACAGGACTCTAAAAAAATCGTTTTCTTAAAAATATTGCGCTACTTTTTTTGATTAAAAAAAAAAGAAACTTTTTGGTATTTCGGTAAGTAATATTTCCCATTTATGAATACGGAGGTACCTACCTACTAAAAATTTATTTACTATATGGCTACAAATTATTTAATGTATACGAGTGTATACTTACAGAGACATAGTCCGGAGTCGTCAGGACTAGAAAAATTACGAACGGTACGACGACCACGGCGATTCTTGGCAAAGGCATTTTTGCAGAGACAATTTGAATGACTGTGTGTGTGTGTATGTGTGCGTGTGTGAGGATAATATTATTGTGACGGTGATGGTGGTGGACTGCTATAACGACGACTGTCCGCTTTGAATCGCGCAAACGGAAAATGATAATTGAGAGATGTTTGACCGGTTTATATACGAGGCAAATCGGTCGTCGCTAGCCGGATACAGACATTTGAACCTAGACTAGGAGTTTAACAGGACGCATGAAAAAAAAAATAATAAATAATAATAATAATAGCGATATTATAATCATTTATTCGTTTTAATCATACGCGTGTGTGCAGTTAGTTTAATATTTGTCTACGGACGTGTGTGTGTTTGGACGCGCGCCTGAGTGCGTGTTGGCGTGTGAACGGATTTGATACAACGACGTGCGTGTGTGTGCGTGTAAATGTTAGCTTAAATAATACCACTTTATATTACTTTAAATAATACTTTTGACCTCGACGATTTATCAAATAATAGAATTGATACTCGCATATAAAGAAAAAAAAAAATACATGTTAATCACACTAAATAAATATTACAATGTTGGAACGATAGAGTAAATTGGAACACGGAAACACGTTATTAAAATGTCAGCACCATCATAATACTATTTTATTTATTTATTCACATAATAAAATATTATTTAATAGAGCTATATTAACGGCATTCGTTATTCCAAATCACGCCGTTTTTTTCTTCTTCAATTGAAATAATTCTAGTCAAGTAATCTGTATATATTAAAACGTTGATAATACGAGTATCTATTACAGAACAAATTTTTTTTTTTTCGTTTTACCGAGTATATTATAATAACGCGAAAAAATATATTATATTAGATAATATAACCATTCTGTCATTGAACTTATCAATCATTTTTTTTTCTCTTTTTTACAGGCAAGGGCAAATTATAAAAAAAATAACTATCAACAACTGCTATGCGTTTTAACGACAATACTCGATGTTCCAAGTATCCGTTTTTGATTGAAAGCAAAAATACTACTACTATCGCCTTTCCGTACCCGCCGACCGTCGCCGTATACATACGCACATATGCCTACAAATACACACACACACACACACACACACACACACACACACACACATCTTCCCCCCCGTCTATAATACACACACGGCCGATCGCTCTCCGAGAACGAAAATAATGTATACGTGTGTATATCGTATACCGACAGCGGCGCGCGTTGTGTTTCTCGTCGGCGGGATCCTGTACGACCATGCATTACGAGTCGGTCTCGCGCCAAATCTGTGTACCGTGTACGCAATGCGCGTGCACGCAGCGTATGTATTTTAATAAGTTATTATCGTGGTTCCGAACAGTATTTTTTTTCGTCACGTACCATCGGCAATCGTTATTAACGAGCCCGCCGTACCCCGCCGTACCGTCCGCCAGGGGCGGTCAACGCGTACCGCACGTCACCGAATGTCGGCGACACGCGATACGCGCGTATATAATTGCGCGTTCGCGCGCGTTACCGTACGCCGTCGAACAACCCGAATCGCCAACCCCCCCCCCCCCCCCCCCCCCCCCCCCCCCCCGCCGGACGACGGTAGGACATTGTTCCGCGGCCGCGCGCTCGCCTCCTCTACCCCGCCCGTCTACCCGCCGTTCGACGGTCGGTTTTCGTCAACGGCAATACAATCGTTATCGCACAGGTACAAAGGTCGAAAACGCGATACTCATTTGCACGCCGTCTATTGTTGTAATCCGACAAACAAATATCACTCGCAGTCGCACGCGACTTGTTACCCGTACGGGATACGACCGTCGTAGCAAACCCCCGTCTCCCGCCGCACCGCCGTCCGGCATAATACGAACATTTTTCTCCATATCCGTATGCCTGCACGAATTATAACCGTCGGCGACAACGGACCTCTCGGCCCTCTACATTTTCGGCTGTGTTGCGCGCACCGCGGTTCCCGTTCCGAGAATCTAGAACGAAAAAAATGTCTATTTCGCATACCGGCCGCACGCGCATCACGCGTTTCTCGCCTGTAAGGACCCGTATGTGAAAATTTCTCGTTCTCGGTTTTCCTGTACGATCGTGCGCAAATTCTGTCCGCGGACGTAAACCGATTTTCGCAGGCATTGGATCGATAACGATCCGATCGTCTAGTAGGGATATTACTGCGAACCAGCGCGCTCGTCGTCTTTTCCGGTTTCCCCATCGCTTTCGTTTCGTGTTGATTCTTTTAAATTCTTGTAATACGACGTTTTCTTTCCTCCCCCCCGCCGCCGCTTAAAAATGAATACGTTCGAATGCACCATTTTGATATTAAAGACAACTGTTTTTAGGAAAAATTACCTCAGAATATGAATATTTCAAAATGTACCTCTTATTCGGTTTGCATCAATTTGACCATATCGTTATAATTTTAATGAAACATGCATTGGTGATTCTATCGGTAAACTATTTAAAAATTCTAATGCACCACGGGACTAATGCAATATTGACAAAACAATACATTTAGTAATTACTGATAGCTGCTAGGTATTTGTAGTGGCGGATATTGTACTATAGTTCTTTCAAAATACTTAATATAGACATACACAATAAGTTTAGAAAAACATATTTAATGTATACACAATCAATTTACATTAAAGTAGGTTACATTAAAAAGAGGCCGTTTGGCGACGAGTGGTCTTGGCTTTTAGCTGCCGTAGTTTTTTCTTTAAAATTAAACATTTAAATAAACCGCGCGTCCACGTATGTTTAATTTTCGGCCAGTAGACGCTTGCTTCAGGCTTGCTGAAATTAAACGTTGGATTTCCAATGTTCATATTCACATTAAGGGGACCGGCCGATTTTTATAGCGGCCATTCAATCATTGACAGTTGACGCGTGAAGTTATTATTTTTTGAATTTGTAGGTATCACCTAATTGTTAAATTTTATTTCTTTTTTTTTTAAATGCCGTTCGATACCGAACATTTTATGTTTGAGATCTTAAATATCGCGAAATATCTTGTAATACAAAAAATCCATGTTCATGTTCCGCCTCATGTATAGACAAACCGCTGATGCGGTCGCGGTCGGAGAAGCGGCCAAAATCAACGGCCATGCGCGACCTAACCGTCTCTTGTTTAGCGACAATAGTTAAATAAAATTTAAATGCATAGTCCGAAAAAATTGGCCTGTCTAAATTTTGACTATTATTATTATTATTTTTGGTTGTACTTAACAGGTCTTTAAGAATATTTTCAGGCGTCAACGCTTTGACTATATTTATTTTAATTACAATTTAAAGTATATAAATACAAAATTTTGTCTTTGTTATACTATTATGATATTGAAATCTCATAAAAACAAATTTTAGTTCCAAGTTTACTATGCGAATATTAATTCCTAATCATTATTCAATTTTATTGTAATGACATAACACGCATATACTTATTATATGCCGTGAAAATTCTATAGTTTAAAAAGTGCATATAAATGTGCTTTATAAACCAAAATAGTTTTTTTTTATTACAGCCGGGTGGTGACAGATCGCTCTGAATCTGTTAACTAAGTCTTATAATTAATATTGTTTTTTTTTTAATTTGCACTACTATTTATTATTTAACTTTTTTAAAGCTTGTAGTAATTTATTTATAATATATTTAAGGAACTACCTAATTAAACAAAAATACCATATTGTCATTTTGGGCATCGGAGCCATCCCTGTATGAAATTATATCATAGTCAAAATTATCCAATAACTTCTTAATTAAATTTTTATGCAATCGGTTATTGGGCAATACCCCTAATAATTCGAGAATATCGAAGACATAATGTTTGGCCTGAAACTAAAAAGACGTGACACATTATAGACATCATTTTTATTTCATTAATAAAACCAGAAATAATAATCGTTTTACAATACCAAAATTATTACCTATATTTATCAATTCTTATAATAATGTATAACTTATAATAGTTATACTTAGGTATTTGTTTAATTCATTATACAATTTATACGCTACTATGCATTAATATTTAGAGTATTGAATAATTATTATTGTATAATTAGATATCTAATTCATAGGGCTCGAAATTGTTGTAATAAAATACAGGAAAATTATGTGTCCATAAAAATACAAAGTTGAAAATATAACTATCTACAGTTTTATTTTTTACATATGTTATTAGGTTTGGAATTAAAATTAGTGATATGCCTCGGATAAACAGTAAACACCCAACAGATGTGTTGGTAATTTAGGTTTTTTATCCAACAGACATTTTGACCACTTTTTTTATTTATAAATCCGAAATTTACATTGTTAATTTGTTTAGTCTTATTTCTTATCAAAGTACCTATATATTTACATATTGTTTATAAATTCAAAAAAATTGTGTTATTATTGGCTTTTATTTGCCTGTTATTAATTTAAATAATATTTAATTAATACAGTTATTTACTATAGTTTTATTAGTAATTAGTAATAGTAATAATAGTTTAATATTTAACCCTGCAATATTCCAGTCCCAGGTTCCTTAATGTATTATTAATGTATTTGTGTGTTTGTGTGCGATAATATACCTTAGGTATTTAAGATTACTATTGTAATTAAAGTTTGTCCTAAATCGTATTGTAACTAAGAATTGTTATTTTCAGTTAATTTTGTCTGCATATATATATGTTTAAGATTTTAACTGTAGGGAGTGAACTACATGGTTTTACTATGGTGTGTGTGTACGTTTTAATTTTTTTTTTGTGTGTCTGTTTCTACCTTAAAACTTGATCTGAAGTATAAGCTATACTACATCACCTTTTCAAAAAATGTAATTTTCTGTTGTTGGTACATTGGATAGGTCATTTGATTTCCCAAGGCGTTTTCGAAATAATTAGAATAAATCCGAAAGAAATCTTAGAAATATGTTTTTAGATGAATGTTAAACACGTATTAAGAATTAATAAGTTCAAATTACACAGATTTGGGGTTCATAGAATTTAAACACTAATAATTTGTCTTTGTTTAAATAACAAATATAAATACAAATTATTTCTACAATTTTTGTATACTTATTTATAGTTTTTAAGATTAAATTTTAGCACTTATATATATACAATTTTAAATGCTATTAAATTAATTGCATTAATATTTATTTGAACGTACATTTTTTATCAATACCAATTGTAGTTAAGTTATTAGGTTATAAAATCAAATGTTCTTTTCATCAATATTTATATCATCTTTCAATTTTTTTTTTAAATAGTTTAATAAATTTGAGCAATCTATAAAGTACAATAAAATAATTTAAAAAGTAAAATTGATTTTTAATATTCATTCTGATTGAATTTCATAGAATTATTCCACATTGGTTATATGACTTTTTTTTTTAACATCATTGGTCTGATCACTGGCATATTGTTTCTAATCATTCCAAACTTTTCTATAGAATGATCATTTTTGGCAATTTTATTTTTCCAGTTTTCTCAAAATAAACTTATGGCTTCTTTGAGCACTTTACTTTTTAATCATACAAATTTTATATTCATCTGTAAAATTATTTACAATTACACATTATAATAAAAAGGAAATAACATAATTAAAAAAAAAATCATTATTGTCAGATATCCACAATAAGATACAAAAGAGTATTAATCACCAAGCAACCTTTGTTGTGTAATGTCTACTATGATTCATCATCTATTTGTGTACATTCTGTTAACAAAAGAAAAGTATACTTATCTAATCTATAATCATTACAAAATATAAATATATTAGTATTTATTATTAGCCTTTTAAAATATACAAACTTATGGAAGGTAATGAAACTAAAGTATTAATATCAGATTTTTGAGTGGTCAACTCTATTAAGTCATAAAGCAAGATTCCTTATTTATATTGCTAGAAATTAAATGTACAATAAAAGTAGTGATTTTAAAATTTGTTTCGGCCCAATATAAAATACTAAAACAATAAACATGGTTTTACAATGATGTTTATTATTATTTTTTTTTAAATTTGTAAATAACTTTTCTATAAGAAATATTCTTCCGATTTACAAGTGTAGCACTTTTTCAAAAAGGAAATTTCATTGTAGTGGTACTTTAAGGAAATTATTTTTCGATTTTTTAGTACTAAGTACTAAAGTACCATAGTACTAAATTAACCAATAAATCAACAAACATAATTTAATATTTGTACCAAAAATACCAAAAACTCTGTGTGAACTACCCTTTAGGTGTTAAATAACACACAGACCCATTGAATTTTTGAGATGGAAAAAATATTTTGCTCTGGGGCATACAATTTGAATGTATCTATAACTGTAGTAAAATAATTAACTTATCATTTTAATTGATTAATATTATGTTCTGTCTAGAAAGTCACTGTATCATAGACATCTGTGGATAAAATGCCAGTGTCCTTAATGTAAATATAAACATTGATAACACTATTGGGTCTTCCTATACATGAAAAAATGAATAAAATCTAAAAGTGAAAATCAGATTCTAATTTATTAATCTGTTGTTAAGAAGCTTACTAGGACACAATAAGATTATATATTGACATGTTTGATGCGATTTCAAAAACATTAATTTAGAGTCTGTAATACTATCTACAATCTACTTTAAATTTTGAGTCCAAAAAGTATACTACAATTGTAGATAGAAGAGTCACCTTAGTTATCCTTTTTCATTTATTTTCATTATATGATGTAGTTTTTATTTTGTATTGTAATACACTCAAGAGAAAAGTAATTTCCTCTTACTTTAAGGTAGTCAAATTATTATCCTTATTGCATTCTTCTAGATGAATCTTGACATCTCTAGTGAAACTCTTTTACAAGACACTGTATTACAATCGTTCTAAAAGAAAAAGAAAATTATATATACAAAAGAAAATTAATTAAAGATATAATTGGCAGGACATACTTGGTTTGAAAATCACATTGATTATTTACAGAAGTGCTCATACATTTACAATTATTAACTGCATCCTTATTTTGTGAAGAAATAGCGGCAGAATATTGCTATTTTATTGCTCTACGTGCATCTGCAAATGATAAAAATAAATAAATTATTAGAGAAAAAATATTTTTAAAAAACCAACCAAATCAAAACGAGTACATATTACCATATTTATTATGAAAATTAATTGATTATGCCAATCTTCTAGAAATTAAACTGGCTATTACTCAGAGACTGTTGATTGAATATGAATGTATGGTATATTAAAATCTTTAGAATTATATTTTTTAAAAAGTGGCTATTTTGAAAAGTTAAAAAAGTTTTTTTTTCAATGATTAAGGATGAAAAAAAAAAATTTTTCTCTATATATGTATCCCACTGACCCAAAAACCAGATTGAAAAAAAAAAAAATCAATGATGACTACATAACACTATAAGAGATCCTTATTTAAATAGACAAATTGAATTTCAAAAAAATATATTTATTTAATTTCTAAAAAAACTTAACAATGAAATTGTATTGTACCTATTTATTAAAATTTATTTTTTATCTAATTATTTTTTAGTGGATTAGTTTGCAATAAGCAATCACTACAATCTGCAATGTTTAATAGAGGAATTAATATTAAAGATGAGATTCCATATATGTATATTTATTGACCACTGATTTATTACAAATATTTGAGAATAAAAATCCTTTATAAAATCATTATGAAATAAATTTATATGACAAAATATTAAATATTAAGACAAATTTAATTTTTATAATTTCACAAATTACAATAGATTATATTATATAAAAAAATATTTAAAATAATGTTATTGAGAATTGAGGGGTATTTAAAATATCTAGTTGGTAAAAGCAAATATTTATAACTAAAAACTGTAAGTTATGCACTAATTAAAGCTATACAATTAATTATTTTTTTTAAATATTAATTAATTTAAATTTTACTAATTGTAATAAATACAAACAATTTAATAATCGGCTATATCTATTTGAAATATTGAACAAAAATATTAAAAGTTAACTTGTCCTATTGACTAAACCTAGAAAATATGTGTAATTATATCTTAAATAATTGTAATATTATTTATATTCAATATAATATGTATATAATATATGTATATTTTTTTATTGTTTGATATGAATACTTTTCTGTTTAACAAAAATCTGTATTTCTCCTTTGTTAGTAACTATGTATGTATCATACTAGACGAGTATCATATTTTACTAAAAGATCTTACAGTTATCTTTCATTTTTTAATTCTCAGTCTTTATTGAATATGAGATGCTATTTTTGTTTTGAGAGTTTGTGACAAAAAGTACAATTAAATACTACTAAACTTTAAGTACAGTTTTCTTAACTTATAGGATATGATAATAAACTTTGCAATTGGAAATAAAAAATAGGTATTGCTACTGAAATCAAAATTAGTTAAATAACTACCATAATTACCAGTTTTAGAAGTATTTAGGAAAGTGTTCACTGCTCAAAAAATGGTTACATTTTGAAAAAATGAAGATTTATATTAAATGATATTATGTATTCGCACATTAATATACATTGGACACACCAATATTAAATTAATGTTACTAAAAAAAAATATAAAATTTGTACTACTAAAATTACTACAAAAAAAAAAAAAAAAAAAAAACTATAGGTTCCCTACTAAACTAGAAATTTACCTCAATTTTTTTATGAAAAGCAATTCATCGAATAAATATTGATAACAGTGATAATTGTATACCATAGATAATATAATCGTATATCACAAAGGACGGTAGTCGAGTTTGTTTTAGTTTCTATCGGTTCAACTCGCTCGGGCGTGGTTTATTGTGTTGGTAGCAGACGTGAGTCACGACTTTTTGATCCATCATAGTATGTTTATGGCTCGGCCGGAAAAAAAGATTCCGCAACCTTTGTCGCCGAAATTTTGCCAGCAGCGTCGTCAGCCACCAGAGGGCTCTTCGGTATTTTGAATACAGTCACTGTCGGAAACTTTACGCTATAATGAAGTTAAAAATCCGAAATGTATTGTGTACGATGAAGCGTTCCGGCAAACAAGGCACCAAGGTTTTCTGAACCGAAATATTGTTGAAATCACGTCTAGATAATTCGGTTTAGTTATTGGTTTCGCCATCTAGTGGAATAAATGCAATACTAAATAACTTTTATTCATATTAAAACAATTAAAACATATTAAAACATGGTCGTGTTGTATATAACAAAATTATAATCTACCGCTACGCAGCGCCACTAAAATAGGAATAGATTGTACAAGCAAATTAGGCCAGTTGAACGACACTTGGTTGACATTGCGAACGTGAGTATCTCCTGACTCGACTGTGCATACAATTCATCATTACCGCTGTCGTTCCACAAGTCACAACACTTCAGCCGCCCGTCACCAACACTAATTTGTATCAGTTAATCTTAATTCGGGACTGACGGGGCGGTGCCCGGATTTCGTCGTTGACGCACAATAATATTTCGGTCGCCGTCCGAAATGTCGCCAATGTCACCGAATGTCAATGCAGTGTAATAATAATTAGTGCACGGTGTTTTAATTATTTAATAAACTATCTATTATTTGTATTGAATCAACTAATTAACCCGTTGTTTTCGTCAACGCGCCTATTTCGTAATAATAAATTATAGACGTACTTGGCCAGCTGTTGATTTTTACGTTGTAACTGCAGCCGTCCGCAGCCGTTTTTTGATAAAGTTATTGCTAGCTTGACTCGCAACTCAAGGATTTGATTCGGCCGGAAAAACTTAACATGGAGTTCAGTTATTTGTGTAATGGCTTGATATGTAACGTCCTGATTCAAGATTCCGTCACCCGCAAAAGATTGTCGACGGAAACGTACAGGACCATACTGAAATGTGCAATTAATGGTAAACCTGCCAAAGGATTCTCCATATTACTAAGCGACAAAAATGTTAAGAACAGAAAATATAACATCGACACGCTAATAGGTATATACACCGAGCAGGCGGACAATGGCATATTTGCGCTTGGTTTCCAAAATCCCAAGCATGATATAATGCTAATTACTGACAACTCGGGCATCGGTAAATTATTCGTGAAAACCCTGTTACGCGATGTTAAACGGTTTAATATACAATTAAGTTTGGACTTGAAGTACAATCCAGGTGTTAACAACTATTTGGGTCTGAAGCGTTTCGATCGTAATGCGCTAGACCTAGGCAACTTAAATGTACTAATTTTGGAAAAATGTTTTCTACCTCCTTGGACTAATTGTATCGGCAATTTGCCTATTTCATATTTAAGTTTGACACACAGTACTCTAGGAAGTAATAAAGACGAACAAGACGTCTTTTGGGATTGGATGTGTATGGATACCGTTGGTCAAACGTTAAAGATATTAGAAATGAACAAATGTGGTCTGAAATCGGTACCGTTCGAAATCTTGTACTTGAAAAATCTGCACACTTTATCCTTGGCCGAAAACCAATTGGTAAGTTTAGATACCTACTCACTTAATATTTAATAGATGATTTAATATTTTTATTTTTTTTTGACTGTTAGTCAAAAGACTGACAAAATCAACACGTTTCATTTATAAGATTTATAATACATTTTTTTTTCCTAAATTATACATTAAGGTACATATAATATATCAAGTATATACAGAGTGATTCAAAATTTATGTTAGGCTACAGTCATTTTGTCATATCAGTATTCAAAATAGAAATTAATACACAATATAAAAGTTGTTTATTTTATACAATTTCTTTTAAATTCATTACAAATGTAAAATGCATTTTTTTTTTCTTACAGTATTTTAGGGGTATGTTTTGGGAGTCAACTTTTAAAATTTTAAGAGAACCTAAACTTTATTACAAAAATATCTTCACATTATTTTTGTAATAATTTTTAATGGAAAAATTATATTTTTTTTTTTTAAAACTCTATGCTTGATGGCAGTTTAAAATTTTAGACATTGTCTTTTCAAAATTAGTATGCCACATTGTGTAATTGCACACGGGCTACTTATCGGTGTGCAATTAATATGCAATTTCTCTTTAAATGGATTTTAAACGTAGAATTTTGAATAAATTAATGTTATTTAATCATTAAAATGTATAAAAAAATATCTCAAAAATTGATCCCCAAAACTCGCCTCAAATACTGTAAAAAGTAGTTACCTACTAATAATTTTAGATGTTTATAAATCAAAAAACTTTCATGTTATATATTTTTCCCTATTTTGAATATTTATTGTTTGAGAAAAAATGAAGTAACATACATTTTGAATCATCCTGTGTTTATGGGATGATTAATTCAACATTATGTATGATGAACTTGAAACATTTTTTTTTAGTTTTACATAATTTTTAGATTGGGAGCATAGGTATCTATTGGTTTTACTATATTGTGTTATTTTTTTATTTTATTATTTTTTTTTTTGTGTCTGTGAACAACTTTTCTACCAGAAACCTACCTCCGAAGTATGGACTATAGCAGAATTTTTGAAAGAGAATTTTCTCACATTGGTGTATTGAGGAGGTCATTTTTCTGTTTTCTAATGGGTTTTTGAAATAATCGGGAAAAACCCGAAAGAAATATGTAGGTAAAACGGGAAATATTTACAGCACATCGCGGCGTTACTGTTTTCATTGTTTTTATTATGTCAACGCGATGTTTTCTATCAGAATTATTGCTCAAGTTGAAAAATGAAAAGTGACTGATTTTGTTCATTTTAATATTTCACCACTTTTTTCTTGGAGTGGTATTTTAAGGAAGTAATTTTTCGATTTTCTCAGAAGTTTTCTCATCAAATATAAAAAACCGAAAAAAAGGAAAAAAAACGGAAAATGTACGAAATTTAGAAGTTAGTTGAAAAATATTTCGGCCTTATTTTTTTGCAAACAATTTTTCTATTATCAATTTTGCTCCAATTTACAATGATACCACTTTTTCTGAAAATAAATCGGAATGAGGAGGTACTTTAAGGTGATAATTTTTTGATTTTCCGAAAATGTTCCAAATAAATGGGAAAAATCGAGAAAAACTGCAAAAAACGCAGGAAAAATAGGGAAATAGGTACAATATTAATTAAATATTATTAAAAAAAAATAAATAATGCCTATATGTAATTATTTTATCATAATTTGACATACATATATCGTTGACAATGCATCACTATTAACTGAACTCCACTCTGAATCGTTTTTTCGTTATCAATGGTTTATCGTTAGTCACAGGTATATACCTGTCAAACAACAATTGAAATTTACCATTATTGTTCGTGTTATTTTTTAAAACAACACATTATTTACATTATTTATTGAGCATTTTTTCGAAATATACGAAATATACAAAATATGCGAAATATATTTATGCCAATACTCACTATTAATTATTATCTAAAAATAAAATATAGATTAAATTCAAAATCAACGCTCCCAAATAGAAGAGCTCAACATAATTTCAAGTAGGTATGCAAGTCAAATATTTTCTCTTACATGATCATGTGTTATATTTTATCTATAATCTACATAAATTACCTAAATACGTATATACGTGTATACGATAGAAAATAATTTTCAAGTCATTTGAGTTGAATGTTTTCTACCAAATTTCTGTAGTTTGTAGTTGTATCTTAAATGCCAGTGGCGTATTTATAACTTTTTTTTTTGAGGGGGGGGTGAAAAGTTTATTACATTATGTATTTATATAATTTAATGACATATAAATAATATAAAATGAAATCAAGCTTTCTGTTCTTATTTGCTAAATCACTGATCTCAAATAAATACATTTTATAAAATTATCAGCATTCAAATACACTTTAAATGGTATTGCAATAGTGCACGTTTATTAAATATTTCAAATCTATGCTTTTAACTATCAAATTTGCATTTTACTAAAGCCCCAAAACTTTGGTTATTAATACCAGCAGCAGATTTAGCATAAGCAACATATACTTTACAAAAAGCACCATCTTCCTTTGCCAAGTAAGCTAACCAAGGTAAAAGTGATAGCCAATTAAATTGAAATCTACTTGTCTGGCCTTTTTTATTTTTATCATAAGTTTATTTATTAATTCAAAATTTAAATCGGGTTTCTAAAGATAAGTTAGAATTTCATTTATTTAAACTGATGTTAAATTTCTTGAAGTAAAACAATCTTTTATATTTATATTGTTAATATCTGGTGTAACAAGAATAGTTGAAATCACCTAGGCAATTGATGTTACATCAGTTGACATAGAAGAGAAAGATAAATATTGTGTATTAATTTCCTTTCAATAAATAAATTACTCGTGAAATAAGTTATATAAAAACGTTATAAAAAAAAATCCCTGGGAAGGTGGAAACCCCTTCCCCATCCGTAAATATGTCACTGCTTCAACGACAATTTTTATTTAATTATTTTATATAATTATAATAGTTAATGAGGAAATTAAGTTGGGAGCACAGATAATGTATAAAACAAATAGATAGTAGACTTTCGTATTATTATTGTCGCCAATAAAATATCCACCATCCTTATTTAAGAGGTGAATTTTAAATGGCTTATTTAAGCCTTACTTATGACTCACTTATGTTTTATAATATTTATAATGAACGATGTTATAATATTTAAATATTACCTATGTAATTATGTGTTCCTTAATTCATCTATGATGGCATCGATGCCATCGGTTTTGTTCCTTTTTAAATCCGAAAATCTCTGATGGCATCAAAGACGGCTTTATTACTCATCGTATTTCCAAGTCGGTTGATGAGATGAGGTGGACTAGATGCGTTTGTTATCTTACTTTTTTTCTATAGCTATAGCCTATAATAGTTACAATATTTAATTATTATTATTATAATTTTAGGTTTCATGATAATATTGCTTAAAACAATGTGCCTTTAATATTTCATGGCGCCATCAGTGATGCCTCTGCCCATGCCATCATAGATAAATTAAGGAACACATGGTATATCAGTTGAATTAGATAACGATTGGCAGCCATTTTGTTGGAGACATTATTTATATATATAGACTATAGGATATAGTCTTTGCATATAAAATATAATAGCTATAGTATGTAGTAATTGGCTATCTAGTATTTATATATACATATATATGTGGTTTGGAGTACGAACTAAGATAATATGAAGTGCTAACGGAATCAATATCTATGGTTGTGGTTGAATTTTGATGCGTAGTTTCTTAGTGGGGTAGGGCATAATATCAAAATGGTTTTTTTTTTGTAATTTACATTTACGGCGTAAAATGAGAGACGGTGTTCGAGTATTGACGGTGCTAAAGCATACGTGATTAAAATTGTATATTGGTCATTTTGTTTATTGAGAAAAAGATACCAAAATATTACTAAGATCATATTTTCCTTTAACTAAATTGAAATATGTTTTGTACCATGATGATGAATTGAAACCAATACCATAATCCGGTTTACTCAGTGAATTTCTTGAATGTGTAGTGCCACTCACACACTTATCAGATTGCCCATTTTCAATAAAAAAAAAAAAAGGGTTCGGTCAAGTAGATTCATACGTCATATGTTTATGATGTTTGATAATTAAATCGTTTTTTTTTTTTTTTTTGTTGTTTTTTTTTCTTATGTTTATTTTAGCGATTTCTCTTATCTTTGTCTAGACATTCTAAAATTTATATTTAGCTATATAATACCACATAAGTGTTCCTTGTATGTTTAATATTAAGGTAGTTATTTTATAAACATTTTTTGAAAACTATTAGTAGGTATATTGATGGAAACTTTTTTTTTTTCAGACTTGTATACCTTATTTCATTGGTGAATTAAAGAATCTCGACAGCTTGTTCATTAATAATAATTCTATAGCGTGTTTACCAATATGTTTAAACGAAAAAGGATTTAAAGATTTAAATTATTTCAACAATGAATTTGATGAAAGTGAGAAGCTCGTGCCAAACATGGAAATCCAGAATTTAGTTTCAAAGGATGAAATACGATTCTTACGAAGAAAAGGAACCCAACCTCATTATTCATTATATTATTTATCATTATTTACTATGATTAACAATGGGATAAAAATAAGGAGATCTAGTTTACCGCCCTGTCTATATAAAAAACTAAAAGACTATGGTGAAAATCTCGTCCGTTGTTATCATTGTTCGAAATTATTGATACCCGAATATAGTTACAGTTGCTTTGATCACAAATTGATTTACACAAGAAATCTAATCACTAATAGTGCTTTAAAATGGTTACAGTTTGAGTGTGTTTACAAATGTACTTTTGGAAGTGACATTATATACAATTTGTATTAATAGTAAAAATTAAATATTCATTATAGGTTATAGAGTTTTAATACATAATGTAGTACAGACAATTTTAAATGAAATCATAACTATAGGCGTTTACTGACTTTGCTGGCAGGGGGCAGAATATATATTATACATTATATGTAATATAATGGAATATTATTTTGGTTATTAATTATTACTTATTAGTAGGGTTGCTGAATTTTCCTATATATAGTACCTATATACTATATTGTGTATAGTTAGACTTCTACTTTGTCTTTATACATAAATATTATAAATTTATACTATTTAATACTTATGATATAGGGTGTCCCATGAAGATTTGACTATTGCAATAACTAGTTCAGTTTAATATTTTTAATATATATATTTTTTTTTATATATTTATTAAACCCTTGCGCATTGATTATTCTATTTTATATTTGTATACATTTTTAAAAACTTAAAATAAATTTTATAAAATTCAAGGTAGCCATTTTATAAATATATATTTTATGAGTGAATTTTGGTGTTATAAATATTTACTAATGATGAATGGTTAAATTTTTACAATTAATTTTTCATGAGAAAATTGTTGAATCAACTGATACTATTTAATAGTGGCAATAAAAATAATTTTATACTATCTTAAATTTCAAAAAATATTATCAATGAATTCAAAATATTTTCCATTTTGTAAAAACAATTTTTCAAATGTTTTATTTTTAGTTTTAAAAAATATTTAAAAAAATAAAATAGAATAAACATGATGCAAATATTTAAGAATTATAAAACAAAATAAAGTTACAAATATTGATCAGAACAAATTTATGGAATCTTCATGGGATACTCTGTATAATATGTTTTATATTGTTGTACAATTTTACTCTTGCATTACTCAAGTATTGTATTATAATATTATAGTTTTATGTGTGCATTTTTAAAAATAAAACCTAGTATTAATATTTTGATAAAATAATTATGCTATAACTATACAATATTAATACCTTACATGCTTAAATAATACTATGATAAGTTCATTATAAATAGGTGCAATAATTATGATGTATTTTATTTGAGTTATACTCAGGCCCATCATAAGATATTTTCCGCCTTACAGCGAAAATTTTATTGCAGTCTTTTTTTGACTATTATATAATTTGTTTTGCTGCTTCAATTTTTTTAAATGTTAAGCCGTTTTTAAGCAATAAGCGTTGCTTGAATTTATTTTCGTATTTAACTCATGGGATACATGCTATTATCAATTTTAATATTAATTATATATTGTAGATTTTAATGAAATAAAAGTGTTATTTTATTTGTTAAAAGGTAGAAGTAATGTGTATTATTGGTGTTAAGCTAAGATTAGGATTTATTCACTTTATCAAGTTTGAAATTAACATGTAAATTTGCAATTATATAATCTGTTTACACAAATTAGATATTAAGACTTGTTTCGGCAACTTCTATATTAATAATTTTTGTTTAATAATCTTAAATTTCACTATATAAACTGATCATAGTAACTCTGCTAAATAAAAACATAATTTTTTTGTATAATAGAAAATAATTCAATAGAAAACCTAAGTAAATATTTATTATATTTCTCTTATTTTAAACTACTTTTTGCACTATTATAATACATTATGTACTAAATATAGGTAAATAAATAATCTATATTATTAACATTAGTTGATTATGCACTTATTTATGAGTATAATAGGTTTGTGTTTAATATTTTAATATTTTAGAGTAAAAAAAAGTATACTGTAAAAATATTTCTAAAAATTTTAGGATCAAAAATAATTAATATTTTGGCCTTTCATAACATATATAACTGAACTCCCCTCAGAATTTTTTTCGTTAGCAAAGATTAATTGTTGTGAATAGAATTCTCATCTATAATAGTGGTCACCCAATGAGTGAAATTTGTCCATATTTCTTTTTTTGTATTTGTATGTATGTGTAAGCCTAATGTATAAGGGTTGGATAGTATTTAAAAAACATTTTTAATATTTGTTCTCACCGATTATATTTTGTAAATTTTCCTGTTTGATTTTAATAGTTATTCGTATAACTATTATTTTTTTTTTTTTAATAATATATTCTATGTTATCATCTTAAAATCATTTTATTACTGTTTAGTTTAAAAATAATTAGAAAATGTGTATTTTACAATTTTCTTAAAATAGTGTTTGAACGTTTTATATTTAATATTATTAATATTTATTATAAAATTCTGAGTAGAGTTATATTATATATTAAAATATTAAAAAAAAAAAAATCATAATTGTTTTATTTTATTGTCTTTAAATTTGTATTGCATGTAATAGTAATATTGACCTATTTGATTTATTGATATGTAATCTTTTATTAAATATTTGATTCTTACAATAAATATTATTAACTTATACAATTTACAAAATGTGGATTATTCAATATAAAATATTACCTAAACAAGTCTACTAAATTTTCAGTCCTAATAAACTAAAAATGAAATACTTGAAAAGTTGAAAAAAAAAAAACCAAAAAAAATGACATATTATTTTAGATAAAGATGTGTTATCAATTTAACAATACTTTAGTTTTAAATAACTGTATAACTTGTTTAAATTTTAGAAAAATAGTTTAAATCTATAAAAAAAAAAAAAGTGGACATTTTATTATAGATGGATATTTTGTATATCCTTTAATATTTAATTACAATACTTGTTTTACTTGTTACTGGCTATTTAATTTTAGTGAAGACCAATATATAAAACGAATAAATAAATGATTTGAGCAACAAATTTAAACCTTTAATAATATAATGGATAATCTATAGTATAAGGAAACAAAAAAGTATTACTTAATTTAAATAGAACTGTTAATCATTGAAAACAAACATTTATTACTATACCTATAGGTATTAAAACAGATAACTAACTTTATGCGTCTGTTAATTGTAAGAAAAATACATCAGTTATGTATGCTGCATTATATATAACATATTTTTCTTGCATTCAAATTATTGAGAAGACGTTACTTTACATGGGGAGGGGAAGGTTTTCAAGAATTATATGCCACTTTTTTTCTGTTGATTACACATTTAGTAGCATATAATTTTTGAAAAACTTTTTATTCCCTTCCCCCCCCCCGTATAAAGTTATTTGTCGATAATATCTATGCAAAAAAAAATTGTATGACAATGTTTGATATCTTATGTAAACAAAATTCAAAATAAACATAAAAACCAATGTATTTTAAATGTGAAACTTTTCCTCGTTCCAGGAGAATGAAAGAATTGTCCTAGAAAGTTCAAATAAAGCTTAACATTTTTATTTTGTTTTTTAGAACGAAGTGAGGGGTGTCCAAAAAGAAATGCCATCATCATCCAAATAAGAACCATCCTAATATACAAAGGGTGGAGTTATTTTAAGGGCACAATTTACCCCAAAAATATGACCTTAAATAAATCATTGATCCCAAATAAGAGGAATATAAAAAAAATATTCATATATTGAAGAATGACGAAAACTATAAAAAAAAAATGTCAAATATTGACTTACACTTTACACCCTTCTTCTTTTTGAATAAATAATTAGTAAATTATGTTCAATATACACAATAATTAACTAATATTATATGAAATCCCTTTAAAATTATCAAGTGTATATGAGTAAGTACCTATTTATAATTATTCGGAACAAACTTGTTTGTTAATAAAGTATGTTTTTCATTTATTAATTTTGAATTGATGGCTATTCTATTAGGAGAGAATGAGTGACACCAGGAAACCACAATTTAATAATAGGTACAAATTGTACATTTACAACGAAGTGATAACTATTTTAAAATTGCTTAAAAGTGTTTAACGCACCTTGCTATAACTTAACATGCAAAAACAATTACATTTTACCGTGGGAAAATAAATATAATATTATATTGATCTTACTAGAGTACTAGTAAATTAAAACATTTTAGGGAGAAATAAATAGGTACTCTAGAAATTTATATTGTCCGCATCCTTTTTTGGTCATTTAATTTTTACTTTAACATTAAGTGCAGTGTTTTTTTAAATTCTTTTAATATATATATAAAGGTATTTTATGTTATGTAGTTAACATTTAAGTGGTAAAGAAAATAATAGTTATATCACCTTATATTCCGAATACCTAGGTATTCATCATAATAATTTTATACCTGAACAACTTATAGTAATAATAATATAATGCTTATCTAAATGAATTTGTTTAAACAATTTATTCTTATATTCACCTACGAGTATACCTAGTTATAAATATATAATCTTGCAACTAATATTTTTTCGTTCACTGTTGGCGAGTAGTGGACCACCGAAATAATACCTATATTATTCTTATTGTACCTGAGTACATATAATATTTACGGTGCAGTAACTTTAATCATGGGTTCCTATTTCAATAATACGTGTTGCAAAAGTTTTTAGTAACCGATGTGGGTAACGTTTCTCGATTGACAACGAGGACATTTTGTTGTAAAACCAAATAGGTAAGTAATTACCTATTACCTATTATAAAAGTGTACCTGTAGGTAAGAGTTTCGTATGTCATGTGGTATACTGATAAGTCTGATCGAGTCGAGTACATAATAGATATTATTATTAAATTTGACTACTGTTGTATCATAATATATAATAATAATATTAATAATTGTTGTCACCTAAAGTTCATAAATAATATAATGTAGGTGTACACTATACAGGTTGCCTCGATTAATTTTCAGATTAATTGGAGTGGAGATGAAATGCCATGGCGTTATAGATATATAGCTGGTACAAGACAGGTGACTTTTTTTGTTTTACAACTCGAGTACAATGCTGAGCACTATAACTTGGTCAGAAAGTTAAAACTAAGTTCAAGATTTCCTTTGGTTATATAGCATTAAACTAATTCGGTTAACTAAACTTTTAAATAATTGTCCAACTTAAAATCCTTCTTTTGGATAAGTTGGACAATTGAATTGACAGTTGGATAATTGAAAGCGTTTAATAGAAAACAAATTAGGTACCTAGATAGTTAATTTTCAGTTTTTGATAGGCATTTTTTCGAAATCTATATCTACCTAAATCAATATTCGAAATTGAATTAATCTGCGACCGCGCAGTCTGGTGGTGGAACATAGTTTTACGTAACGCTATAGATAATATTATCTATTAACTATGCATGTAGGTCTCTTTATCTTTTGTAGTCTTCATGTTAATAAATAATTGTAATTTTTTTTTTTAATAATAATCTAATTTAAAAGAATTTGTGTGTGATTATTCTGTGTTCGCGCTTCAGAGTCGACTTGTCTCGTGTGGAATAATCGGTATTGATTATACCAAGTTTGTTTCGTGACGTTCTTCATTGTCCTCCTAGTTTCGTGTGCAAAGTGATTCTCAACCGACAGTAGGCCGTTTCGTAGGAAATCGCGATTTAATCTGAGTACCTACAGCTATTTTAAAAATCGCGTAACCATGGAAATAGAAGCAATGAAGTGTTTTGTTATCGCCAAGAACCCGGGGAAAAATACTAAACTAACGGTTTACAGATCGTCGTTATCACTCACCGAAAACGAATCGGGCGTTGTGTTTCTCAGCTGGAAATATCAGCGTGTTTGTCGTAACATCTCTCGGGAATACAAATTGGTTGACCTCGTTGGATTGTTCACCGATTTAGTGTCTGACGGCAAAGTGGCATTTTGTTTCCGAAATCCCAGAGAAGAGCTGTTGGTTAACGCTGACCAACCTGACGATTTAAACTTGTTTCTAATAGACTTGGACGTCGTCATCAGTAGCAGACACTTAGATATATCATTGGATAGACATTTCAATCCAGAGTTCTCAAGATTCATTTCAGTCGAACACTTTGATAGGACAAATCTGGACGCCAAACATCTTAGCACAGTCATTTTGGAAAATTGTGTTTTATCATCCATGCCGATCGACATTGGCAATTTGCCCATTTCATATCTTAGCTTGTCGGGTTGTACAATAAATACACAACAACGGGAATTTTGGGATTGGATGTCCATGGATACTATTTCTAAAACGTTAATAATTTTCGAAATGAATTCTATTGGTTTGAATGCATTGCCGTTTGAAATTTTCTACCTGTCTAAACTACAAACATTATCCGTGGCCAAGAACAATCTGGTAGGTCGACCTAGTTAATGGTAACATTAAATTCAACTAAGAGGTTTATAATATACACTAGGCAATCGTATTAATACATTGTAGAAATCGCATTATTGATATGTGACTGTGTTAAAAATTATGTACAATATACCTAATACATTTTGGACAAATTATAGGTTCCGGTATTAGGTAGTTTATATAAATTCAAACTCGTTCAAATTGTAATTTGTAGGTAATTTATTTTAGACTCAAATTACCTTTACTACCATTTTCTTTATCTAGATACAACTTGCATAAAGAAATATCTTCTGTTTTGATTTTTCTTATAAGCTCATAGAACTTCTGAAGGGAATATTAAACAATTACAGTTTGTACAATAAATCTTAAATTTTTAATAGTTAGGTTTATAATTAATGTGAAACAAAGAATCAATTATCCATTATTTGATCATATTAAATTTCAATTAAATATATTTAAATATAATTAAAATAAATTTTTAATTACTATTTAAGTTATTTGTTCAATATAATTTTTGATTATTCATATAGGTACCAAATATAAAGAGTTATATGTCTAAATTTGTTAAACAATTACAATTTAAATTTTTAAACCTAAACAAGTTTAATTATTTATTTTAATTATACATTTATATTATATAATATATTAAACACTAGTTTTGATTATTTTCCAAATGTTTACTACCTATGCCATAATATGATTGGAAAATAAATGCATGGCTTGAAAACTTTTTATTTTAGTTATAAAACATTATATTTGGTTCAAATTTCTTTTATTTTCATTTTAATAGTTTCTTTTTTAACGATTAACCATATTTTTTTTTGAAGTGTTTAATTTTCTTTAAGGTACGCGGTTTAATCAAAAAGTATTGAAACGCATAGTCGCAAATCGAACATTGAAGATCAGTATGATTAGTATCACTGGAATGTAAAACTTCTTTTGAGCACATATCGGTTATGTAGTAGTTTCTCTATAAACTTCTTCATTTTGATGGCACTGATATTATTGTTAAATATTTTTTTTAAATGTTTGAAAATTTTGTAATGAATACAAAAAAGAACAACTTGATGAACTTTTTAGGAGTTATAGAATTGAGATTTTGCATTTTTTTTTTTTCCATTGGAAAAAATTCCTTATTGAAAATAACAAAAAAAGTCAACTGAATACTGCAGTTTACAAGTATTACTACCAGTATCAACTCTTTTTGATTAGAACATGTAAAATCACAGAGTAAAATGGTTTAGATTATAAAACTTAATTTTCCGTTTAAATATTTAAAATTTTAATTTCTCAATATCAAGTGACCACCACCACTCTTTAATACAATGTGATCAAATTTCATATTTAGTATTATGCATTTCTGTAAAATTGTCAGATGTTAGAAAAACGGTTGATCACTAGTTATAATAAAAGAATGTGGTCGATATTACTTTAAATATACAATACAATTTTTATTAATATTACAGTACTTTTTCTTCAATATTATTATTTTATTTTTAATCTGTCAATATCATTGCCATGAACCTATACAATAATTGTTTGTATATATATGAAATGTATGAAAAATTGTTTTAATAGGTTCCTGGTTAAATTCATAAAAATTAAAAACTTTTATGTTTGGGGAACAAAAAAAATATTATAAACAGAAATTGAATTTAAAATTGGGTTTTCCAAATAATAGTACTAATTTTTAATCATTATATTTAGAAAGTACTTCTTATTTACATTAACATCATTTTATTTTAATAAAAATTATTTCCTTTTTTTCAGACATACTTACCTCATTACTTCTGCGAATTCAAGGAACTTGAAAACTTATTTATTAATGATAACAAGTTACAGTATCTGCCAGAATGTTTGCTGGATACAAATTTAAACAATTTCAACTTCTCTAACAATAGATTCCAAGAATTTAATAGTTCACTATACACAATGACTGTTTTACAAAAATTAAAAAATGTAAAAAAAACAGGAGTACCGGTTTGCCCCAAACTAAGTTATTTATGTTTTTATGCTTTAGTTGATAATCATGTAAAATTGAAGAGAAATACTTTACCAAACAATTTATATAACAGACTTGAATACTTATTCAATGAAATTAACCGGTGTAGATTTTGTCATAAATGGACTTTACCTAAATATAGTGTTGAATGTTTTCATGAATCATGGGCAAAATCAAAAAAACTAATTAGATATTTGTCTGTACCATGGCAATCTTTTGAGTGTAAATATAAATGTTGTTCTTATACTGTTATGATTCACAGTTTATATAAAACATACAGTTATAATATTATAAATGAAGAATTGTAGTTTTACCCCCATGTTTTTCATGTATTGTTTATCATTTGTTTTTTCTACTGTTGATCACATTGTTAATATTGTAAATATATTTAATATTTTGCTACTTTGCCAATATACTTATAATTTATGTATAACTATAATAGAGTTAAATGCATTTAAAGAGATTAAACAGTATTTATTTTTTAATCTCTTCAACAAAATAATATTTTACAAATATGTTTGTACATATTACTTTTACATAATTTTAGAAGTACAACTATTTTTAGTATTAAATTAATGGAATTAAAAATTAAAATTTTACTTAAATTTTTATTTTAGTTTTAATATAATTGTTCACTAGATATAAAATGTAATATAAATTGTATATCAATTTTACTATTTTTAGTATTAAATTAATGGAATTAAAAATTAAAATTTTACTTTAATTTTTATTTTAGTTCATATTTATATGATTGTTCACTAGATATAAAATGTAATATAAATTGTCTTAGTTTAAATATAATTATTCACTAGGCATAAAGTATAATATAAATATAAACTTTATACTTATATGGAAATTGTAATTTGCTTTTGTGAATAAATTAGTATACATTTTAGAATTATTTTTAAAAATCTTAAAAAATTATTTTAAGAGTGAAAAAAGTTTACTTCAAATTTTCTATTGTATTCTATTTATTTAACATGACTCATCAATTTTCCTGGAGTATTTTAAATGAATTTGATTTCTGTTTCTTTTTTAGTCATTATTAAATTGGTTAAGCTCTATTTTAATTATTTTAAATTTTTACCAACTCAACTAAAATGAATTTACACTTTGGATTTGTATAAAGAAAGCCCCCCCCCTTCAATCACTGATTCATATAGAGAAAATTTTTCTAAACAATTGAATAACACTAATATCCAATTAACAGTTTATAAGATGTAACAGTTTAAAAGTTTACACCAGAAATTAATAAATTGCATATTCATTAATTAATGATAAATTGATAACTCTTTCTTCTACTTGTCCAGTCAAAACTATAAATTGTTATATTTTAACGATTAATTTGATATAAGTGTTGTATATTATTGATAGTGATGGTTGATAGGGAGATGGTTGCTATTTAAAAATCTAAATTAAAATAATTAAAAATCCCAGAAATCAAGTTTACATAAAATCATTCAAAAAAATTAATGAATTAATTCATGAAAAAAGTATCACCCTGAATATTTTATAATAATATTCCTATTCTACAATATATGTGGTGATTGAAGACAAATGTATTATTAAACAGATGGAAATGTTATTGAAATCTTCTAAGATATATCTAATTTCATTAAATTAAACATATAACATTAAAATTATATTGAACTACATACCTTGTACATTGTTATTTTTTAAAATGATTTTCCAGTATACCTATTCCTGAAAAATATTTGCAACTGTTCAAAGAATTACCTATTTAAGGGCGAATAAAGCAATATAATATTTGTCTAAAATGGAACAATTATTTGCAGCAACAATCACTGATGGCCAACTTAACATTAAAATTGTATGATTCCACTGAGTAATTTAATATCAATATTTATAAATGTAGTTATACATGTAGGTAATTTTTGTTTTATTTGTTTTGTTTATAGATCAATTCTATTACAATTAAAATGACAGAACTGTATATTAGCCTGTGAATTAAATGCCAGAAAGATTAATACAATAACTGGCTGAATTACCAACTGTTTAATATTTTCCATGGATTTTATTACTACAAGAACAAGTTATATCAAAAGCAACTGATAATGCAAGCAATTAGTAAATTTGTAATTAGTAAAATTTGTAAAGCCTTTAAAGACTTGTAATTTTCTATTAGATTATTAATAGATTATTCTGAGAACAATAATAATAAGTTTAGTTCAATGTTTTTTTCACATACTTGAAATTATTCTGTTATTAAATATTGTTTATTGTTTTGAAAAGATAATGAGCCCCATTGAACAGATTCATGTGGGTGCCCATGAGTTTACAATTTATAACAAGAAAAATATTACATTCAAATAATAATTTGAATTTAACTATTTCTTTTTTACACTTTTAGACTTATAAAACTAACCTAAATATATACAATGTAGGTAACAATAATTAATACTCCGAGACTTAATGTATAATATAGTTTGATCAAATACAAATGCAAGCAACTAGATTAAAAATATACTAGGTATTTATTTTTAATTATATAAATTACTGTTGCCTTATAGAATAATTTTTCTAATAATGGTAGAACATTTAATTCTTTGTATAGATATTCTAAGTGATATAAATGATTCATTTTTAAAATAATTTTNATGGATTCTACTAGAGATGGTATACAATTCTAATTTTCTTAATTTCAAGTAAGTTAGCTACATTTTTAAAAGCATAGATTATTTTTCTTAGTTTGATTGTCTATTTAATGTGGTCATGTCATTTGAGGTTATAGCACATTTCAATGCCTAAGTATTTACAAGATTTTACTATTTTTAATGAAGTTTGACATGTACAAGATTTTGGATTTGAATATTTGAGTTTGAGGATGATTATATCTGATTAGTTTGAATTAGTTATTTAGTGTGGTAATAAATAAGTCTTATCTAAATTTAAGAATAGGTTATTTGCACATAACTTATTATTGATTTTTCTCAGGCCATCTTGTATGAATGAAAATACCTCATCCTAAGAGTTACCATTGACAAAAAGAACAGAGCATAACAGTCTTGTTTACCATGTATTTTTAAATCCTTTATTCAGTTAATTTGAATATTAAATAGGGTGAGAAAGAGGTTAGTACTTTGAGATACTCCACATACTGATATATTGATTTTAGACTTAAAAACATAAATAAATAATTTGAAAATAATAATTATATATTATTCTTAATTATAATACTTTGTATTTAAGTTTGTTAATCAATTATTATGGAAACACAATGATATAAAAACTGTAAATATTAATATAATTTTTCACAATGAAGATAGTGTAAATATTTTAATCATTCCGCTACCCCACCATTTGAAATATTTTAGTCATACTCAAGAAAGTCTGAGCTTAATACCAACTCCTCATTTCCTGAAAAATGTCATATATTATGAGTTATTAGAAAGTGCACTTATTTATGGAATATATATTCTGAAATCTTTTGTATTAATTAAAAACATGTATTTAGTTCATCTTTGTTCTATTTTTGTCCAACAAGATCAAATTTATCATTTGATGTCAATAATGCATTAGTTAACTTCTCAAACGTAAAGGAATACTTAATAACTGTTTACATTTAAATATTAACATTTGTTATTTTGAAGTTTTAGATAATAATATATAATATTTAGATGAGTTTTTAATATAATTAAATTTAATTTATTAATAATTGCAAGACTATGTTGATTGCCCTGTTAATTGTTATTTCGGGTTTTAATCTCAAAATTATATTCACATATTCACAAATTATATTCATATGATCTTGAGTCAATTGAAGAAGAGGAAAAAGTTTAAGTCTCCTCCTAGCTGCACCTGTTCCCGGTATCTTTTTTTTAAGGAACAAAAAACCGGAACAAGTTCCTTTATGAATGAAAAACGAGTTACGGAACTAGTTCCTTTTTTGCAGTAGGAACGAGGAATATATATATTGTTGACAAAGCATCACTATCAACTGAACTCCACTCCGAATCGTTTTTTAGTGAGTAATAGTTTATTGTTGCTTATAGATATAAATTCATTTTTCCTTTATATCCTACTTTCCCAATTTCTCACCAAAAACAATAGCTGCACCCGTCTCAATTGTCATAGGACAGATTTTTTTATAACCAATGTATGCAATCAGTGGCTTAATCAGGATTATTTAATGGGAGGGTTGGGATTTAAAGTATGGATTACACTTTTAGCTTTTTACAGTTTAAGATTCTAAGTGGAGTGAGGAATGCATTCGTTTGCAATGATATTTATTTTTTTTTCTGTAGACACCTTTTCTACGATCAATTTTGCTCCATTTTACAATAATAACACTTTTTCTAAAAGAAAATCTGACTGGGGAGATACTTTAAGGAGGTCATTTTTTGATTTTTCCAGGAGTTTTCCCAATAAATTTGAAAATATGAGAAAACATACGAAAAACGGGAAAATAGGTACAATGTTAAACAAATATTATTTAAGAAAATGTACCTATTGCCTATTTAATTATTTTACCATAATATGATATATATATTGTTGACAAACCATCACTATCAGCCGAGCTCGGCTCAGAATCGCTTTTTCATTAGCAATGGTTTATCGTTCCTTACAGATATACATTAAATTTACCCTCTACTACCTTTTCAAATTTTCACCTATAATAGTGACTGCACCCGTCCCCATTATCCTAGAACAGTTTTTTTTTTTAATGTTTTTTGCTCAATGCTTATGTATAATGTTATTTAGATATTCAAGAACCATGACTAGTGATGTAAATAGAAGAAAAATATTAAATAATTCATAGGTGTACATACACCACAATATGAAAGTTTTAAAATATTTTATAGTTAGTTTACAACAGACGTATTTTTACACTATATGATAGTCTCCGTTCTGGTATATTTACGAGATTATTATAGTGTAATAATACTATACAATAATTAACTTATAATCATAAATGTAAGATAAACCCCGTAGAAAAAAAATAATATTTACGTCATTGATTATTGTATATATATATATAAATAAATATAGCCTTCTTTATCCTTGATTTTACTGTATTGTAAATTTAATGTAGACTAGGTAGTATATGGTACCTTTAGGTCTTTAACATGGCAAAAACTTTTTTGGCCACGAATCACTGTACTATATGATACTTTTTAGTTTTTTTCTCGCCCTTTTCAATAATTTTAAGAAAATTAATTTTTTTTTTTTTTTTGTTTACCCAATACCTAATTGTTTTCTGGCCAATAAATCATCTTTAAAACAAAAGTAAATATTATAAGTTTCCAAGACTTGCATACCTACCTACCGTGTATGTGGATGGACAAACAATATTATTGGCTATTTAGAATAAGATTAATAACTTTTTAATATTGCATAACTCAATTTTTATTAAATCAATAGAATTTAACCAGAAATGTAATTAGGTGGGTAGTAAAAATTTAACAGTTTTTGAATGAGATAAAATGAAATCTCAAAAGAAGGAAAAATTAACTAAAGTAGTGGAGAGACGTAATGACGATCCCATTAAGCCAGATGATCAGCTACATTTAACTGCAGAAGTAAGAATTAAACAATTTAATTTGTATTTTAAAATCCAATGTGTGTGCTAAGCTTTTTAAGTGTTTTCATTAAAAACTTTATTGCACTGCGGGATCCCCTTATAGCAGTTGCGTATTCTCAAGGGGGATCCAGGATCGAGACCCCCCTCGAATAAGCAAATGTGGTTAAAAAGTCATATAGATGGCTTGCTAGCAAGGTATAGAGAAAAAGAAAATTAATTTATACCGAATGATTTTTTTTATCATGAACCAGTAATTATCTCAGAAGTGAATTTGATTTCTATTTTTTTGTAATCTTTGTTTAAACTTTATTTTGAAACTATTTTTAATTTTTTATTATTACTATTTTTATTTTTCAAATGGGAACCAAATTTTTTTCAAATTTTGAACACAGATTCAAATAGAGTATATTTTTCTAGAAATATTGATATGCATAACACTAATATCAGATTTACCGTTTATAAGTTTAACTGTTTAAAGTTTAGACCGGAATAGTAGGAAAGTGTTATCAACTATCATTTAAAAGTAGGTATACAATCTATGGAATAAAGGTAAATAATTAAAAATGGTATTAAAATAAAGCTTGAATTATTGTACAAAGGTTAAATTAAATTCATTTAAAATTTTCTGAAATAATTACTGCTTCATGATGAATAAATCACCATTTTTTAGAGATATTTTAATCCCCCCCACAAAAAAAAAATTGAAAATACACTACTGCCTTGTGTAGTAAACAACCTATGCAACTTGAGAGTGTGAGTTTGTATACAACGAAAATGTCTATACTTTGCTTGTATGATTCAAAATATTTATTACTTAGACAGTAGCAGATCTGAAGCTAATTTATGGGAGGATTAAGATAAGGATAGCCTATTCATATCTTTATTATTTATGAGTTCCAGTAGGTAATAATTTTAAAATAATTAATTTACCTGTTATTACCACCCCCTCAAATCCACTACCACTCCAAGACTACTGTGTTTGTTCTCAACCAAATTTACCTAGTTAACTGGAATCATGCAGTTAACCTTAATTTTTAGGTTATAATTTTATCTTCTTAGATACTTATTTACTTATCTAAATTACATTTTATTGTCTATTACACCAATCCAATTCCTATCCATTTAAAATTATACTCTTTTGCCTGCCAAAATAAGCCTTTGTATGATCCTGTCAAATTCTGACCCGTCTTTTCCAGTTTTCCCATACTTTTGTAGTGTACATATATATATATATGTAGTGATGTTATCTATTGTTAATTAATTTTTTTTAAGTGTAGATAAATTTGCTGCTTTAATTTAAGTAATGGATATGGTAATCAATGAAAATGTGTAAACAATTATACTACGCCCATTTATATTAATAATAATAATAATAATTGAGATAACCCCGTTCTGGTGCCTATTTCTGTATACATGATCAAGTGGAGGGAATTAAGTTCCAGTAGCTGGTTGACATGGTTTGAAAGGGACGCTAAGTGCGGAGGGGATCAACAACTGTTGTTGAGCTGCCTAAAAAGAAATAGGTACGCGCAACCAAACGACGAAAACTCGTTATCAACAACATAATATATTTATTGCATGTAATTTATTATGTCCTAACAACATTATGTTATAGGTACCTAATATAACCTACCTAATATATATATATATATATATATATATATGAAGATAATATAATATAATAAAATAATAATAATATAATATAATATAATAATTTATCTGAAAAATAAATAAATTAGTTAAATATATATATATACATATATGTTAATAAAGGAAAATTTGTTAGTATTTGTCGCTAATCATTCATGTTTGGGAATAAATGGGATACAAATTTTAAATTGTTAATAACATTTTTAATTTTGGTAAATTTTTTTTTAATAGCTTTTTATTTTTATATTTTCAAGTAGAAAAAAATATTATAACAACAAAATAAAAATTAATTCAGCACAAAGAGAATATCTAGAATTAATTAATTTAGCACTTACAGGGTTAATAATTGTGGCTTTTTACGTCGTATAAATACATTTAATATGCATGGTTTTATAAAATTCGTTAAAATATAAAAATTTCAGTCTAAACAGAAATAACTAAATGCGGTTAAATTTAGCCAAATAAATGAATGTATTACAAATAAATGTAAAAAGTAATCAATTTTTAAATAATAATAACTAAAAATTTAAAAATATTACTTATTGCATAGGTAATAAATAAAATACCTATTCATTTACAATTTATTTCAGGAACTTGACGAATTTTACGGTAATATTTTTTATGTCAAAGAACCGATAAAGTTAGCTTCAAGAGTAATTTATGATAATAAAAGTCGAAGTTTCGTGACACAGACGGACAAAAATATTTACGTAACAGCCAATGTGAAATCAACATTACTATTTCATGGATCGACGGAAGCTGAAACACAATTGGAAAATGATTTATGTAGTAAGAACTATGAATCTGAAAAATGTTTTTCAATTACTATTTCTTAATTTTATTTTAATTTTTTTTTTTTACAGAAAAATATGAGAGTCCTGATGTTGACGATGATAAAAGCATTGTTGAAATAGAAGAGGAACAAAAACAAGAAGAAGAAGAAGAAGGTATATATAAAAATGAGGATGATAATATTGAGGAGAATGCAGCGGAAGAGATGGGTGAAGAATTTGAAAATGGTGAAGAAGAAAATAATGATGAAATGAATGAAATGGAGGAACAGATAATTATACCGGAAGTGCAATTACCTCAATTACCTAAAAAATCGTTCACCATAACTAAGAAAAAGTCTGGATCGTCTTTATATAGTTTGCCGATTCAAAAAAGATGTGTCTTCGTAAAACTAGCAAACAAATTCAACTTTACTAACAGATATTCTCAAAATAAGAAATGTATACTCAGAGTAAGTAGATTATTGTATATATATGTACTTCAAAATTCTGAGCATAACAAGAAATGTATTGGTTTTACTATGATGAGTGGGATTTTTTTTATTAATTTATTATCTTTTCAATCTGTAAACAACATTTCTATCATAAATATTGCTCTTATCAAACATGACAAGAGACTTTTTTGTTGTATTTTAGATCTTGTTGGTGAATAAGAGGCAGAGTCTGATTTACAAATTTTAAGGCCCAGGACAAAAGGGCCGTTAATCAAAATAAAAATAAAAAAATATCAGCATTCTACTCCGGTAATGCGCAAGCATCTATTATCCATTATCTTAAATCCAATCAAATAATTAAACCAATTAGGCCTTTGATTCGCATGAACCATGGACAAATATGCATAATGTACTTGCGTAAATAGGGTACTGATAAAAAGGTCATTTTTGTCTTTCCAAACAGTTTTTATAATAATTGGAAAAATAGGAAAAAAATAAAATAAAACACGACAGATTCACAACGTTAAAGATATCATAATTTTAAGTTTTTCAATTTTTGTTTTTTTTATCAAAAGTCATAATCGAAATTTCAAGAAAATCATGTTTTCTATGAGAAAATTTTGTCTAGTGGGTATGAAAGTTAGTTTTCAGCCGGGATAGACTTGGAAACATTTAAAAAACTATGAGCTGATACTGGCTGATATTGGGGATGGGTGAGCCACTGTTGTAAGTCGAAAGTCTGCTAGGTATATAAAAACATAATATTATTTAATTTATATCTGTATACGAAGCTACAAAGTATTATTGATGGTGAAATAAGATTCCGAATGAAGTTACATACTTCATCATCGTATGCATATTTTAAAAAGCCGTAATATTTACGATTTTCGTTAAAATTTGTTTTTTAAGTTCTTATAAAAAAAAAAAAAATAAATAAATAAATTCAACGTTTTCTTATTGACTACTAAGTACAATTTAAAATGAACCTCCTGTTTAATTTTCAAGTATTTCTTTTTCATCCAAATTTAATGTCTCTACGAATATTTAACAGAATTGCATAAAAAAAACAAACGGACATAAATCGCACGATAGATGGGCCACTGTTGAACGTGAGAAGTTGGGAAGGTAAAGAGAAAATTTAATATACATATACATGCAAAGATTAATCATTCATTCCTAACGAAAACCGATTATGAGCAGATTTCGGTCATATAAGGGGTAATAAATCTTTAGTATGTAAGACATTCATCATCTCGGAAAGTAAACGTTTTTACGGAATTTGTTTTAAAGAACATTTAAGAAACAAAACAAGCTTTTCTTAAATTTAAAAATTACATTTTTTTCCTCACCCTAATTTTTGGGGGTGAAACGACTACCTATTTTTGATTTTCATATAACAACCTATATTAAAAATGCCATAAATAGATGGAATAGTAGTTAAAATAAATGTTGGTGTTTAAATTTGTAATTTCCGTCAATCCATTGACGCGATATAGCACTTTTAATTTTGGATCAGAGGAGAGTAGTGGAGCATCACTTGTGTGGCGGCACAGCACGCGGCGTTTTAAGAATGAACCTCCACTCTCCCCCGACCCAAACTTAAAAATGAAATATCGCGTCAACGGATTGACGGAAGTTACAAATTTAAACACCAACATTTATTTTAACTACTATTCCATCTATTTATGGATTTTTTTAACATAGGTTGCCATTTAAAAATCAAAAATAGATACTACTTTCATCTCAAAAAATTAGGGTAGCAAAAAATTAAAAAAATGTAAAATTGCAGAGCAGCTTAATTTTAAAATTTTACATAAAACAAATGTCCAAAAAAGTTAATACTTTCCGAGATAATGTGTGACTAACGATAGATTGATCACCTTGTATGTTTTGAAAAGCCGTAATATTTATGATTTGAATATAATACATTACGTACATTTTCCTGTTTTTCCCGGTTATTTCCATTTATTATGAAATACGTTGTGAAAATTAAAAATAACTTGCTTAGAGTACCATCCCAGTCAAATTTTCCAGTAATGGTGTTATATTTGAAAATCTGAACAATATTATTGGTTAAAAGTTATTCACGGAAAAAAAAAATATTCATACTTTTTTCCGGACTACCTATGTAATTTTTTGGTTTAACTCATTGATTTAAACAAAAAGACTTTCTAGGTCACTAACTAGATTCAACCATTAGAGATCTTTTTTTTTTCTATTGGAGTTATATTTTTTGGGTAGAAAACTAGAAAGCATATGTTTAAAAATTTAAAATAAAGTAATCGCTGTAAATTCATTAGTTATCAATTTTGTTTTATTTTTTTTTTTTTGTTTTTCCTAATTATTGTAAAAAATACTTAGGATATTAAAAAATTACTTACTTTTTCTACTGGCTGTATGTAAAAGGAATAAAATCAATTTCATGTCATTTTTTTTTGATTTGAGCAATATTTCTGGTAGAAAACATCGTGTAAACAAATTTAAAATAATGAAATCGGTAACACCGCAGAGCACCTTAAATATTTACTGTTTTACTTACACTTTTCTTTCGGATTTTCCCAATATTATTTTAAAAATCATTTAGAAAATCAAAAAAGACCTCCTTAGTCTTTATGCGCCAACTAGATAAAATTATCTTTTAGAAAAGGTGCTATACTTGATACTTTGGAGCAAGATTTTTGGTGGAAAAGTTGTTTACAGAGAACAAAATAAAAAAAACACATCAAAGCAAAATCAACAGAATCTCCGAATTTAAAAGAATAAATATACAACAGTAAAAGTTTAATTATTTTCTATTTTAAGTACTAAATGAAGGGAGGAATGTATCGGTTTTACAAAGTATATACACTTTGTACAGACATTTTCTTTCTTTCAAAATTTTTATCTAATTGTTACTTCAAATTTTGATTTTCCAAGCAGTTTTCATAATAATTTGGTAAAATCGGGAAAAAACGTAGAAAGAACAGAACATTATACGACAATAATGTGTTTATTATTTTCAATCCAGTTTGTGTTTTTGTTATAATTTAGCTTAAAATATTTGTAGAGACTTGAAATTTAGACAAAGAACTTACATTTACCTTTTCTAGAAGAAGTACAATTTTCAAAAGACATGAACTATTTTTTAGCGAATTATAGATTAAGATTAAATGTACGCTAGTGGTGATGTTTTTTCGATATTTTTATTTTTAAGTGAGATATGAGTATGTGAAATACCATATTTTAAAAATTCTAGAGAACATAATAATCTTCTTACCTTTAAGTTTGGTGATAATTCAATTTACTTTAATGATATTAAAATTAACGTCACAAAATGATTTGTCCTGCTAAACGCAAATTTGGTATATACTTTACGGGTATAAAGACCTGAAATTTTCACGGAATACTTTTATATTTTTTTTATATTTGTCTTTTCTAGACATGTACCATACACGAAATCGTCATTGAAATTCGTCTATTTTTTAGTAAAAATTATCATAGGGTTAATCCATTATAGTTCGCGTCAAGAAATCTTGCGGCTGAACGTCACGTTCCAAGCAGACATTTTGCTGTAGTGGTTATCAAACAATAATACAATTTGCCGTGCTTATTCAAATAAGTACGCCTTTCGATGGGTGACTATAATTGACTTAATGTCTCTTATCTCAAAATAGTAAAATATTCAGGAGAGATGAAATGTGAATACTAATCGTGTATTACATATAGCGTTTTTTTTGTCCCGTAGAATAAGAGCCACTGTCTACACTATAGGTAAGGTTCGAGATACGGCGGTGGCCAGCTACCAGTTTTTGTGACGTGGATTATAGGATACCTAGAAACTGAAGGGCTATTTTATTTTTCGTGAAAAAGTGCGTGCGTACTTCGCATACTTTTGAGAGAAGTAAAACATTTATTGGGAAAACTCATGGGAAAAACAAAAAATTACTTCCCTTAAGTACAACCACAGTCAGGTATCCTACCAAAAAAAGTGTTATCATCGAAATCAGATCAAAATTTCTGGTAAAATAGTTGTTAACAGAAAAAAAAATTAAAAAACTGATCATCACTATAAAATCAATACATTCCTCGTTCCACTCAAAATCTAAAAAGAATGTTATACAATTTTGACATTTTTAATGAAAAATAAATAATCCTACAGTTGAATGTATGCACAATTTTTTGTTATAAGAGTACGACCATAAATCTCCAATGAAATAACTGTTTTTAAATGCACCTACATTCTTCTGTGGCATGGCGATAGAGGTGATTGAGAGGCGGTGAAGTGTAGAGAAGAATGTATTGATTTTACAAAGATGTTTATTTTTAATTTTTTTATTTTTATACTTTGTACAAAAATACTACCAGAAAACTTACTCCGATATAAATGTGTGGCATTGTTTCTGAAAGGGGATGTTGTTTAGATGGTACATTTGGGAAGTCATTTTTTGATTTTCCAAGTGATTTTCATAATACCTGGGAAAATCTAGGATAACGTACAATTTACGAAAATAATATTTCAATTATTATTTAAACTTTGTTATTTGTTGTAATTAGGTTAAAAATATTCATAGAGATTTGAAATTCGGCAGAAAACGTGCCTTTTTTGGATATGGTAAAATGTTCTAATAATTTAAGCCTTTTTAGAGCTATTTAAAGACATTTTAATTTTTCGTGTTTTATACGTAATTTTTATTCGGTAGGTACTGCGGTAAAATTGTTAGACTTAACAAAAATATATGAAAATTAACAGGATTTTCATTTGTGGTAAAAAAAAATTAAGTTAAATGTAGTATTTTTTTTTTTATAGAGGAATTTTAATATCAAATTTTGACGAAAATTTTTTGAGAAAAAAATTATGTGGAGCAAATCTAATTTTTATATTTTTTTATTTTGAACATATTTATATTGCCGATTTAAGATCAATGACAAAGTAAGAATTGAACGAACTGATATATAGTTTCGAAGTTATAGCTTTTTAAAGTTCTGATATGCGAATATTATATGTTACGTTAAATAACTAAATATTGTCAAACTTAAAAATATTTGTCGTAATCTAATGGAAATTAGACTTATTAACATCCTAGGGGCCGCGAGTTAAAACCCGAGTTTCGAAACAAATTTTTGAATTTTTTTTCGCCTTTTACCTAAATAATGAAAAAACAAATGAATTTCGGGTGTATCTAGGGACCCAAACTATTGCTCGCTCGGACTATTTTAATCGCAAAATACCCCTTAATTTGTTGTGCAAATTATTCTACCGGAAACCTTGCTTAGATGTATCAAGTGTAGCTTATTTTCTAAAAAGAAATTCTATCTCAATGGTACTTTAGAGATATCATTTTCCATCGAAAAATATATTTGCCCCTGAAAATATTTAAGTTTTTCACGCCATTGACGTTACGTTCGTATTATTGTATTCAAGAGCCGCAAGTCATAAAATTAATTAAATAAATAGTTAAATCAAATTATGTTAGTTATAATTTATTTTTTTTAATAAAATAATACTTCAATATTTATAAGAATTTTTAGATTCGGAGCATACAAGGAATAATTTGGTTTTACAATGATTTCCAATTATTTTTTCATGTATTTTTTATACTATGTGCAAAATTTCTACCAGAAATCTTGCTCTAAATAAGGGTCTTTTTCGGAATGGAAATTTGGTCTATTAGTTCCTTATTTTTAGGAGTTATTTTTTAATCTTCCAAGCAGTTTTCAAATAATGGGAAATACGTTGGGATATACGGAGAAATATTTATGATACAACGATTTTATGATTTACATTTTTGTAACTAATGTTTTCAGAAATATTGTCTGAATAGAAAAACAACAAGAGACGTTTTTTAGTTTAGTTGATGATTAAAAAAGTTATTTTTTGATTTTCCAAGAAAGTTTTTTCAATAATTTAAAAAAACCAAAAAAATTCTAGAAAAAATGGTAACATTTATGAAAATAAATGCTTTTATTATTTTTAATTTGGTGTTTTGTTTTATTTCAGTTAAATAGTATTTCAGTATAAATATTTGTAGACTTAAAATTTTGACAAAAACTTATATTTGCTTTTTATAGATGTGGCAAAATTTTCAAAACTTTTGAAGCATTTTTGAACTATTTATAAACAATTTAATTTTGTGAACAATGGTTTTTCAGTAGGTATTCTATAGAATAAATTGTTTAACCAAACAGAAGTGTTTGAAATTTCAACAGGAAGTTCATTATAATTTTATAATTTATATTTAACATTATAAGTTTATTATAAAATGTATAAAAAGAAAATATCAAATATTTTATTAATACATCTATGACAAGGTTTCTACAAAATTTTAAACAATGTTATATTGATTACATCATTCATTATTAGTAGAAAAATAATTTTAGGTACAACAACTAAACATCTCCATACTTTATAATTATTATAATTTTTTTTTTTTTTAAACGTATCCTAGAGTAAAAGAGACAATACGAAGACTCAGGAGAGCAATATTTTGAAAGGATTGTAGTGTACAAATTTAAGATGGCATAGCCCATCCCCAAATTTAAATTGCATAGGCTCAAATAGGTCTTAATAGAGATTTGTAAATTGTTAACTTAGTATGTAGAGCTAGTTTTGATTATAGTACTGGGTGGAGTAAATGTAGTTTACTATTCAGATTTTTTATTTTGGATTTGATGTAGGGACTCTAATGCAACCTTTGTCAAGAACGATACCAAGATAATTAATTTCCCAAGTTGTTGAAACTGTAATTCCTTAAATATTGGAGAGAAGGTTGTATAGATTTTTTTATCGTGAAAAAGACATATTATATTGATTTATTTGAATTTATCTTAATTCTCCATTTGGATCAACAGTTATCGATTAAATTTAGATGTGTTAGGAGAAAGTTTGATATCTCTACATAGTCATTTCCGGGTGAAAGAACTGCAGTGTCGTCTGCGTAAGTGGTCATAATTGTATTGGAGATTTTTGTAATGTCAGTCGTGTAAAAATTATAATAATTATATATTTAATACTCACATATGCGGTCTTTCAAATTATAAGTTACAGACAATTATACCATGAAATATGCTTATATATTTGCTATAAAATATCATTTTGGCTAACAAGTTCTGAATTTTAAGATCCAAATTCACACTAATAACACTAAATTTTAGCACAAAAAAAAAAAAAAATAATAAAATTTGCATTTGTGAAGACTAATGAAATGCATGTACTTTATGTACCTTCTCAAATTCCTTCTAAAACAGTGGCACACCCATTAGTAGTAGTACCTATAAGTTTTTTTTTTTGTACTGGTATCGTTTAATATTTTTATAATAGTTACCTATTATAACAATAATATAAAACATTCCATATAACTTATATAGGATATAGCTACCAATACTCAAGTAACTAAAATGGTTGGTTTTAATGAGGATATATCACCAGCGAAAATATATGACTCTTATATTGAAGATTATGCAAGACAACAAGAAGAAAAAGAAAGAGAAAAAAGAGAGAAAATGACATCACTTGTAACCAAAAAGACTAAAAGTACTAAACATCATGAAGTACAAAGCCGAGATCAAATTTTACTAAACGTGATGATAATGTTCGATAAAATCCTTAGCTTAAACGAAACAGATGCTATTGCACAAGGTAAAATAAAACATTTACTGGAAGAAATAAATAAATAATTATTATTATAGTTTTATAATGTAGGTCAATAAAAGTCAAGTAATTACTTTTAAATTCTAAACAGAGACAATTTTTGAATTATTAATTTTTTCTCTGCAAATAACTTTCACGCCAGACCTTTTGCTCCAATAATAAATAGAGAAAGCTAACTGGTAGAAAAAGTGTTAAATAAAAATAAACATCATCGTAAAACCAATACTTTCCTTCCTTTACTCGGAATCTAAATTACAGGTAAAACTGTGAATATTTACGGCGAACCACGGCGATTTAATTATTTTAAATTTGTATACACAATAATTTCTACCAAAATTATTGCTCTATTAACAATGAAACAAGACATTTTTTTTATTGCTTTTGTAATCCAGTAGGTCAGTGGTGACCTACCGTGGCTTGGTGGCCGAATCCGGCCCGCAATAATTTGTTAATCGGCCCATCATAGTATTAAATCAAATTGAAAAACTAAAATTACTTCGAATTTTAAAAATTAACACAGACAAAAATTTACACTTTAATTTTTTTCACATTTATAGCAATCAGTGCATAATAAATAATTAAATATATCATTGTATCTAAATTAAGATGTACCTACAATAAAATACAATATTTTAATAACTTAAAAGTAAAACTTTAAATTCTTGGTGCGACAAGAATTGTTATTTTGTATAGCCCTCTCTAAAAAAGGTTAATACTTAAAACCATTACTTTAATTTGAAAAAGATTAAAAATAAATTTGTTATTAGCAATCGGTTTTTGTTTATTTTTTTATTATTTTTAAGTTTTCACTATTTCAATCTTTTAGTATTTTTTAACAATTAACAATTTTTGTTTGGTGATCAGGAATGTCACCCAATTTTTGGTAAAAATAATTATTATTAAATAGTCAGTTCATTTAATTATAATATTAGGAGGGTGGGTTAGAAGGGGTTTCTGATTATCTCAAAATAAAAGCATTTAATACACATTTTAGATTATAAGTGTAGTGAAGATCAATAAAAAAATATGCATAATAGATTTAAAAAAAATAAGATAAAATTTTGAATTTCAAAATGTGTAGTTTCAGATTTTGGATTTTCGGGTTGTCTGAGTTGATATCACATCACTTGTATATACTACCTTCTCAACTTTTCGTCTATAACAGTAGCAGTATCAAATCTATTTTAGATTCAGATTATAGCAAAGAATGTATTGGTGTTTTAAAGATGTTTATTTTTTTTTTGTGGGTAACTTTTCGATTAGCAAATTTGCTCCAATTTTTAATGATGGCAATTTTTCTCAAAGGAAATTTCACTGAAGAGGTATTTTAGAGAAGTCGTTTTCCAAATTTTCTATAGAGTTTTCTCAGCAAATTTAAATAGATAATTTAATATATGCACCTAAGCAACAATAAACCATTGCTTACGAAAAAACGGTTCTGAGCGAAGTTTAGTTGATAGTGATGCTTTGTCAATAGTATATAAATAATATGCCATTTTATAGTAAAATAATTAAATAGGCTTTATATATTTTCTTTAATAATATTTGTTTGATGTTGTACCGATTTGTCCAGTTTTTACGTTTTTCTCGGTTCTCCCTTTTTATTTTTAATTATTATTAATTTAATTATTTATTTTTATTTTATCCCGGTTTTTCAAATTTGATGAGAAAATTGAAAAATTTCCTTTCTAAAGTACCCCGTTAGGGAAATTTCATTTTAGAAACATTGCTGTCATTAAAACTTGGAGCAAAAACTGTTGAAAAGTTATGCACAGAAAAAAATAAGGCCGTAATATTCTTAGCTAAAACTTGAAAAAATCGAAAAATTACCTGCTTAAAGTATCTCTCCATGCCGATTTTCCTTCAGAAAAGGTGCTACACGTAGAAATCCATGCAATTCTTTTGATAGAAAATTTGTGCACAGATAAAAAAAAAAAAATAAACATCTTTGTAAAACTGTAAGCTTCTTCGCTCCACTCAGAATCTAAAATGACACGCTTATCAGTAGTACTTGGCTCTTTTTTTCTTTACAACTTATTATGACATAAAAATGTAAACATTTGTCAGGACAAAATGTCCTGATTATCATTCGTCAAGAGTTATCAGTGAGTACACGGTATGATATTAATTATTGTACATGTTCATTGTCCCCAATAGGACAATGTTTGTATACAAATGTATAGCTATTAGATTTGATTACTTTCCGAATTTATTATTTATATGATTTTATTATTTAGATAAATTCTGATTTATTTTATTAAGTAAAAATATATTACTTATATTTATCTGCGAACATTTTCATATTTTTCCGTAAAATAAAAAAAAGTAGAAAAAAAGAGTAAAAATTTTTTTGCCGAAACCAGGGATCGAACCAGGGACCTTTAGATCTTCAGTCTAACGCTCTCCCAACTGAGCTATTTCGGCTGTGAATAATTTTATTACTTCTATAACATTTAACAACCACATTGTAAATATATTGAAATTCATATTATAGTAATAAAATAGTGTATAGCATTATTATGTTTAAAAAAACATGAAATAAACTGTTAATTTACAATATCTAACATCTGCATTGTAAGTATATTGGAGTTCATATGTAAAATAGTAGATAGTGTTATTATATTTACAAAAATGTCCTTGGATACTAGGAACAGATGCAACCACCGTTGTAGGTGGGAAATTGGGAAGGTAGAATATAGACGAGAATTTAATATATATCTGTAAGCAAGAAAAACCGATTCTAAACGGAGTTCAGTTAATAGTGAAATTTGACAACAATATATATGCCACATTAAAGTAAAATAATTAAATAGGCTTTATATATTTTCTTTAATAATATTTGTTTAATATTTGTTTAACATTGGCTTTCCTACGTTTTTTCCGGTTTTCCCGTGGTTTTTTCCAGTTTTTCAAATTTGCTGAGAAAACTCGGGAGAAAATCGAAAAACGACCTCTTTAAAGTACCTCCCCAGTGAAATATCTTTTTAGGAAAATTTGTATAATTAAAAGTTGGAGCGAAATTGCTGATAGAAAATTTGTCTACAGAAAAAAAATTCGTTATATTATACAAATATATTTCTTGTATTTTTCGGTTTTTCGCAATTAATGAAAAAAACTCTTGAGAAAAAATTGAAAAATAACCTCCTTAAAGTAATATCCCACACCAATTTTTTTTAGAAAAAGTGCTACAAGAAAGCAATCGGAGTAAGTTCTCTAGTAGAAAAGTTTTTCACAGAAAAAAAAAAATGATAAACGTCTTTGTAAAACCATAAGCTTCTTCGCTCCACTCAGAATCTAAAATAATATCTTCTATCAATACATTTTAGATAATAAATAATAACCAAATAATTCATATTTCTTAATGTATCTATGTCTAATAGTAACCCATTTTAAATAATCTCTCCTATTAAAATAAATTATTTTTATGTAAAACAACCAATTTTTATTATGGTTTTTTCTATTTATTACTTCAATTAATTTTTCATATTTAGTCGCGTTTTACATTTTAACCGTGATAAACCTGAAGATGAATTTTCAATTCGAAAACGGTCGTATAATACACTTATCATAATACTCCAGACGACCCATTCATTCTTTTATTTTTATTCATTTTAGATTCTGAGTGTAGCGAAATAGTTTTAGTTTTACTAAGTTGTTTTTTTTTTATTATTATTATGTGTTTGAAATTTTTACCAGAAATCTTGCTCAGATATCTACGCACAGCACCATTTCTGAAAGGGATTGTTATTCTGATAATACTTTTGGGAGGTCAAGTTTTGATTTTTCAAGCAGTTTTCATAATATCTGAGAAAAACCAAGATACAACGTAGGAAAAATGAGAAATTTAAATTTTAATGCTTTTATTATTTTATAACTTTATTATTTGTTTTAAATCAGTTAAAAATATTCGAAGACTCCGAAAATTTAGACAGAAAACTTATATTTTCCTTATTTAGACTTAGTAATATTTTCAAATAATTTAAGCCATTTTTGAGCTATTTATATATATTTTAATTTTGTGCGTAATTTTTAATCAGTAGGTATTCTGGGGTAAAATTGGTAGACCTAACATTAATGCTTAAAAAGACACCAGGAAGTTCATTAAGAGTCTTACTTGGTGATAAAAAAATAAAAAATAAAGTTGACTGTAGTATTATTTTTTTTATAAAGGAATTTTAATATCAAATTTTGACGAAAATCGTTTGAGTAAAAAAATTATGTGGAAGAAACCTGATTTTTTCAATTATTGTTTTTTAAACATATGCATATCGATTGTTTATGATTTAAAAACGATGGTGAAGTCAAAATTGAGCGGACTGACTATGTTTTAAAATTATAGCTTTTTTAAGTTTTGACATTATGCGGATATTTTATGATTACGTTAAATAACTATAATATATTATCTTCTCTAGAGTTTTTGTAGCCGAATGTTTATACATTTTACAAATATATTTTCGTCCTTGGTATTGCGAGTTCAAACACGGGTTTTTAAAAGAAAATAGTTCTCTTTTATTTTTTCCCTTTTACTTAAACAGGGAAAAAACAAATGCATTTAGGTGTACCTAGAGATTCAGCTATTGCTCGCTCAGACTATTTCAATCGAAAAATACCCTTCAATTTGTTGTGCGAACTTTTCTACCAAATGATTTACTCTGATTTACGATGAATTTACTTTTTCTGAAAGTTAATCTGATTGAGAAGGTACTTAAGGGAGATCATTTTTCGATTTTCCATAAGTTTTCCCAGAAAATGTGAAAAACTGGAATAAAACATAGGAAAACCAAGTAAAACGGAAAAATCAGTACAATATTAAACAAATATTATTAAAGAAAATACATAATGCCTAATTAATTATTTTAACATATTATGACATATATATTTTTAACAAACTATCACTATCAACTTAATTCCACTCAGAATCGTTTTTTTCGTAAATAATGGTTTATCACAGGTATACTTTAAATTACTTATAACAGTGACTGTACCCTACCTCATCATCCTAGGTTATCTTTTTTTCTTTATTGTGTACAACAAATCTACCAATAATCTGGTTCCAATATGTAAGCATGGAACCATTTCTAAAAGAAAATATTGTCTTGATGGTACTTTAAAAAGATAATTTTTTGATTTTCCAAGTGGTTTTCATAATACCCAGGAAAATCCGGGATAGAATGTAATGAAAACGGGAATTTTACGAAAATAATGGTTTTATTATTTTCAATTTTGTTATTTGTTGTAATTCGGTTGAAAATATTTGTAGCCACTTGAAATTCGGACATAAAACTCAAATTTACTTTTTAAAGATATGGTAAAATTTCAAATATTATTTATTTCTAAGCTATTTATAGACATTTTAATTTTGCGAGCTCTGAACATAATTTTTATTCAGTAGGTACTTTGTGATAAAATTATTAGGCTAAACAAAAATGTTTGAAAATTTAACAGGTTCATCAAAAGTCGTATTTGTGGTAAAAAAATAATAATAAAGAATTGAGCTTGGTGTAGTAATTATTTTTTGACGTCTAATTGTCCTCACGTGTAAACGGCTACGTCCATTTGTCCCTATTCGTCCGTTAAGAATGATTTATTGCGTACATATATAAATTAAATAACTATGTCAGCCTACAACATCTCATAAACTACAGCATCACTTGTCCATATCATTTGCTCTTTTTTTCTAGATTTTCGCTATTATGATGATCCATCTGATCAATACAGGAGCAAAGGAGAAGGAACTGTAATGTTAATGTGGACAATGGTATACGACAAAGCTAAAGATTTATTTGTGACCGATATAAGTTGGAACCCTTATTATTTTGATTTATTTGCCGTGACGCTTGGAATTCGTGAGTAAAAAAAATTGTATTTTAGTTTTTCATTATATAAAGAATATCCATAGTAGGTAAATATTTTAGAAACTATTATGGAGCTTACTACTCAGCTTACTATTGACACTATGTCGGTTTTGGTGAACATAGTAGTTGGGAGAGAATTAAAGGGAAATTGCCTCCTAAGGGTCCGTGTTTTAAAAAAATTTGGGTCCCTCCCTCATATAAATTCCTAAATACGCCATTGATTAAATATTTTATTTAATGTACCTAAAATTTTATTCAAATGGATAGATAGATACTTTATATAATGTTTAATATAAGGGCGGTATTATACCTATTAGAGACATTTTTGTTCTCAAGATATTATTACCGCTATAATTTTGCCGCGATGTTTTTGCTGCGGTAATTTGACGTGGATCTTTCGTGTGCATTTCGATACTGGATTTCCGAAATATCACCCCTAAAGGATGGTTCACACTGGGTATTTAAAATTTTTGAAATGAAAATAAAATTTTAAAATAATAATAGTGTATTAATCAGTGTAACCCCATGGTTTTACATGGGCATTCATATGAAATAAAAAGAGACAGTGGCTAGACGGGGAGACATGTACTCAAATAAAATAATATATACTACATGATTAAATGTCTAAATGATTAACTTTTTAAAACAAGTTCATAGAAATATTTGCGTCAATTAAGTTGTATTTAAAATAATATTTCAGCGCAGGGTCATCGACCATTTATTGAAACCCCGGATTTGGGTTATGTTTGCCTATGGTCTTTGAAGAACACATCATTTCCCGAATATGTGACTCAAACGCATAGCGCTGCAATATGTGTAAGTTTCCATATTGAGCACACGAACATTCTCGCCGTGGGTTTGCGCGACGGTAGCGTGGCCGTGTACAATGTTAAGTTGCAGACCACCGAGCCGCAGTACAAGTCAACGTCCGACGAAACAAAACATATGGCATGTGTGAGACAGGTATAATGGAAGATGGATTCATGAATGTATTAAAGATGAGAATGCTTAGATGGACGAGTGAAGAAGTCATTAATAAGAGGCATCTGCAATATTGAAACAAGGGGGGGATGGGTTATACTAGCTGTATATAATTTATATAACTTGTATTATAATTATACATACATTTTTTTATAATTTTATATACGTATATAAGATATATAGGTCATGCAAGTCACATTTTTAGTAATTTATTGGGTATTCTAAGAGTTTTTCCAAAAATTTATATAAAAATAACAAGCTCCCTCAAAAAAAAAAAATAGTAATAATAATAAAAATCCACTAGGTTACTATACTAGGCGCATTCGGTCTTTTTGGTATATATATGTAATCTAGATAAAAATAAACGCTTTTAAGTAAAAAATAAAACGTTCGACGATCTGCGCAGGTTATTTGGTGTGCAGATTTAGTTTCCGGTGAAATGAATTTCTATTCGGTATCCGAAGACGGTACAGTCTGCCAGTGGGTGCTGTTACAAAACGAAATGGTCAAGATCGTTAAAATGGCTTTATTATTGGATAGTCCTAAAATAGAGCTCTGTGGAATTAAACAACCCTACTATGGTAATTCTATTTGTTCTTTTTAATTTCAGTTGCTTTATGCTTTATTATATTATAATACCTACCTATAAGATTTTATAGCGGACACATTTTACAATGCGCAAATCTATATTGTTATATTATAATGTAATTCAAAATAACTCTCACATAATATAATATGTTTGTAGCTAAGGGTACGACGCTTACATTTAATCCTCAAGACTCCGAAATATACTTCGTCGGTACGATGGAGGGATATGTTTTTAAATGTAACGTTGAATGGAATTCTTACATGCAAAGATTTAAAGCTCATCTTATGCCAGTCATCCGAATCAATTTCAACAAATACAATTCGAATATTTTCTTAACGTGCAGTGAAGATAATTTAGTGAAACTATGGGAGGATAAAAATGAGTGAGTTAAATTTGTTTAAATTCAAAATAACATTCAGGTCCACAAAAATTGAAGTTGATTAGAATTAGTGTGGGTATAATATTATGATTAAGTAGGTGTTCAGTACTATGTAAGAATAGATTTTTTATTTGTTTAACTCTTAAAATTTTGACGGCTAGTCACATCCGAATTTGTTTTTAAAAAAAGAAGCTGAATGAGGCAATATTCTTTGCATCACATGTAAGTCACTTTTGTTAATAGAAGTTTAAATTTTAAACTTTTAAACTATTTTCAAACTTAACTTAAGTTACCTATCTATCCAAAAATGTCACCTGACTTATCTATGAAATGCTAATAGTATAACCTGAAAAAATTTAATTCCAGTCTATGTTCATTTTTGGATTATGTATATTCTAAAAATCTGACTATAGAGTTACATAGACATACTAACTTGTATATACAGGAGAAGATCAAGAAAACCATAAGGGGTTAGAGGGCTGTATTGAAAATACATGTAAGACATATATTTATGATATAAATCAAACTGAGTATGTGTGGGGAGCGAACAAGAAGGGAAAATGATCACTATTCTGGGTCCACCACTATCCAAATCATATGTTATACTGACTTACAGAGATCCGCTGTTTACGTTCGACCTGAAGACTGCTTTGTCAGACGTGTGTTGGTCACCATTCTCAAGTACGTCGTTCACCGTCACCACTACAACGAATTGTCGGATTGTCATTTACGACCTGGATGTGAGTGCATACGAGGCAGTCTGTGACCAGCTCGTACATCCCGCAGACGAATATCGGCTCACCCGAGTAGCTTTCGATAAGCGGGTACCGTTGGTCGTGATCGGGAGTTCTAAGTAAGACGTTGCTTAATTAATTTTAAATAAGTCTTGAGTGAAGTTACATAATGGTTGTTCGCACACGTGCGTCTGTTTGTACAGGTCTATGATTGTAACATTCAAATTGTCACCTAACCTCCGGACAACATTAAAATCTCCAAAGAAGGGGGAACAAATTCCTTCAGAAATATTGGAGCAGAACAAATTGGACGAAGTGTTGAATCAGGTTAGAAAATAAACAATCATACTTTTCAGAATTATTTTCGTTTCGGTTTTCGACCATAAACTGCAGTAGAACATTTACGAAGAAAATGTATTAAATTTTGTTGCGGATTAAACAATGTGACATTTTTTTTAAATATAATAAACGTAACAAATAGAGTTTCAAATTGTATTATATTTAAAATTTACTGGCTAAATTAAAATAATATTTGATTATCTACTAAATTAAAATGTATGAGGCAAAAAAGAAACTGTCCTTTGTTTCCAAATAATTGAAATGCGATTTTATTTGATGGTAAATATATCAATAAAAAAATACCATATTATACTTATTTATAAAATATGCATTATCTAGAGAGAAAAAAACAAGTTTTGCAGAAAAATATACCTTGGAAATGAAAGTAATGAATAAAATATAATACATTTCAAATCCATTTCTAAATATAGTGTTATCATAGGGTTAATATTAGGGTTTATCGTTCCTTACAAATAAAAATAAAATAACTGAGTATCCTACTTTTCAAACTTCCTACCCACAACAGTAACACACCCATCCCCAGGATTATCTTTTTTGAGTTTTTCTCTGTCTGTGTATAACTTTTTTATTGCCAGTAAATTCTACACCTTGGGAGTGTCTAGTCGAGGGGTAAGTGAGGTTCGTGCTGGTGGCTTTAGGATGGCCGCTCTTCTCAAGGAACAAATATTTTCTTTAAAATAATTATCATAATTAAAATAAACTACCATAGTATACTGTGTCATTATATTATCTGCAGTAAAAATATTATAGGTAGTTACTTTTTTTTTTTTTACAATACATTAATCATGCATGAAATTTTTTAATAAGTATATAAGAATTTTCTTATTTTTTTAACAATAAATTCTGAAAATTATTTTTTCTGACTATTTATTTATGTGTTATATCTAACCATAACATCAAATTTGGGGAAAAATTAAAAATATGAATATAAAATAAAATATTTATTTGTCCATCATATAGATACTGCATAATGTCCAATGTCCATTGTGTTTATCTACCATATATATAAAGCTAAACATATTTACAAGTTGATCTATGTATGAATAAATATTCTCTGTTTAACCAAACAATATTTAAATGTCTATGACGCTTATATTTAAGTCGCAGTTTTAAAATTGTTACTTCAATGTATTGTTCTTATATGAGACGCTGGCCGTCACCGCTCGTCCGCCATTGGCATTCGTTTTTATTATTATATTTTTCTTTAATTCTTTCGGTTTCATGGGCGAGAGACATCGTCATTCGTGAACGGTTTATGTTAAAAGATTAAACGGTTTACAGACCCGAATGGTCACCATTTCCGTTGTTACATAATATATTATTATATGTTGTATTGTATCGCAGGTGCGAATGGCCGTATTGATTTGTGTACATTACAACTATCATACGGTACCAGATCGCATTTATCTACCTACCTAATTATTTGGGTACACCATATTTCCGTATATTGTATAGTTTGCTCTTTTGAGGTTTAGATAATCACAGGTGGATTCACGGGAGAGAGGGGTTGAAAGGGGCCATCGCCCAACATGAATTTCTTAAAAATTTTAAAATTATTACTGTTATTATTTTATGACAAACGAAAATACTTACAAAAACAGAAAAATGTTTTCTTTGTCTCTTAATTTCTAATTAAATAGTTAGTCATTTTATAATTTCAGACTCGTTTTTAATTTTTGTCTGATTCTTATTATTCTAATTGTCTGAGTGCGTAACGCCAGAAATCGTTCAATCGCTAATGATAAATTAATAAGAGTCACAGAATATGTTGGGAAACAGCAGAACACACATTATCTTATCCGTATTTCATAAATTCAATAATTTTATATTTAAGTACCTAAGTCATATTAAAATATACGACTCGTTAATTCGTATAGTCGCGTAGTTGTATACAATTAATTTTATGAATTTATAGAAATAATACAAATAATTAGCTTCCAATCTGTATTTAACCTGTGTTGAATAGAAAAAAAGGTAGTTTAATTTTTAAAAATTCGCCCCCACCTGGGATTACTTTTAGATCCACTACTGGGTACGCGGCTGACTAGTATGCACTGTGTGTACTGTGAGCTATTTTTAATTATTATTAATATTTTCATGTGAGCTAATCGTCACGATTTTCATTTGTAGATTTTAATATTATTACATAATAAACAATATGTTTTTCAGTGGCTATTTCATTGATTTATTACTACTACACATCAGTAACGTTGGTTTCAACCATCATTAAGTTAAAAACATAGTGTTACATACATGTAGATGCTAAATTTGTAATAACTATAAATCATTAAAATAATCGTGTATCGTTATTTGACGTGTAAATTAATTTTAATATTAACCTGTATACTAATGTATTCAATACCCGACGATAACGACTTCGATGTGGCCGCTACTGATATTAGCGATCGGGTGATTGTGATTCGCGACCGAAAGGTAGTATTGACCATTGAAAAATGGCTGTCCAGGCTGACCACGGACGAGAACCGCGGTCACAACGAACTCGATTACTTGAAGCTCTTGCAGAACATGATGGCTAACAAGCGAATCGGCCCGCCTTTTCACCAGAATCCACCTGCAGGACCGTTGTTGCCACTGGGTAATTATCTATTGCATTCGCAGCAATCGGTGTGTGAGGGACCGCCAGCTTGGTGCAGAAACCGGGCCAAATGTTGTAGACTCATAAGCAAAAACAACGGTATAATTGAGTCACAGCCGACGCAGCAAGTAGACAGCGAGGATAACGATGATGAGGACGATGAGGAACAGATCGCTCAAGACATGAATTGCAAAATTATCAGAAAAAGTAACAAAAATGACTTTGAAAATGTAAACCGCGGTTGTGGTGCGGTGCTGTCTACGAACGACGAAAATAAAAGCTATTGTAAAAGCGAAATCGCCGTCACTGATGAAAACAGTAAGTTCAGTGCAAACGACAACGGGGAAGTACAACTAAAGCACACTGAACGCGACGGACTGCACTTGGCCGGTGGTGGTGGAGCTGAATGTGGTCCGTGCTCTGGGGGAGCCCGGGCTTCTAAAAAAAAAATTGAGCCAGGAAAAGTCTGTGACCCGTGTTTGGACTCCATGGGACGGCATTTAAAACCACCGCAACCGAGTCCCCTAGACGTGGCATATCGGGAATTGTTGGGCGATTGCGCATTACCCGTGCTTACAGAAGCCGAACAAAAATCTGTGAACCCTGGACTGTTATCAGTATTGAAATCCGTCAACGACCAAATAACGTTGCAAGACTTTTACTTCCAGGTAAATACTTCACCATTTATGTTTTCGCAGTTTCTTGGGTCTTATTCGGGAAATTGAAAAAAAAAAGGAACGACGAAAATGGAAGTTAGATAATTGATAATGTTAAAGGGGTTAAGTTTAGAAGTGACATGTAAGGCAGAAGAAATAAAAGAGATTAAATAAAGATGGTAAAATATGATCTATGATGGACATAAAATACGAACATCCAAATTATCCGGATGTTCAAATTCGGATTGAGAGTTCCTACTGATCATATATGATACCTACTTGTAGGATAAACTTATAGTGTAAACAACATAAAATGCAGTCTATGCAAACATTTTAATTGAGATAAAAAAAAACTAAAATAAATTTGTGTTGAATTCCCTAATTGCTGTTATTTTAGAATTTATAATCATATACGTGTTATCATATACATGATACAAAACTGGCGGACAATTTTAAAATTAAGGAGCATACTTTGATTTTCAAGAGCAGCGCCATTTAAGGGATGTCATTTTATTTAAAGTAATAATATTTTATTTGACAATGCAGGTATCGCAATTCACGTGTGATCAGGCGTCGTTGCTGATAAAATTATCAGATAGTATGATGGACGATTTCAGAACATTCACATCAGATGTGTTCGAAAGTAGAACGGAACATATTAGCGACGGTCTGATCAAGGAACAGACTGCGCTGAACGTTAAATACACGTACTTAACACATCGGGCGTTCAACCGGGCAACGATAGCGTTAGACTTTCTGCGCGAGGCCCTACCGTTGTTCTGCTTTTCCAAATACAAAACTGATCCGGAAGCATATATGAAGCGTAAAATACTTACGGCGGTCCCAACTGTCGACGCACAAAAAGACGGTGACGGAGGTGGAAACGGCGATGACGGAGCGGACGGTGGTGATGGTGGCCACGACGAGAACGAGAAAGGCGCACAACAGTCGGCTGTCAAGAAGTTATTGTACGCTCTGAATTGGCTACGGGCCGAAGTTTTACGTGTTGACTGCGAGGGCCAGCAGCTGTTTGAACAGCGAAACCGGCTTACCACCAGTTTGGCTGATTATAACGGACAACTATCTACGGCACAGTGCCAGGCGGCTGTAGATATTGATCGGCTCAAGAATGAGCTTACGCTACTCAGAAAAAAATCGTCGGACCAGGAGGCCAATATTGACCGGCTTATGGAGGCCATCCAAGTGTCCATGCAGTCGCAGACGAAGTCCTCCGATTGTTAGCCCATTAGTCGCAGCGTAATTGTGTATTTTATCTATACATTTTTTAAATAATTTTATAGAATCGGTATCCATGAATAATTAATTTTACATATGAAATTAGTTTGGTTAAAGGTTAATTAGCTATTATTGTTAATTAACATAACCTTTTCTACTAGACATCTTGCTATAATAAACAGAACTGATACTCTGTCAGATTTGCCACTGTTAAAGAGTGGAAGTTGAAAATGTTGGCTGCATTAAGTTATTTTTTTTTTTTGAGCAATGTTTCATTATTATAAAACATTCGCCAATCGTACCATAGTTTCTTTATAGTAAATATGCAGACATATAATCATTAAAATAAAATAATGCATATCATTGTTTGAAGAATTTACAATTTTATTTTATACACANCAAACCGGTGTTTTTAATGTTATTGATAACCACCAATAACAGAATAATTAGAATTATATGTCACATTTTACTTCGCAGCCACTTTTGTTAACAAAAGTTGATATATATGACTAATGTAGAGTCTAGTGGTTTTCAATATTTGGGTATCAATCTTTCACAAATTTTTTTACCTTGAGTTTCCCTTTTTTAGGGCTATCTTGGGTATTTTTCAAATTACGCTTATGTGATCTGTACTATTACACATAGAGCATATTTCACTTTCTACTAAAAGTACTCCTTTCGGATTTTTGGATTTATTATTATTTTACTGAGAATAATTCCGACTGCACCGTGTATCATTGTTTCCGAGCCTTGTATCAATATATAACGTCTCGTTCTAAGATAATTTCCTACATTTAAACTAACATAATGCTTACATTTACGGTTTTTTTATTACTAAAAAATGCCGGGCGTCCCTCTATAACAATAAGTTATTTTAATCAAATTTTTGGGTGCCTCTAGAGATTCGACGGGAGACACTGTCTCGCTCGGACCGTTTAAGTACTTTAAACGATATTAAACTCTTGTTTGCAAATTCTCGTCAGGTAATAAGGAATAAAAAAATTTCCTTATGTGAAAATAAATACTTGAAAAACAATTTTCCCAATTGTGTGGAAATATATAATTATTAATGTAATTTAACAATTGATGATGAAAATACATATCTCGTTAAAATAATAATTTATAAAATCATTGTACCATACCTAAATATATTTTTTTAATAGTATTAAATCAATGGCCTTACCTATTATCATCAACAAACAATATACATATATAGTACATACCATTGTAAAAATTATGTGCCTCCGGGACGGGAGAAATTAGCAGGTGTATCATCATTAAAATAAGATAGTTAGATTACCCTTTATACCACGAAAGTTAGAATACGGAATACAACTGAAGAACTACTATCAGATAGGAAAATCATAATATATTTATAGTCATTTATTATAAAACATAATTAAATTTTGATAAAGTCATGTTTCGAAAAAGGACATGTCGATAATAAATTATTGGTATTTTTATGTCATGATTAGCAGTGCATTCTCATCATAACGTCGTATCAAAGTAATAATGTTATTGAACAAATGTTTTATTAATACAACATGAGTGTATTTTTGGAAAGGTAGGGTACATAAATTTATTTAATTTATATCTGTAATCAACGATAAACTATTTCTAATAAAAAACGATTCTGAACGAATTTCGGTCAGACGTACGTGTTTTGAAATGCTGTAATTTTTATGATTTTCATCAAAATTTCGTCATAAAACACGGTTATTAGAAAGGAAAAAAGTTCGGGGAAAATGTTTAATGAACCTATTTTTATATAACAGATATATAATTTTTTTATAACAGTGGAAATAGTTCATTTTCAACATGATTGCAAAGAATAACGAAACACGATCGCTCAAAATTTAAGGAGAGACCGAAGAACAGATTATAACAGTCAAACGGTCACATTTCACAAATTATTTTTTTAATGTATTGATTACCTACTAACTTGAAATTATCAGAATAAAGATAATATACCAGTATTAGATTTTATGACTAGCAATGTTATAATATAATCTTATTTATACGATTTTTGAGTGTCTTGGACGATTTGAAACCTCCGGAAAATGAGTACAGCCAGTGCTTTTTAATACTGTTAGAATTTTCTAGATTTAGCTAGGTTATTTTTTGAATTTGTTTCCAATTTTCCGGAAAAACCGAACTGTAGCAAATTCTAAAATTGTTCTCGTAAAATCTAGCAAATTACTAGCAATTTGGTGACATCACTTTCGAACCGATCGGATAATGTGCCGGTGCTGCGTCAAGTTAGCGCAGGCAAATTTGAAGTTTAATTTACAACGTTTCGGAAGACTAGCAAATTCTGATAATATAACAAAATCAAGCAAATTCTTAGAAATTTTTTGGTATTCGTTTTATAGGCCTATCATAATGTGCGGGTGCCAAATTGGTGAATTTGGCTTTTAGATATATTTTGTAAAAATATCTAATTGTTTATTTATTCATTTAAGGGTTACAACGGAAATGAAAACTATTACAATTATTATTATTAATATTATTTACACTATTGCCGTATATATTTTTTTATTTGGGTTACCTTAGTAACACAGACAAAATGAAAATAAAATATGTGGCTGGGTTGGTTCCATGGTAAAACCATATCTATGATATCTATGGTTTCTTTCCAAGTGGTTTACGAACACCTAAAAAAATTATTAAAAACGCCGTGACCCAAAAGATCTAATCTTTCTCAACAAACCCGTAATGCAATTAGGCTTTATAACATTGCGTATCAATCTACTGAAGAAGAACGAGAAATCGCGTAAGATCTGCGCAATGACTCTAGATGTTTTAGAGGTGCAATGATTTTACTGTCTGGCGATTTCCACCAAACACTGCAAGTTATTTCAAAATCGACTGCTGCTGATGAAATAAATGCTTGCCTCAAATCATCAAATCTGTGGCGCTATGTGTAGAAACTTCAGTCGTCGGCAAACATGAGAGTTGCATTGCTGAACGATCCATCTGCTCAAGATTTCTCCAAGCAGTTGCTGATTATCGATAATGGCTGTATTCCTGTCGACGACTCGAGCAGATTGATTTCATTTCCTTGAGGTTTTGCAATTTTATTTCATTAAAAGACGAGCTCAACAACAAAGTATTCCTGAACATCATGCTAACTACAAAAATAACGAACGGTTGAGTGAGCGAACAATTTTTACGGCTAAGAATAAAGATGTGGATGACTTAAACTCTTTTATTCAGAATCAAACCGTTGGTACTCTGCGTTTATTCAAATCTATTAACTGTATAACAAACGAAGGCAAAGCCACTAACTATTCAACTGAATTATTAAACTCTTTGGATGTGCCTGGCTTACCACCACACAATTCACAACTAAAAGTGGGCTCAGTAGTAATCAAAATCGGTTCTTCAAAATCTAAACCAACTAAAACTATACAATGGAATGTGTTTGGTTATAAGAGAACTGATGATCAGTGTGATTCAAGAAACGATATTCAAAGGAAAATTCAGAGGTGAGGAAGTTCTCATTCCGAGAATTCCGATGATCCTAACTGATATGTCCTTTGAATTTAAAAGAATTTAATTTCCGATTCATTTTGCATTCATCATGACGATTTACAAATTACAAAAACAATCCTTCAGTGTTTGTGGTCTGAATTTATAAAAGGCATGTTTTATGTTCACGTGTCGGCAAACCATCCGTTTTTTTTTTTCTTGCATCTGATAACAAGACGAAAAATATCGTATATCACAAAGTATTCATTGAAGAGAATCAACCCATGCAGCAAAATACATACATCATACATCATCAAAAGAAATGTCTTGCTGACCCACTATTGAAATAATTGATTTTTTTAGTTTTATTAAATTTTTATTTTACTTAATATATATTACCTAACGAACTATTGAACTTAATAAACTTAATAAATTGTTTGTATTAATTTTATTACGTTAATTAAAATCATAAAATAAGTTTAGCTAAAATGTATCACAACCTTCATTGACTGTTAGGGACGGTAAGAAGTCCGCTGATTCGGCTAGTAATTTTAATAAAAATGATAATTTTATTAGGGGAAATATAAACTGTAATAACTACAAAATGCAAGATGTGGGTATAGTGCACATCGCCGCGGTAGTTTCGCTACCAATATTTCGCTGCCAAGCAAGTCGTAGCCAAGTAATTCGCTGCCAACATTTCGCAGCAAAATCTTTTTTTTCTTTGAAACCTAGGGTCGTATCTTGGTTTTTTATCAACGTACGCTAGTGTCATCTTCACTGATTACACATTGGGCTATTAGGGGCACTTCATATAAAAAGTACCCTCCCATAAAAATTACAGTTATTAGCATCTTAAAAAAATGATTTTATAAGTATTAAAAACAATTAATATAATACATAAAAAAAAAATTGAAAAAAAATTAGGTAGTTATTCAAAATAATGCTCTACGTATATTATTGCTCATTGCTTACTTTTGTTGGAAATCTATTTGTTTATATATATATATAATTATCTTATTTTTCTAATTGACTACTTGAAAAAACCTATTTAAAATAGTATAAAATAATATACTGTAGATATTATAGGTACCAAATATATGTTTTATTGTATATTTGGACAAAGGAATTTTAAATAATAATTTTAGTATATTATTTGTATTTAATTTATCCGTATAGGTTATTATAAGAATTAGTAGGTAAATATTAAATAAATATGTTTTGCTTCGTCGGGACTTTTTATTCCTTAAATGATTTTTGATCAGGGGTTTTACTTTTCCTGAGCTTTTTTTTCTAATACCATTGTTAATCATTATTTCGTGTATAAGTTTATACAAATTATAGTGTTGGGTATTAATGAAAATCACTAGCACCGAAAACTATTACAGAACAACAGTGCCGTACTCGCACTACCGTGGCCGTATTTCCATTAAAGCGTATCAATTCTTGTTATAATATAGTTATCACGGTTCTATAGTATCACTCCATGAAAACAGAATAAGTTATTAACATGGATCATGGTTCCAGAGTGCAAACAATAATCGTACATACAATCACAATATAACTATTAAAACCAACAGTGGGTATATATATTGATAGCTACAATATCTCTTATCTCTTATTAAAAATGATTCACTCTGTTGCAGTAATTATTCTCTTGTTAAAATAATAAAAAACCCAAAAATCAGAAAGGAGCACATTTAAAATGAAGTGAAATATGCTCCATGTGTAATAGTGAAGATCACATTAGCGTAGTTTGAAAAATAGCCAAGATAGCCCTAAAAAAGGACATCTCAAGGTAAAAGAATTTGTGAAAAATTGATACCCAAATATTAAAAACCACTAGACTCTACATTAGTCATATATATCAACTTTTGTTAATAAAAGTGGCTGCGAAGTNTCGAATCATAAATGTGTATAAAATAAAATTGTAAATTCTTCAAACAATGATATGCATTATTTTATTTTAATGATTATATGCCTGCATATTTACTATAGAGAAATAATGGTACTATTAGCGAATGTACCGCTGTTCAACTCTTGTAGATGGGAAGATATTCTACCATCATAATTTAATAATTCTAGGTTATATCAGTTAAAAAAAGTTTAAAAAAAAAAAAATTAAGGTTAAGTAATATAATAGTTTTACAAGTGCTTAATGCAAAATATTTACGAAAATTTTAAAAATGACGGCCTTTCAAAACGTCTGTAACTGAACTACGCTCGGAATCGTTTTCTCTATTAATGTCTTATAATGATGAAACATTGCTAACAAAAATAAATAACTTAATATAGCCAATATTTACAACTTCCTATCTTTAACAGTGGTTAAAGTGTGCCATTGCACACATGACCCAGCATCAGTTATTTTTATTAGAGCAAGATATCTAGTAGAAAAGATTAGGTTAATTATCAATAAAAGCTAATTAACATTTAACCAAAGTAAGTTCATTTATAAAATTAATTATTCATGGACACCGAGATTTTATAAAATTATTTTAAAAATATATAGATAAAATACACAATTAGGCTGTAACTCATGGATCTAACAATCAGAGGACTTCGTCTGCGACTGCATGGACACTTGGATGGCCTCCATAAGCCGGTCGATATTGGCCTCCTGGTCCGACGATTTTTTTCTGAGTAGCGTAAGCTCATTCTTGAGCCGATCAATATCTCCAGCCGCCTGGCACTGTGCCGTGGATAGTTGTCCGTTATAATCAGCCAAACTGGTGGTCAGCCGGTTACGCTGTTCAAACAGCCGCTGGCCCTCGCAGTCAACCCGTAAAACTTCGGCCCGTAGCCAATTGAGAGCGTACAATAACTTCTTGACAGCCGACTGTTGTGCGCCTTCCTCGTTCTCGTCGTGGCCACCATCACCACCGTCCGCTCCGTCATCGCCGTTTCCACCTCCGTCACCCTCTTTTTGTGCGTCGACATTTGGGACCGCCGTAAGTATTTTACGCTTCATGTATGCTTCCGGATCAGTTTTGTATTTGGAAAAGCAGAACAACGGTAGGGCCTCACGCAGAAAGTCTAACGCTATCGTTGCCCGGTTGAACGCCCGATGTGTTAAGTACGTGTATTTAACGTTCAGCGCAGTCTGTTCCTTGATCAGACCGTCGCTAATATGTTCCGTTCTACTTTCGAACACATCTGATGTGAATGTTCTGAAATCGTCCATCATACTATCTGATAATTTTATNCGTTCTCGTCGTGGCCACCATCACCACCGTCCGCTCCGTCATCGCCGTTTCCACCTCCGTCACCCTCTTTTTGTGCGTCGACATTTGGGACCGCCGTAAGTATTTTACGCTTCATGTATGCTTCCGGATCAGTTTTGTATTTGGAAAAGCAGAACAACGGTAGGGCCTCACGCAGAAAGTCTAACGCTATCGTTGCCCGGTTGAACGCCCGATGTGTTAAGTACGTGTATTTAACGTTCAGCGCAGTCTGTTCCTTGATCAGACCGTCGCTAATATGTTCCGTCCTACTTTCGAACACATCTGATGTGAATGTTCTAAAATCGTCCATCATACTATCTGATACCCTTATCAGCAACGACGCCTGATCACACGTGAATTGCGATACCTGCATTGTCAAATAAAATATTATTACTTTAAATAAAATGACATCCCTTAAATGGCGCTGCTCTTGAAAATCAAAGTATGCTCCTTAATTACAAAATTGTTTGCCAATTTTGTAACACGTATATGATTATAAATTGTAAAATTACTGCAATTAGGAAATTCAACACATATTTATTTTAGTTTTTTTTTATCTCAATTAAAATGTTTGCATAGACTGCATTTTATGTTGTTTACACTATAAGTTTATCCTACAAGTAGGTATCATATATGATCAGTAGGAACTTTCAATCCGAATTTGAACATCCGGATAATTTGGATGTTCGTATTTTATGTCCATCATAGATCATATTTTACCATCTTTATTTAATCTCTTTTATTTCTTCTGCCTTACATGTCACTTCTAAACTTAACCCCTTTAACATTATCAATTATCTAACTTCCATTTTCGTCGTTCCTTTTTTTTTTCAATTTCCCGAATAAGACCCAAGAAACTGCGAAAACATAAATGGTGAAGTATTTACCTGGAAGTAAAAGTCTTGCAACGTGATTTGGTCGTTGACGGATTTCAATACTGATAACAGTCCAGGGTTCACAGATTTTTGTTCGGCTTCTGTAAGCACGGGTAATGCGCAATCGCCCAACAATTCCCGATATGCCACGTCTAGGGGACTCGGTTGCGGTGGTTTTAAATGCCGTCCCATGGAGTCCAAACACGGGTCACAGACTTTTCCTGGCTCAATTTTTTTTTTAGAAGCCCGGGCTCCCCCGGAGCACGGACCACATTCAGCTCCACCACCACCGGCCAAGTGCAGTCCGTCGCGTTCAGTGTGCTTTAGTTGTACTTCCCCGTTGTCGTTTGCACTGAACTTACTGTTTTCATCAGTGACGGCGATTTCGCTTTTACAATAGCTTTTATTTTCGTCGTTCGTAGACAGCACCGCACCACAACCGCGGTTTACATTTTCAAAGTCATTTTTGTTACTTTTTCTGATAATTTTGCAATTCATGTCTTGAGCGATCTGTTCCTCATCGTCCTCATCATCGTTATCCTCGCTGTCTACTTGCTGCGTCGGCTGTGACTCAATTATACCGTTGTTTTTGCTTATGAGTCTACAACATTTGGCCCGGTTTCTGCACCAAGCTGGCGGTCCCTCACACACCGATTGCTGCGAATGCAATAGATAATTACCCAGTGGCAACAACGGTCCTGCAGGTGGATTCTGGTGAAAAGGCGGGCCGATTCGCTTGTTAGCCATCATGTTCTGCAAGAGCTTCAAGTAATCGAGTTCGTTGTGACCGCGGTTCTCGTCCGTGGTCAGCCTGGACAGCCATTTTTCAATGGTCAATACTACCTTTCGGTCGCGAATCACAATCACCCGATCGCTAATATCAGTAGCGGCCACATCGAAGTCGTTATCGTCGGGTATTGAATACATTAGTATACAGGTTAATATTAAAATTAATTTACACGTCAAATAACGATACACGATTATTTTAATGATTTATAGTTATTACAAATTTAGCATCTACATGTATGTAACACTATGTTTTTAACTTAATGATGGTTGAAACCAACGTTACTGATGTGTAGTAGTAATAAATCAATGAAATAGCCACTGAAAAACATATTGTTTATTATGTAATAATATTAAAATCTACAAATGAAAATCGTGACGATTAGCTCACATGAAAATATTAATAATAATTAAAAATAGCTCACAGTACACACAGTGCATACTAGTCAGCCGCGTACCCAGTAGTGGATCTAAAAGTAATCCCAGGTGGGGGCGAATTTTTAAAAATTAAACTACCTTTTTTTCTATTCAACACAGGTTAAATACAGATTGGAAGCTAATTATTTGTATTATTTCTATAAATTCATAAAATTAATTGTATACAACTACGCGACTATACGAATTAACGAGTCGTATATTTTAATATGACTTAGGTACTTAAATATAAAATTATTGAATTTATGAAATACGGATAAGATAATGTGTGTTCTGCTGTTTCCCAACATATTCTGTGACTCTTATTAATTTATCATTAGCGATTGAACGATTTCTGGCGTTACGCACTCAGACAATTAGAATAATAAGAATCAGACAAAAATTAAAAACGAGTCTGAAATTATAAAATGACTAACTATTTAATTAGAAATTAAGAGACAAAGAAAACATTTTTCTGTTTTTGTAAGTATTTTTCGTTTGTCATACAACAAAGGGCTTAAACATTTTTTGAATACATATTTATATTTAGCACGTAGTAAGGAAAATGCCTTTGTAATAGCTAGTCACGAGATGATTTGAATTTAACATATGCTATATTTTTACGATACACTAAATCTTTAAAATTTTTGGTAACCCATGACTGAAAAGTTGATTTAAAAACCAAGACACGCGGACGAAACGTAAGACAGAGTTCTGGAGAGCATCATTTAAAGTAAAGGTAGCAGCAATGTAGTCAGGGTTCAATGAGGGTAGAAAACCAGTCAAAAAATAATAAGAATGCTATAATTTGATTATAATTTACTCTGTGAAAGTTATAAAATAAAAATATTTTAATAATAATATTAAATTATTCATATACCAAAAAAAAAAAAGGAACCACGAGCAGTAAAGCCAAATTTCCCCCTCCTTATTTTTGTATTACTATTACAGATATATTCTTTGTAAATAAATAAATAACTGAACAGCTGAACAGGTTCTATAAAAAGTATTATAGTACAGCTAAGAAATTGCAAAGTCGCGAAAAAGAATTTAAACTCTAATTAATTAATTTGGTTCAGAAAGAGTTACTATACTTGCTAGAAATATCCGAATCAATGTACTGGGGATATATATAGACACAAAAACAAAATACAGTGCAATAATCGCTATTTCGCGAAAATTAAAAAATTAAACAAATTTTATTTAGGTATACCTATTGCCAGAAGCGGAGTAGCTTGCCGGACAATCGGGCAAATGCCTGGTAGCCTCGCCTATGAGTGGCCCGAAAATAATTTACTAGAACTCAATATAAAGAAATCTAAATATATATACTTTGAAATTTATAAAAATAAAAGTTTAATACATAACCCATTAGTTATACACTACTCAAATTGTAATAGGTCCTTGGTTTCTTGTAATTGTGAACTTGAACATGTATATTCAATTAAATACCTTGGATTGATTTTTGATAATAATTTGAGGTGGGCTCTACATAGACATCATGTAGTTATTATTTTACGTTAGTTGTTTTATAGATTTAAATTTTTAAAATATATCCTTGACACCGAGACCTTACGTATAGTTTATTTAGCGCTTGCAAAATCTATTATTAATATTGGTATTGTTATTTAGGGTAATGCCTAACATCTAAGTTTGCTTTAAATCCGCTTAATATTACGTTGAACTCACTGTTGAGATTTATACTATCGAAGTCTTATGACTTTCACGTAGATAATCTTTACAAACATTTAATGTAAGAAACCTCAATTGTTTATATAGATGGAATATTCTTAATTATATTTTTAATGTAGATTTAAAATATTATTCCCTATCACATAACTATCAAACATGTTTAAAGTAATCGGTAAACCTGAATGTGCCAGTAAACCATAAAGATTTTGATAGAAAAATAGTAGTCAATATCGGTATTCGATTATGTATTATGTTTAATATTAGTTTATTATTATAAAAAAGTAAATATCATCATAAAAATATTTAAAAGATTTTAATCTAAATCCTATTACATTACAATAGCGTTAAAACAAATCCTTTGATTGAATTTTCTTCAACAGAATATGTTGAGAAATAGCAAAACACACATTATCTTATCTATATTTCATAAATCAATGATTTTATATTACGTACCTATGTCATATTAATATTAATAATAATATATTAATATATTATTTGTTCATTCGTATAGTTTTAAATTTGTATACCATTCATTTAATGAATTTATAGAAACAATTCAAACAATAAGCTTCCAATACAAGTGAAATAAAAAAAAGGCAATTTAATTTTTGAAAATTCGCCTCCCTCCCACTTGAGTGACTTCCGGATCCGCTACTGAATTGATTAAAAATAATTAATAAAATTACTACAATTCTCACCTCATCAGTGTGAAAATCAAATATTTCATGAGTCATATTCAATAAAGGTATCCTCTTCCGACGTCCAATTGTTATTTTTTAAAAAAATTGTGTGGGTATTTTCGTCGCTATTCCCATTCGTGCTTTCTGACCAAAAACCGCTTCATAAGGAGTCATTTTTATGGTTTCATGCTATGTAGTGTTTAACGCCCCATTGTACAAAGTCGAGTCCGCAGCTCCATTCAACAGTATTGTTATCCTGCATTCAAGCTATTAGTTAATCCTTCAGCGTACAATTACCTCTTTCTACGGACCCTTGACTTTGTGGGTAACGTAACCGACCATTTACTATTATGGAGTCAGGCCATATTGAAGCTAATTCTGTTATAATACCTGCAGTTAGTTCATGACCATTATCAAACTGAAGAACGTTAGTAACACCAAAAGTCAAAATTATGTGCAATAATTCTTTCGCAACTTCTAAAGCCTTCTTGTACCTCAGAAGTCGATATAATGATATAATGAAAACTTTGTCAAATGGTATTTTTAATGAAAAATATATTTAAAATCACCATCGAATAAACTCTATAAGTTGACAAGGTCCACTTGCCCTCGCTCGTTCAGGGGCGAAGCTAAAATGGGCAGCACAACAACGCCTCTCGTACTTTTTTTGTTAATTTCTCCATACACTTGTTGCAATTGGCAATGGAATTTTTCACAGCAACTATTGGGATATTGTAGTAGTGTTCCTTTATTTTCATGTGGGTTTTCGTCTCCCCTTTATGTTTACTGACTACATAAATGTCACTAATAATATTAGTGAAATTATCAATTGCCGCCATAATTCCTTGATCACGCTTCCGTCAAACACATCGAACGCCAGCTACCTCAATTAATTCAAATTTATCAACGATATGATAATATCGCCTATTTTTTCTCGTGGTAAAATTATTAATATTTGAATTGCTTCTTTTTCTTTTTGAACCATCCACTGTGAATCCAAGGTTAATTGATAATATTTATAAATAAGTTTACTTATAAGTTATAACAAATATTTGAACACACTGTTCACCGCATAAAATGAACGAACCAACTAAACACTGAACATTGAACAATATGTAATATAGATCGTAGGTCGGTATATTGTTTTATTTAGGCTGTGGCGGGAAATAACGGTATCAGCAATAAGATAAAATATTTTATTTTAAGTTATATGGGGAACTGTCTTATAATTATTATACACGGTTAAAGTAAAAATTAGAAATAAAGTGAAATCAGTAGACAAGTTGCCGATTTCACGTATTCGGCAATGGCGTTGCTTATTTCATAAAATAAACAATTTTTCTGCCGATTTCGTGAAATCAGCAAAAAAACAAATTTAGCGTTACATATATATATAAAGTAAGGTTCGAGTTATGGTAGCTTTTCATTATTATATAATTGAAAAAAAAAAAAAATACTACTATTTTTGTTTTGCGTTATGAAATTGATAATTTATCAGCGAAGTATTACAGTTATCAAAGAATTTTAAAATTATGTACTGTCCTATGATCATTAAAGTTAGTCATAGTTTAGTTATATGAAGACATGAGCGAATTTCTTACGCCAAAATAATGATAAAATTTTACAATCTTCAACCTTAATGTAGCAATACTTCAAAAATATCAAAATGTCTTTCTCATAACATTGATAACTATACCTATATATATATATATATATATATATATTGTAACTGTTTTATACCAAGCCAAACTCATTTTCAAAAAAAAAAAATAGGTATTTTTAGAAAATATACAATTTTACATTTAAATTTATATTTTTCAGTATCTTTGTAAATTAAGAGTACAATTATAAAAATATTAAAACCAAAGAGATTTCATAAAATAAGAAAATATTGTTAATATTTTTAATTTATATTTTGTAAATCAATTTTTAAATGAGACGGGTGAGACATCTGGCCAAGTTCCATAGTTTCATTTTTTTTTTCGATTATTTCACAAAATACTAATAATAGCCTTTTCTAGATGTGATACAATTTTCAGATTTTCTGGTGATTTTTAGTTATCAATTATGGGCATTTGATATTTTTTGTTGTTGCTTTTATGAAAATACAATAATTTTTTTTTTTTTAAGTTTAAAATGAATTTCATCAAGTTGCACTTGGTGTTAAAAAATAGTTAAAATATAGAGCATAATATAATATTCTGATAAAGTTATAGTAACTAGTAAATAGTAAAAACCAAATTTCAAAACTTATAATTTCACTAAGAATGGTATTTCTTTAGCAATGGTTTATTATATGTTCTATAAAATAAATATACAACAAAAAACAAAAACACACCAACAATAACTGTATTTTTTATATGAAATACTCAAATGCTCACTATAGGTAAATCCATAGCCTACATATACTTTACATGTCACAAAAGAAAAAAAGTGTAACATTGCAACACTATAGCAAATTTTGTATTTATTTTTAACAAGACTATGATATTTACATGATTGTAACAAAATTATTTTTTACAATCATTTGTCACGCCTCATTTGTTATTTGAAATAACATATAAACATACATGCGTACATACATACACACATACTTAGTATTATAATCCTCAGTAGTCTGGTAAAAATATATTACCCAATAAGAGGTGTTGGAGCAAAGTCCCCTCCACGTATATCTACATAAGGAATGTCAATAATAATAAATAATTAATAATAAATAATAATTATACAAAAGCATTTGAATAAACTACCTATATTTTTCCTTTTTAGATTTGGAGTATGGAATTTAATTTTTATTATTTATTCAGTTTATTTATGCATATTGGTGCAATTTGCAATCTGCAAGGTTTATTCAAACTATAATATTAAGAATAAATTTAAATCTATTTACAAAATAATAAACCACTCAGTTTGTCTATAAATTATTCTTTATTATAATTTTTTTTCTAAATTTATTAAAATTGCATACAAAACAATGATTGATTGATTATAAGTATACAAAAAAAAAACTGTAATTGATTTGAAGAAACATAATTATGAAAAATAATGTATCTACTAAATACAATAATTACATTAATCATTAACTCATACATTATCCATCAATAAATTTGTTTTTATAATAAAATATACTGTTAGGATTGCCAAATACAAATGGTTAGTAACTAATATAAACTAATTATTGAATTTTAAATATTTAGCTAGCTAATATTTATATTACAGATTAATCAATAATTCTTAAAAATTAACAGTGCAATCTTTTGGTTATTTTTTGTTTTTGTTTTTTTACAATTGTATTACAATGGCACACTGTAACTAAAATGTTTAGAATTAAAAGTGTATAAAAGTTCATTTGTTTGACAAATTCAGATTATATATTATTTTTAAGATTTAATGATAGGGGAATTTTGTTTATTTACATATTTCCATTTTATTTTGTTGTACACAATATTTTGAAATTTCTTACATAATATAGTATTAAACAATACATTTTAAATATTCATACACATGTAAATACATAAAGTATAAATTATTTAAATCTAAAGGCGGTTTGTAGCATAAATAAAAAAAAAAATAATATAAACTATAATATCAACTAAATGCAAATGACTAGTTATTATTATCATTGAAATAAAATGCCTTAACATGATTTATTTTGAATGTAACCATACATGATAGAAGTTACCTGTGATTTTATTTCAATGAGCCTACTGAACAATATTAAAGCTGTGTTCCAATAATGTTGTGAACTACATTATTCATCAGTTAATAATATTGTATCAACATTTATAATAATCAAAATATAATAATCTCTTTTGGTAATTTTAGGTTTAAACTAGGGGAACAGGTTGGGCCCAACTAAATTTGTTGGTGGTAGATGAGTAAATAGAGCTAGTGGTAAGAAATATATATAGTATGAGTGATATTTATAGAAAATATAACTATACAAATAGTATTATAAGTTATGAAATATATTGCACTCCAAAAAAAACAGTATAACATTGTATTGCCTTGTTTGCCCGAGTATTTTTAAACTACTTCAGCACCACTAGGTTAAAAATACTAGTAGTGACAGCACAGCTTATTTTGGCTATTCACTGCACATTATTAATATAGCTGTATTGATTACCTTAACCAAAAATCATTATTTTGTAAATACTAAAATAAAATAGGAACCTAAACTATACAGTTAATATAACAATCAGCTGTCATTCAGTATGTTATACCTACTGAAAATATAAGTACATTTATTATGATACCTATCTTATGTATTTTGGCCACACCATATTTTTTTTTCCAAGTAATAATTTAGAAAAGTGAAGAACAAAATCATCTGGTTTTAATAATGTAAAAATACAACTAAGAGAATCTGGTCTAGCACATGTCATAAATATTGCATAAATTATTTGAATGTCCAATTTCTGTTTAAAATGATTTATTAATTTATTTAAACAAATATTATGCTAAAATTGTATTTAATTCAAATAGGTAAATAGTATTGCAATATATATTATTCTTAACAATATATACATATCTATATCCAGTATTTAAAACTATTTGTATGTATGACAGACATAACATAATTATAGTGAATTTTATATTCGCTTGGCATGGTAAATTAATAAAACATTACAGATGGAGCACAGCTTTTATATACAGAGTGATTTTTTATGCTTGCTCACCCCCCCTCCCCCATATTTATAAGTAAACTATGCATATATTCAAAATCACAGTTTTTGAATTTTTTTAAAACTATTATTTGAAGACAATATTTTCAAATACTTTGATTATTCACAACATTTAAGTAATATCCTGTGACAATAATAACATTGATTTTTCAAATGAGAACCTATATGATTTAATGTAAATTATGAATCAAGTGGTAATTGTTTTGAAAGTTTTGATATATTGTTATGGAAATTTTAATCCATAAGCATTTAGTAATAATAAAAAATTGTCTGAATATACCAAACTAAGTAGAAGCAAATATTAACAAATATTTTATATTACATTCCTAATTATAATAACCAAAAACTCATACTTTAAATTCAAATTTCAATTACAATCCATCAAGATTTTCAGAAAAGTCATCAGATTCATAATTTGCAAAACATACAAGTTCTCATTTAAAAAACCAATATTGGTATGACACAATATACTACTTAAATTTTGTTAAAAATCTAAGAATAATGATGTAGATGATTACCAATCAAATTGTCCAAGACATACAAAAATTAAAAACCAAGAAGTTATAATTAACAGTAAATTATAAATAACTTGATCAGTATATTAAATAAAAAAAAAAAAAAATGTAAATATAGTGAAAAATGAATGTACTAAAATAAATTTAAACAATTAGTTAATCAATCTAGGTAATATAAATTAAACAATATTATCAGTATGCAACATATTGAATGACAGCCTAATCTATAATATGAATAGGCTAATAACTGATAAAAACATCACAAATTAAGTTTTTTTTAAAAAAATTACTAAATGTGGAAAAAACTTTCTTCATTTAAAACTAAACTGCTTCAAGTTTATTTATCTTGAGATATAAAAAGTGTTAAAAAACAAATATTTTGGTTTGATATTGGTATATAAAAATATTAAAATAGTTCAAATTTGTTTAAATAATATCATGTTGGTGTAAATAAAAATAGTAAATACTCTACTTATTTTTACAAATCATAAATTATATAATTTCAATAACATAAAAAGTTTTGTGTAGTTAATGTGTTAAATTAAGTGGGATACATGTTATTATTTTTATTTTTGTTTTATTATTTATGCCATGTACTTAATATTGGATAAAAATTATTAAAGTTTATTGAAATATTGATTTTGTTATTATTTAACATTATAAGTATTACTTTAAATAACTAAAAATTGATGTTTAATTAGAGTTTATAAGATGACCCTCCAAACACAGTTGGCTGTTAGCCATAAACTCACTTTAAAAATCAAATTAATGCCTTCATTTATTTTGGTAAAGTTGGCCTTATATTTTAATTTATCCATAAGTTAGATATTGATCTATTCATACCATTATAATTGCTATAAAAATCGTACAAAATATTAAACTCAAATTTTCCAAAACTATGAAAAACAATCTAAATTTAGTTTTGGTAATCACTAAATAAACAAACATAAAACAATATATTAAGAAAATAAAGAAATTAAGTCTGAGAACATTAATATTTACTGCCTACAAAAAAACTAATGTCTAAAAATAATATCTAAAATCAATAAAATGATAAAACACTCCATTATTGATTCATTCTCTATATATAAATGAAGACTAAATAGTATCAAATTGTCAATTTCTACTTATTGTGTTCATGTAAATTGCTGTTGACTAATTGGTGAGTGGTGTTGACTACTTTTCCAGTCTATATTTTGTTCAGTTGTTTTATAAAATCTGGTGGACATTTTATTGAATATTGGTAACAACTCATTAGCTTCATTAGATAAAGCCTAAAAAAAATAACAGTGATAAAATTATCTTAAAAATTATATACATCAAATAGACTACAATATTATAAACAATAATATATTAAAATTACCTAAATAATTTTAAATTTTAAAAATTGTTAGATACTTTTAATTTTTTTTTCTTACGGACTATAATAGGACTAAACAAGAATATATTACAAAAAATATTATTATATTTTTTAATTTTAGGATTTTATTATTGTATAGAATTAGAAATTGAAGAAAAAAAATATACTTTTTATTTAGAGATATGTTTCTCCAATAATAATTCAAAATTCAATAGATAAAACATTTAAATGAAATATTATTTTTGGTATTCTATAATATATAATATAAACATGTATGAGTAGGTATACTCATGGTGGGGATAACCCCACAATTTCAAATAAGTAGCCAAACCCGATCTCTAAAATGACAGCAAGTAAGTACCACCACTAGACTATGACAGACACACTATAAAATTGTTATTATTGAAACTTTAACATAACACATATAATATTAAAACTTCGGCTACAATTTCAAAACCAAGTCAATCCGCTTAATTCTGACTTCACCATAGTTCTTAAATTAGCTAAATTATAAATTATTATAAATTATTTCTTAAATTATACATGTATTCAACCCAAAAAACCAAGAAAATTGAAAAATTAGGTTTGTTCAACATAATTTTTTAGTCCAAAGATTTTCATCAAATTTTGATATTATAATTTGTTTATAAAAAAAATACTACATTCAGCTAATTTTTTTTTACCACAAGTAAGGTTTTTAATGAACCACCTGTTAAATATTCAACAATTTCACCACAGAGTACCTACCAATAAAAATTATATAAAAATTCACAAAATTAAAATAGTATCTATAAATAGCTCAAAAAATAGCTACAAATCTTTGAAAATTTTATCACATCTAGAAAAGTCAAATATAAGTTTTGTGTACAAATTTTAAGTCCAATAAATCTATACAAATATTATTAACTGAATTTCAATAAAAAATTTAAATTTTTGTCAAAAGCTCAAATGTTTTAAAAATGTTACCATGTCTAGAAAAGGCAAATATTATTTTTTTGTACACATTTCAAGTTCTTACAAATAACAAAATTTAAAATAATAAAAGACAATATTTTCATAAATAATCTGTTTTAATTACATTTTATTTGGGGTTTTCTCAGATATTATGAAACTAGCTTGGAAAATTAAAAAATGATCTTTTGTAGTACAATCTACACAATACTTTTAAAAATACATAGATAAGGAACATTTAAAATAATTTTCAGTGTTTTTTCCCTAACTTCAAACAGTTAGTTTTGAAGTGAAAAACTATTGATTTTCATAATTTTTAACAACTGTGAACTGAAGTGATGAAAAGTCAAGGTATACTTGTCTAGGTAAAGTTAAACCATATTCCATAAACCCTAAATCATCTTTATTATTTCTTTGGCAAGGTAATCATCAACTAGTAATTAAGAAAAACTAAAACCAATAATTAGTTATTTTTTCTTATTATCCTAACTATAAATATTGTAGTTTGTAAATTGTAAACTGTTAACAGTAATTGAAATATTGATAACATATTTAAGGAATAATACATTTGTTTGCCACAGTTGAACCACAATTAAGTGGTTTAATAGCATGAGTTAAAATAAATTAAGTTGACAAATGGTGTCGATGCAACAAAAAATAATATTAAGAAAGCCCTAATCTCTACTTAAATTGTAAATGTAACAGATACAAATTAGCATTAAAGAACTCATAGGAGTTTAACATATTTTTGTTAATCTACATAATAAATTATTTCTTACTTTCAAATAAATAACAGAGTCTGTACCAAAACCATCACAGGAAAGCAAAACTAAATCACCATGTAAATACCGTGCATAAAGTCTAGAAATAGGCAGTCCATAACCATACCCTAAAATTTAAACAAATGATATGAAAATCAATTTAGTTTTTGTTTTACTTTTGTTTACTTGCCTGCTAATGGTACTGTATGAGCATCTGATTTTGATGGTTGTGGTGCAGTGGAATACATATAATGAAACATCCTTTCACTTAAACTCCTTGGAATACCACCACCTTGGTCGGATACCTATAACCCATACAATATTAATATCATATTGTTTAAGAAAAACTATGGCATCAAATTATTGTTTGAATGTTTAGTACCTCAAGAAATCTTAAAATGTCTTAACTTAAAGATTTTTATTATTGAACCATTTTAGTTTTATAAATTGTGATTTTAATTTTGAGTCTAGTGTCTAATTTACCAAGAAAATAGTTCAAATGAATTAATAACCATTAATTTAAGATATATTTAATTAAATAAAACAATTTATAATAGACTCCAATTAATACATTTTTTTTTTTAAAGTGAACGGTTTTATTATTATTATTTTTTTTTTTTGATACATACAAGTAACCTAAAATTGTTTTTAATGATAATAATGTTTCCCTTAAAAAATAAAAAAACAAATAAAATTAAGTAACCAAATAATATTAAAAAATAACCCAATTGACACAATCTTTCTATATATAAATGAATAGAAGTGTGTTTATCTTTTATGCATTACAACACTTTTTATTTGCTATGAAAAATTGGGAAGTTCTACGTTATCCAGAAATAGTCTAAAACTATTATTCATTTAACTATTATAGCTTTCAGGTATTTTTAATATACAAATCTAATTATTTTTGTTGATTTAATTGTTACCTTGGTAACAGTAAAAAAAAACATAGTTAGTCATTATTTCGTTCCTGTGCTGGAGGGTAATAGTAATAGTGTAAAATAATAATTTATCTATTCACTTTATTTAGAAGTACTATTAGCATTGTTTCTTGTTTTTCATTTCTATGGATACATGCTATGTATTACGGCAATGAAAAAAAAAATACAGACATACTCCACATGATGTGTAGACCACTGTCGTAGGTGAAAAGTTGGGAAAGTAAAAGGGAAATTTAATATACACAACATTAATCATTGCTAACAAAGTTCAAGTTTTGAGGGCTTCATTGATAACTTTTAATTTATAAAAATTAAAACATAACTTCATTTCTGTAAAAGTTATAAGTTGTATCAAAATTAAAATATTACTAAATGATAATTAATTATGAACATGTTGGAGTCTATAAATAATTAATATTTATATCATAATACATTGATATTTAAAAATTTTAAAATAGCAGTTCTTGGTTTTTATGAAACAAAAAACTAAGACATTTTTTATTTGTTTATTAAAACAACATATTTATAATCTATAATTAAAATATTATAATAAACAATGTGATAAAAAAGTTTTCAGAAGAAATATAAGATCCAGACAGCAATCCATTGGCAGCATCTTTAACTTAGGCACTTAATTTAAAAACTTACTTTAACACAGACGTCTTCTTTTCCTTTTACAATGGTTACAAGGAGAGGTGGCAGTATATCAGTCTTATGGTGCTCAACAATTGCTCTCATTGAATTTTTGAATAATTCAAATAGCATATGGTATAAGTGCGATGGCACATAAACAATTTTTATTGGCTCATCATCTGCATCTATAAAATTATAATATCGATGATCACTGATGTTGTATAATAATTAGTATTATTAGTTATTATATAATAATATTATATTATTAGTTATTAATATATTATTATTATATTATTAGTTTTTAATATATTATAATTATATTAGTACACACTAACCAATACTTTTACAGACTTCTAATTCGGGTGAGGCCAAGTAATATTGGTCACACAAAAATCTAGCATTCTCATATGCATCTTTCACAACACTTAACACATCACAGTAAGGGTCAATGCATCCAATATGTTGATGATGATTATTGTTGATGATGTGATCACCAAATAACAATGCTACAAGAATAAATATTATTATCATTAGTTTAAAGCACATTTTAAATTCACTATACTTACTATGTTGATTTATAAGCATACGAATACCTATTCGAGACATATAAAAGCGGTCAAGAAAATATTGAATACTATTTTCAGTGTGTAAATCAATATCATGAGAGTCTTTTAACTCTAATACTCCCTGAGCCATTGTTTGAACAACATCTGAATGCCGGTTACGAATTTTGACCAATGTTTTGCAAAATCTGAAATAACAAGAAAAAAAAATTGATTCAATATATTGTTAACTGTAGAATTGTATTATTGATAAAAATATCACTAAAATATTATTTTGTTTTGTGATATAGTGTTCCAAGATCTGCCAAATGTACAATAATATTGGCTCTATTCAATATTTTTTTGTTTTTTAAATTCTTAGTGTAACCAAGAATGTATTAGTTTTACTAAGATGTTTATTTATATATTTTTATTTTTTTATACTGTGTACAAAAATTCTACCAAAAATCTTGCTCCGATATGTAGGCGTTGAATTGCACCATTTTTGAAAAGAAATATTGTCCAGATGGTACTTTTGGAAGATCGTATTTTAATTTTCCAACCGGTTTTCATAATATCTTGGAAAAAACCATAATAAAACTTAAGAAAAGAGGAAAATTTACAAAAATAACATTTATTATTTTTCAATTTTGTTATTTGTTATAATTCAATTAGTAATTGGCCACATTAATCTGGTCCAATAAAAATAATGGTAAAATAATGATATTTAGGATACATGGATGAATTGTCTACATGGATATACACGTATATTTATACGTTCAATGTCTACTTTAGAAATTTGGAAGAAATTACAAGAGCGGATACAAGCTATTAACGAAACAGCCTATTCGTATTTTCATGAAAAGAATAGACTATGCTGTCAGCTGAAGTTGGATGACACGGAGACCAAAGAACAAATTTATGTTGGATTACGATCACAATCATTGTGTATGTCATTTATAAGAAGTGCACACATTACAGAAGAAAAGTTGTTGACAGAAATCTGTCGCCTTGAAGGAATATAAGAGGATCGCCAGGTACATTTTAGACATATTAGTATCAATGGTAAACCCAGAAAAATGTTCAATACTGAAGGTTAATCTACTACATCTAATGCTATACAAGCATCTGATTCTAGAGATTTCAAGAGAAATGTGAAGGATGGGAACCGTGAAGTAAGATGTTTTAATTGTCAACTAACCAGGCACATTAGTAGAAATTGTACTGCTCCTCGTAGGCCTCTTAAGTGCATCCAATGTCTTCAGAAGGGTCACACAAAGAAATATTGTAAATCAAAAAATCCAACAGTAGTGAGTTTTGTCAATGCGGAACCCAGTAAGTCTAGTTACCTTAAAATGATTAAAATTAATGACAACAAACAATTGGTCCAGAAATTGGTAGACACTGGATGTGACGTCTGTTTTTAATAAAATCAAGCATAGCTAAACAACTAAACCTGAATGTGTCTTCTGCTACTAAGTAGCTCACTTTGTATGGTAATAATCCAATGAATGTAGTATATAAGTATTACTTCAGTAACTTTGGAAATTGATAATGTGACAGGGGACACAAAAATGAGGTTATATTCGGGTATAATAATGTATTCAAATTTGATGATGAAGTTTTCATACAACCAAAGTCACTGAGTGTGGTAGCGGACAAGGATCAATTGAAGTCAAATGAAACAACCGTTGCAATACTATGCTTATGCTATGTCAAAGAAGACAACTACTGCGGAGTCAATGTATCACTCCACAAAACTAGAGTTGATGGCTATAGTGTGGAGCGTCACCTTTTAGTAAATATTAAATATGGCTCGCGTGGATGCTACCAGTCGAGCATTAGTTAGCAATGAGGAGGACACAATGCATCAGGTGATCGAGAAGCAGTTGGATATGCTAATGGTTAGGTCACTGGAAGAAGAGGTAATTTCTATGCAATATAACGATTCCAAATTAGTTAATTTGATTAATATATTCCAATTTTTGCCAGAGCAAAGAACTGTAGAACGAACTAATGTAATTAAACCATTTGAACTGAAAATAACATGTCATACAGAGTTTTTAAAAATAGTGATGAAGTGGAAAAGATGTGTTGAGTAATACCTGACTGAATGCGTAAAAACATTGTTGTTAAGAACCGTGATTTAGTGGGACATGAAACAGTGGATAGGACAGTGACAAAAATCCAGAAGAGTTACTACTTCTCAAGGATTCAGCATTATATACAGTATCACTATTACTTGTCGTCCAGAATGTTTGCTGTACAAGGTTCTATGTGGGAAAAACTTAGAAAAGCTGCACCCGATTTCACCAGGGAAGAGATATATATATATACATATATATACAGTAACAGATTCACATTGTATTATTTTTAATTTTATTGAAAGTTTAATGTTTGATATATATTGAATTTATTCCTTTTATTTAATGAATTGTTTTCTTCTTAATAGAAAATTATACTTAATAATGATCAAACATGGACAAATAGTGTCTTTACAAGCTAAAATCAGGAACCGTAATTATATAACTATGGAACATTAAATGTGAATAAAAAGGTATAATTCGATGCATACTGATATCAGCTATTCTGTAGGAGAAATAATTTTTCTGAAGAGAGCATCTACAAATATCGGTCTACCAACTAAACTACAACTAAAGTACTCCTGTACTTTGGTTGTAGTTATCACTCAAGTGTTAGCTGGAGATACATACAGACTTCAAAAGTTATTACTACATAGTGGCTACCAGTATTGTACAGCCAACAAACCAATATTGTCAGTTTTAAAATCATACCATCTACCAATCAATGAGAAAGAAAGGGATCAAATAAGTTGACAAAAAAACTCATCAGAGTTGGACCAAGACGATGAAGAAAGAAATCACATGGATCAGCTTTAGAATTCAATGAAAAATGAAACCACAATTTGTCTACCTTCTGTGCAGTCCACTGAGGAACCCAAAGACTAGAGGGGTTTTTTGAAAGCCACAGTATTTGGTGGATTATGATCTCAATTGATCTACAAACTTCTCATTACATTTGTATGTTAATAATTTACGATTTATGCTTATTATTCTAAACGTTTTCTTTATATGAACATTTTTATTTTTTTGATGTTATTTTTTTTTTTTAATGTCATATATTACTATTTAATTAAGTTATATTACTACTTTTTATGTTATATTCTATTGTACTATTATTTACTGTAAATGAGGTCATTTAATTTCAAGATAACTGAATGTTATCATTAAATATTATCTATGTGATATAAAAGACATATTATCTGTGTATGAGTTACCACTCATACGGAGTTAATTTGAATTTAACTATATTTTTTTTACAATTTTAAATTTATGAAGTCAACTTAAACATATACGATGTAGGTAACAAAAATTAATACATGGAGACTTAATGTTTGATAATTGTCTTGTGTTACAACCATGATCAATACTAGGTGTTTATTTTTAATTATATAAATTACTGTTGCCTTATAGAATAATTTTTCTAATAATGGTAGAACATTTAGTTCATTGTATAGATATTCTAAGTGATATAAATGATTCTTTTTTAAAATAATTTTTATTTNTTGATCAAATACAAATGCAAGCAACTAGATTAAAAATATACTAGGTATTTATTTTTAATTATATAAATTACTGTTGCCTTATAGAATAATTTTTCTAATAATGGTAGAACATTTAATTCTTTGTATAGATATTCTAAGTGATATAAATGATTCATTTTTAAAATAATTTTTATTTTTCTATTTTGTATTATTTTAATAGATTTAGTGTTGAGACACCTTCCCAAATAGTAATACCATAGTTAATTATGGATTCTACTAGAGATGGTATACAATTCTAATTTTCTTAATTTCAAGTAAGTTAGCTACATTTTTAAAAGCATAGATTATTTTTCTTAGTTTGATTGTCTATTTAATGTGGTCATGTCATTTGAGGTTATAGCACATTTCAATGCCTAAGTATTTACAAGATTTTACTATTTTTAATGAAGTTTGACATGTACAAGATTTTGGATTTGAACATTCGAGTTTGAGGCTAATTATATCTGATTAGTTTGAATTAGTTATTTAGTGTGGTAATAATTAAGTCTTATCTAAATTTAAGAATAGGTTATTTGCACATAACTAGTTATTGATTTTTCTCAGGCCATCTTGTATGAATGAAAATATCTCATCCTAAGAGTTACCATTGACAAAAAGAACAGAGCATAACAGTCTTGTTTACCATGTATTTTTAAATCCTTTATTTGGTTAATTTGAATATTAAATAGGGTGAGAAATAGATTAGTACCTTGAGGTACTCCACATATTGATTATGTTTCTAGACTTAAGAAATTAATTATTCAAACTCTTTGATTTTTATTTTTTTAAAACAAGCATAATAAGGCAAAGGCTGGGCCTTAGATACCAAATTTATTTTTACCAATTTTTTTTTTTTACATTCAAATGCATTATAAATATAGGTAGATACTGTTGCAATTGCTTACTCTGTATTTTTAACAACCCTTAAATCAAATTGTGCACTTGGTAATAATTTAAAATTTTCTGGTAGTGTACTAATTCATATTTTATTATTTTTTTGAAAGATTTAGCAACATTGGAAATTTGAGAAATGGAGAGGTAATTTTCTATGTTTGATTTGTCAACCTTTTTATATATAGGAGTTATTACATTTTAATTGTCAATTATCTTTAATAATAATTTATCAAGTAATAAATACCACCTATTACCAACTAAAAATCTTTAACATTTCTAGATATTTTACCACTCAACAAATATTTTTCCCCGGTTAGAAAAACAAGTTGCTTATTACGACAATAATTCAATTTCACAACACACTTCTTTAATTATTGTCTCCCATATGACATTTTTAAATAAAAAACTAAATATTTATAATATTACTATGCTATATATAATGGATACATGTCAACTAACACAAATGATCACAAATGCAATGTATCATGTATGTAAGAAAAAACAAAAGTTTCCTTTCCCATTTTAACAGACTTAGAACTGTCAGTAATTTATCAACTAAGTTACAGGTATGGTTAAAAAATTTTAGTGTTAAATTAAAAATGCTTAAAAATAAATTGAAGTAGGTATACAATAATAAAATAAGTTGAACTTGCAATTGAAAATTGTATGCAATGACATTTAGAAAATCTCCAGTATTTGTGTTATTATTATAATTGACACATCATTTTTTTTATTTTATCTATTTTATTTTGAACCTGTTAATGTGCTCTTCTTTTTTTAATAGATGCATAAAACTCCATATTGAAAGATGTATACCATTTATAAGTGATGTGAAGCATCCTTCTATACCATAATTTGTGGTAGCAAAATCTTAGATCGTCCTCAAAAAACAATTCCATACTTAGATAGCATATTTTAGTTGTTTTATTTTTCCTATCAAATTTGTCTACCCATGTACTTTCAAAATAATCTAACAGTAACACTAGTAGGTCTTTATTATCTGTGTAATAACTTTTAACAATGTACTACAACATTTTATTACTTTTACTTCTAGAATGAAAGCTAATGATGGTTTATCTACTTAATGTGTATGCCTACCTACCTGTCCTAAGTCTGTTAATATAAAAAATAAAATGTTTTTTTTTTCAAATGAGAAATATTTCATTTTGGTCATAATTGTCTTTAAACTCAACTATTTTCTTTACTACCAATCCCAAATCCTAAAGTGTCTTACAGGAATTAAAAACTAACCTCTAGAAATGTTACAAGACACTATTATCGAGTAAACATGTAATGATACTTTACCCCATTCCCTTGTATCTTATCTCAAATAACTGCAACTAACAAAAGTCTGCTCCAAACCTAGGATTTTGTAAAAAAAAATTAAATATTTTAAAAAAGAGTCATAGTACTATAAGAGGGCAAGTCCCCTTAATGCCCCATTCCATATTTTGTATAAGAATTTAATTTAATTTGTACAATAATGTTTACACACATAGTAAATGAGAAAATGAATTTATATTTTAAGAAGATAAAATCATTTTATGCCTACAAGATTACCTACATTTGATTTCAACTTACTTATTCAAAGTCTTTTCGGTACATCCATCATCAATTTCAAATTCAATCATTTCATTGAATGATTGGCTATACCAGTTGTTTACTAAATTTACAGATGGCATTTTCAGCAGATTATCTGGTAGCAAATGAATTTCTTTCATAATATTTGCCAACCTCACTGGTAGTTCTTTTTTTAAAAATTGATACGATTTTTGTTCATTCGCTTTTAATCCTACAATGAGAAAATACATTTCACTATTAGTTTATTTTTGTAATTATTAAAAATAATATCAAGTAATATACAAATAGGTATTACATATTTAGTTTAGACAGAAATGAAATATCCATTTGATATTTCAATGATCTGAATATAGTATAGCCAATATAGAATTTATTATTTTTTTTAGTTGAAAAGATTAATGCAGTATAAAAATGTTTTGTGGAAATTAAAATATTATTATCTCTATAAATATACATCATTTTTTACATAATATTACTATTTAAATTATTCTTATTTCTTGCTTATAACTTTCATACCTAACCTAGTACAATCATTTGTTATAAGTGACTTATAAAATAATTTTAAATTTGGTTAAAATTTAATTCAGGCAATAAATTATTAGGAAATATTTATATGTATTTACTATATAAAATAATTGTACATTATTTTACTTAGATAATTATCTAACAATTTTACTTTGTAAGTTTTGTATGTTTTAATGATTTTTACGTAACAATTTAAAAACTAAATAAATAATAACAAAAATACTATGATAAATAATTAGTTAGGTATAGTAAAAAATTTTTTGTGAACCAAATATTTCAACATATTTAATCATACATTACCTACTTGAATTGCTAATAATCCGATTAATAATTCTAATACACCTTTTCAAATTGCACAGATAGATAGTAGGTTAACATGTTCAATGCCCACACATGGCTATTTCTATAATATTTTATGTCTTTATTCCATAATCGTTAAACATAATTTAATCACTGAATTATTACATGCTGTATTTCTATATACTCATATTACCTATTGAGTTTTGGTTATTTGTTAAATTATTATTACCTATGTTATTGAATATAATAATATTATTATTGCCAGTTATACTTGCATGTATCCACAAAATTAAAATATTTTATCATGTAACCTAATAAAATGTATCCAATATATGACTTTGAAATACCTGTTTAATATAAAAACAACTAAGTTATTTCTTATAATGCAATTGTTTGTACTAAATATTTAATTGCATAAAAATGTATTATAATCTAATCAAATAATTTATGGAGACGGTGCGAATTATGTATCACACATCCCCTCCTTTAGGGTTATGGATTTTATAATTTTTATTTTATTTTTACCTAAGGTAAACTGAGAGGAAAATTGATAAAAATATTTTTGTTTGCAGTTTTTAATAGCACTGATATTATTATTTATTTATTTATTAAATTTAATGTGATATATATTAAATATGTTATTAATTTATTTATTTAATTGATATTATCTTTTTAATAGTATGACTTTTTAGTAATTTGTAAAATTTTGTTTTTTACGAAGAGAAAATTTAAAAATTTAAACTTATTTCACCCTCCCTCCTCTGAACTTTAATTACAATAATCATTGATTTTTATACCCCTCCATTTCCTCAAAATTTATCCTTGACTTTAGTTTATTCTGCCCCTGGCATCCATTCAGATTATTTCAAATTTCCATTCTTCTCAATAATTAGTTTGTTCTTGTTATTATACTTCTTCCTAATTGTTCTACCTAATTATTAGTATTATTCACTTCTTATAACTTCTATAAGTATTGATATAATTGGAGTATAAATTGTTATGTTGCCATACATTTTTCCTACCATTTTTTAGATTCTGAATGGATCGAAGAATGCATTGGTTTTAGAATGATTTGACAGGGATTCATTATAAATTGTACTCAATTGTAAGAAAAAAATTGAGTGTAATTTAGAATTGTTTTTTTGTAAGAATGTTAATATTAAATTTTGATGAAAATTGTAAATTTTATGACCTTTTAAAACAAATATAACCGAACTCCACTCAGAATCATTTTTTTCGATAAGAAAGATTTATCATTGCATACAGATATATATTAAATTCCCCTTCATATTTTATCTTCCCAACTTCTCACTTACAATAGTCACATTGCTTCAGCTTAATTTCAAATAAGATTTAGATACCAAAAAATAGTAAAATATCAATTTAATGACCTTAATATGTAATAAATAATACAAATTAATTTATCGTAGGTAGGTTACACAATACTTTTTTGTATATTTTTGTTTTATATTTCTTTAGTTCTCAAAAGGTACTTGATTAGTTTTTAGATTCTGAGAAAAATATGCAGTGTATTATTTTTACTGAGAGTAGCTTTTATCTGCCTGTAAAACCATTTCTAAATCTTGCTCCAATCATCAATTGTTTTCTCAATTTATTCACCTAATTATTTTTTGTTTGCTCACTTCTTTTGATGTTAAGCCTCATATGTATAGGTGCTGATAGACTATAAATTTGTAAAGTACAAGGTAATAAAACAAAATTTGTTTTGAAACCGTTCTTATAAATTTATTAAATGGTATGCAATAGGTAAGCACAAGATAAAAATAGATCCTTAGTTATTAGGTAAAAAAATAGTGATAGTAATATATATTTTACTTTCTAGGTCAATTATTGACCTTCAAGTAAGTATAATTGTATTTCCTAGATTAGCAGTATACATTGTACATAACTACTATGTAATACACTTCTACTAATAACAATAATAATAAAACAATCCTTGGAAATTAAAAAAACTAGTTTAATAAAATAATGGCATTAGGTATTAGGTATTTAAGTAAGTGCATATAAGCATAAAATAAATAAAATATAAACCTAGATTTATGAATTAATCAGTGATTAATCACATGAAAAGGCATTAATATTACAGAAAACAAGTAGCTAGGTTTAATTGATAAACTGACCTTTAGATGAACTACATAATCTTTAATGATACTGTTATCTTAATATGATGGCAAATGTAATGTACCTAGTTCAATATTCTTAAAATACGTATTATCGAAAAAAATCAATCTGTTTAGACGGAAAATATCCATAATTCACGTATAGAACTCATCCGGTCGACACAGGTAGGTGGACGGATAACTATTACCACTGTCTGGATTTAAAAAAAAAAAAAAACTCACCGAAATCAATAAACTGTTTGATGGACAACGACGATGGATTGAACTGCGAATAAAAATCGACCATCTTCTCGATGTTTTTAGCAAGCCTGTACGTAATGATCCTCATGGTGATTTTCCGTGTCAGATCTCTACAGTCGCACGTACTGTACGGCGCGTACAGTTAGTGTAAGTACAACGACCGCTGCTTAAATTACCGATTTGAGCTGCTCAATAATAACAATAACAATAAAAAACGATTAAAATATTAATTCAATTACAACGCTAGCGGATGACTTAAATCGGGTTATTGCAATATGATTTAGGTGGGTATTGAACGGATGGAAAACGAAAAAATAATAACAATAATTATAAACAATAATCGACTTGAGACGACCCAGGTAATGGGTTACAGGTAGTGAATCAATTTACTTATATTATTTTTCCGACGTTAATGATAACGCAGCGATGATAATTTTTTTTTTTCTCTAATGTTTGTTAGGACAGCCATAGTACCGTATCACATGTGTGTCTGTGTGATGTGTACGTCCGTATTTATAAAGAACCGGCATACACACTCACACTACTTACAATAAAGTACATAATAATAATAATATTGTGGCGAGACGGACCGCGACGATAAGGTAAACGACGACGAATGGCGCCATCTCCCGTTGGTTGACGGTGTTTCACTCGATTGCGTTCGGCGGCGACCGTTCTATGTTATTCCGTATTTGTTTATTCCGATTGATCCAATTATTCGATATTCGATAACACGACATTGAACAAGACACGTAAACTAGTTTTTTTTTTTTATGTAGAAGAAATAGAACAATATTTTTTATTAGGTATATATAATATAATATACAGAGAGGGATTTTTTTTTTTTTTTTTTTATAGAATGCAAAAAGTACTCGTATAAATTATCAAATATACGTTTTTCGGGATTTTTCAAACACAATGTGTTATTCTTATTACGTTACCTGTGTAGCTATATACGATTATTTTTCGATGAGTAGATTATATTTTAGGCGTTTGTTTAAAAATCCAAGGTCCCATAAACAGTGTTGAATCCAGACGATTTTTCTGGGGACGGGGGGCATTACTAAAATTCTAGTTATTATTATTATTTTTTTTTTTTTGCTGTCTACACTTTTACCAAGACCAGTCGAATTTGTTTAATTATTTAATTAATTATTAATTTACCTATATTTAACAGGGAGGGCAAACAAAATTCCCGCCCTCCTGACATGCACCTGGATTCAACTCTGCCCATAAATTGTAATAGAGTCGTTCCACTTAGTAGCGAATTCGTGGAGTGGGGAAAAGGAGGATTATGATGTGGCGGTTTTTTTAAAATTGTTACCTAATTGAATCATGTTTGAACGCAAAAAAATATGATTGTACTTAGTAAATTAAATACTCCCCCCCCTCCCCGGCCCCAAAATGAGGTCTTAATACCTATTCGCCCCCTTCGCACCTTCAAATGACCTTCAGATCCGCTAATGGTTTCAACCGCAAAATGTTAAAAACACTAGGAAAACTGATCAAATAGTTAATGTAATTACCTTAATAATAAACTCGGAACAGCTGTAGTGTACGGGCCGCATCGAAATAAAATATTATATTCGACGACATCGTCGGATTTGTGTACAAAAAACATACTCAAATATGTGAAATTTATAATAAAATACACAGAATGCAGGCATATTATTAAGTACCGAATTTTTCCCTTTTTTCCGCGGAACTTCTCAAAATCGAGCAACGACACTGCGGACGGACGTGGCCGGCTTACGACAATATCAATTAGCTAGGTACAAAGAAATCCAAAGATTTCGTGCCACTTATTTTTTTTTAAGCAATTTTATTGCTCTATAATATATTGTCGTCTATAACACGACGTAGGTAGCCGGGAAAAAAACAAGACATTGATATGAATATACGTGTATAGGAGGTATACATTGTGATTTATAATCGTAGCTATGAACCTAAATAATAATAACATTGTTATTATGTTTCTGCTCTCGGTTCGCGGGCAATACGATAATCGCTCTGTACACACCCGATAACATTATCGTCTATACATTATTATTATTTTTGCGTTCCGATGCGCGTACCTGCCTCGCAGCAATGTCACAGCTGCGGTCCTGTTGATCCGTGCAATATTATTAACGGTAACGACGATGATAATAATAATAATACCTATGATATCATTAAACAAATATGGCAATTATTTTGTAAAGTATTATCGACGGTACATCAGTAGAGGCGGCTGACTGCGGATTCGAGCGGCGCGTCCGGCACCGGCGGCGATTCGACGACGGGAGTTAATACGCCGAATGGATTTTTACTGGGGAAAAATAATGACCCCGTGTACCCGCGTACAGTTACTGTCGAACGGAAACACGGTAAACGTGTGGGCAGGCGGGTGCAGCACAAAACGGTCCGTCTGTCTACTACGCCGCATTACGACTACCACATATTCCGTTCCCGCGCCGCGCGCCGACCGGGATTCGGTGTCCGGAAACGGATATCAGGGGCCGGATGGGCGATGGGGACGGGAAGGGTCTCTGGCCGTGAGAGTGAATTTCCCCCCGACCCCCTCTCCGCCGGCCGTAATATCTATCGCCGTTACGGCAGTGTTTGTTTTTAACCGGGATAATCCGGTGACGGGGAGTGCCGGGCGACGTACGAGGAGAATAATAATTATCATTGTGTTACACATTATCGTACACGATCGTACATCACAGAGTGATTGCTTTGACAGCAGGGGCGTTAAGGCGAAACACGTAACGTTATAATATTATACCAAACTCTAGGAATGTAACCGATGTGGGCACCTTATCAGCTGCAGGCTGGCCCAGCGGTTCTCAACCGGGGGGGAGGAGAGGGGGGCGACCCTTTGAGGGACAGCAACCTAATTATTTAGGGCCGCTAAAAATGCGAAATTGACCGGATTGCCGTGTATAAAATATGCATTTAATGGTCATTAAGAAAAAAAAAAATTAAACATTCATTTAGGGAGTCTGTGACGGTAAAAATGTTGATAAACACTTGGCTAGCCGACGTATCGACATTATTTTTGGAAGAAATGTATGGTATAGAGGCACACGCAATTCTAGGATTTTAAACAATATTACGATACCTACCCTAGTCTTTTCGTCCTCATATGCTTGTCGGTGAAACCACTATAACCCAGTAGCGTGCGCAGTGGAGGGGACGTTAGGGGTGTTATCCCCCCCATTGGCTTGAAAATAGAAAAAAATATTAATAATCTAATATAAAAATGCATATATTTCGGCCAAGTTACGAGGAAAAGATTGATGTATTGATTAGAAATTATTGGGTTTTTTTTAGTCTAGTTGGGTAGAGAAGACAATTTTATGATTCATTCAAGATTCTAATTTGCTACATGCCCTCCCACTGAAAATTCCTGGGTACGCTACTACTATAAGCATATTATAAGCATGGTCGTAGAATGCCCCCCTCCCAAATTCTTTTCGTGTCCCCCAATTTATTACACACATATGTCGTATTATGGTAAAATAATTAAATAGACATTATATATATATTATCTTTAATAATATTTCTCTAATGTACTGATTTTCCCGTTTTTCCTACGTTTTTTCTGGTTTTCCTTTGTTTTCATTTTCGGTTTTTCACATTTTTTGAGAAAAATCTTCGGAAACCCAAAAAATAACCTCCTTAAAGTACTTTCCCAGTCAGATTTCCATTTAGAAATATTGCTATCGTTATAAATTGGAGCAAAATCATTGCTAGTAGAAAAGTTGTCTACAGGAAAAAAGAAGGCCGTAATATTTTTAATTAATACCTAAATTCCTTTTCCCAGTTTTTTTTTCGGTTTTTCATATTTGTTGAGAAAACTTCTGAGAAAATCGAAAAATTACCTCTCTAAAGTACCTCCCTAGTCAAATTTCCTTTAAGACATTTTAATAATTTGTTTAGTGTAAATTATAGTTGAATCATATATTAAGCTTTGAATATTATTATTATTTATAAAATCTAAAGTTTTTTTTATGAACTTCATTAGTGTAAATGATAATAATAGCATTAGATTTATCTACTGGAACTATTTCTGAATTATTTGTTTTTATTTTATTCACTATGTTGTTAATAATTGTATTTTATCGTTTAACCATAACACTATTTATTAGATTTATATGTGTAGTTTTTATTGGTGCTATAAATTGTTTTCAGCTTTATTGAAAATTATGGAAGTTAAATTAGTAACTCGTAGTTGAAAAGAATGCTGGTTTTTTAGTTGTAATTTTTGTGTATTTTGTGCTATTAAAATATTAATTTTATTATTCACCCTATACCATTTTTCATTTTTTTTTTTTTTTTTTTTTTACTAAATTTTATATAGGTAAGACAAATAAAAATTTTAAAAAAGGATAAAAAGAACACGTTTCTGAAATAAAATTTAAAAAAGAACTGCCCCTAATTCAAATTTCGCTAAATATGTTTTAGAAAATAACCATAATATAAGTTTTGATATTAATACAGACTTAGAAATATTAAATACGCAAAATAACATTTATATTAATTCAGTTTTAAAAGAATTACACATACACAATGAAATAAAGAAAAATAATTTTAATAATATTTTAAATGTTTAAATTGATTTTAAAAATAATATCTTATATCAATACATTTTATGTAATAAATATTAACCAGATAATATTTTTTAACATATATATGTCTAATAATATATAAGTTCACGCCACTGATGTCACCTATGAATGATAGGTATGTATATTACCTAAATATGTATCCACGTAAACAATTTTGTTAAGGCTATAGCCCCCCTTCACAGAAAACCACCACACTACGCTCATAATTATATAGGTAAGTAAAATAATAAACATATCGATTTTCGATTATTAAGTGACTTTTAATACGAGTTCACCAAATCAACATTTCATAATTCGATAGGGTTTTAGTTGAAATGTAATATTATTTTCGGTGCGGAAATTTTCAATTTTAGATACTCTATTGATAATTTTCGAGATAATATAGATACCACTTTAAGTTTAAGTTTGGTCGTTTCGCTATTAGGGTGATGGGAGAGTAGTGGAACACTATTCATAGTGGTTAAAATGGGAAAAACTGCGAAAGGGAATTATATTTACAGAAAATTGAGGAGCGTTCCCAGGAACTAATTAAACCTAACCAAGCTTTCAAGACACCCAGCATGGAGACTTAGCATGGAGAGCATAAGACTTCTAAATTGTTTTTCTTTCATACACATTTGTTCATAAAAATTGTATGTAATAAGGTTTGAAAATAAACTGCATCCCTCCTCAAATATTGTCCTACGCATCTGCCTGCTAAGTAAGGTAAGATAAAATCTGATTACGCATAATCTAAATGTAATAAGAATCTATTAAATAATTTATTTCTATAAAACTCATTTGAGTTTTTAAAATTTCATTAAAAGTGCCCCAGTGAAAATAATTAAAGCTTCCCCCTGGACTTCAAAGACTATTAAGGGATTAATCATTTTATCTAAAATAAAAATTGAAACTCCGTTCCACCACATTAAACACTTATTGCCAACACACGACTGATAGTCACTACTACTCAATTATACTACTTTTATTTACAACTTACAAGCACCGAGAGTACCGAAGAAGATAATCAACCTGTATACACAACAACGAATACACGCATCCGTGTGTATATTAATATTTATTTTATTTTTTAATATTGCAGTTTATTAATAATACATTTTGTATCATTAAACTTTATACTAAGTAGCGTGCTGAGGTATAAAATTGCTTGATGCCAAAATTAATAAACCTATACCAGGTTTGTAAAAGAGCGGAAAGTTATTTTAGATTCTGTATAGAGCGATGATACTTCCATAATGCATATGTAATTATTTAACTATGGTAAAATTGTGCTTCGCAAATGATGAAATATTCTAATTTTCCCGGGGTTTGTCCCAAAAAAAAACGAGAAAATATGGAAAAATGTACGAAATATATTATTAAAATATTACGATCTTTTTTTTCTGTGGACAATTCTTCTACCAGCAATTTTCTTCGGATTTACAATGCTAGCACTTTTTCTGAAAACAAATATGACTGGGGTGATACTTTAGAAAGGTCATTTTTTGATTTCTCTGAAGTATTCCCAATAAATGGGAAAAAAATGGGGAAAATTGAAAAATAGGTACAATATTAAAGAAAATATATAATGCATATATAATTATTTTACCATAATATGGTATATGTTTATGGCAAACAGAAACATTATTTTAAAATATATTTAGATTATGGTAGTATTCGATTTCAAATACAATATCAAATATTTTGGCATAGTAGTATTTAAAATACATATCTATTCAAATACTGAAAAATTATTTTTATTAAAGTAATAAGTTATATTATGGTTATCTATAATTATTGATAAAAGTTGTAGTAAGTATTTTTATTTAAATACTTTTACTTAAATAGTTTACAAGTCTGAATTATATATATATATATATATACTGACCTTAGGCCAAGGATGTAATTATAACAAATTAAGGGGGGGAGGCAAGGTCCAAAATTGTTATGCATTAACTAATTTGATGACCTTTAAAGAGAAATTAGTTTCAAAAATATTTTTCTTTCAATATCATCTTGTCTATTGCATACCTATCAGTAATTATAATTATAAATGTGTAAACATAATAAATTACAGAGATGGGGCAACTTGAAGACAAATGGAGGGGCCCGGGATGCGTTATAAATAACAAACATTTATTGGGCCGCTATAAACTATGAAATCCCACACTTTTAAATAGGTAATATTTATTCAATTTAACGACCGGAAAAATTAATTGACACGTTTTTATACTGCTCAAACATCATGTTATATATTATCATATTGCATAATTAAAATGAATATAATACAATGTATACACAGTTATGTGGCATTTAATACGGCAATTTGTGATATTATATTATACAGAGTGAATTATAGACACTGCTATTATATTATACTGAAATACAGAGGTGGTCTAAAGCAGCGTTCCTCAACCATAGGGTCGCGACCCAATTTTGGGTCGCGGATAATTTTGAATGGGTCACAAAGTAATAAAAACGTTGATATAATAATAATTTAATTTTAGACTACCTGTATAAAATAGCTTGAAAAAAAATTAATGAAACATTTTTCGTAAATTATTTTTCTTGACAAACAAGTATAAATTTATAATTTTATAATTTTGGATTATGATCTTTCAATACTATGAATACACTCGTAGGATTGCATTCACGGAACCGATTAAATTTGTTAAATTCTTTACCAGCATGTATTTTGTTTTGATATCAATTGTTGTTATTAAAAAAATATATTTAAAAAACATAATTTATTACACATTATAATCACGGCCTCTGCAGATTGTTGTTATCACATTAGGCGGTCAGGGATCACATTTATTGACTG